TTCCCCTGCCCGGGGCAGGGTGGAGTTCCCATTCCTGGAGGGATTGGGATCCCTTGGATTTGGGGGAGCAGGGATCAGGACTGGGAATGGTTGGATTGGAGGGCTCCAAGGGCTTTTCCAGGCTCCAAAATTCCATGATTTTATGGACAATGGGATTCTCCCAGCTGGCGCTGCTTTCCCAGGAACGGGAACAGGAATGGGGGGGACATTCCTTGTAGGATGATCCCAGGGGGATCTTTGGATTCTGGGATGGTTTTTGTGGGAAGAGGATTCCAGCATCTTCCAGTTCCACCCCCATTCCATGTGCGGGGACACCTCCCACCATCCCAGGGTGCTCCCAGTTTTCCATGGACTCTCCCAGGGATTCTCTGGGAATTCCAGCCCAGCCAGGAATTTCTTCCCAAAATTCCAAACTTTTCCATTTAAAACACTTCCTTTCCATGACTTCCCCCGACAATCTCCGCTCCAACCCGACATTCCAGCCTTGCCCTTTTCCCAGGATCTCCAATCCCACCCCAACAGGGAATCCTGGAATGCCGGGACACCGGGAATGTGGAACCTCGAGAGGACAATTCCATCCTGGAGGGCCAAAAGCTGGGATTTGGAAATTTCCTGGAATTCTGGAATGGGTTGGGTGGGAAGGGACCTTCAATCCCATCCCATTCCAACCCCGACACTTCCACCATCCCAGGGTGCTCCAAATTTTCCATGGACACTCCCAGGGATTCTCTAGGAATTCCAGCCAGACAATTCCATTCCTTCCATTCCTTGGGACAGGAATGGAATCCTCTGGCTGGAATTCCCAGAGAAAATTCCATTCCTTCCCAAATCCCAAATTTTCTATTTAAAACACTTCCTTTCCATGATGTCCCCCACAATCCCCGCTCCATCCCGACATTCCAGCCTCGCCCTTTCCCCAGGATCTCCAATCTCACTCGAACAGGGAATCCTGGAATGCCGGGACACCGGGAATGGAACCCCCCGTGCCAGCGGGCAGGGCTGGGTGGGGTTTTGGGATTTTGGGCAGGAATTCCTCCCTCGGGAGCTCCCAGGGATGCAATTCCCGAGCTCTTGCTGCCCCCTAAAGGACTGGAGCGGGAGGAGCTGCCGAGCGATCCCGGGAATGGGAAAAATCCACGGAAAAACCCGAGAATTCCTCCCTTGGAATCTGGGGTTTGAGCTGAGAGCGGGTCCGAACCAAAGGAGGATTTGGGATCTCCCAGATCCAGGTGGGAACATAGCTGAGGCCGAAAAGGAACTTCGGGATCAGATCCTGGTCCGGGGGGGCTCTGAAATTCCACCCTTCCCATTAAAGATCCCGAAGAATTCCCAGATCCTGGGATTTCCTTTATTTTCCTCCTCCCCCCTGTTTTTTCCCCATTTTTTAAAATTTTCATTTTCCATTTTTTCCCATTTTTTGGCCTTTTCCCCCACCTTTCCCTTGTTTTCTCCCTCTTCTTCCCTTCTCCTTCTCTCTTCCCCATTTTCCTGCTTTTCCCCCCCATTTTTCCCCCCTTCCTTAATTTTCCCTTTTTCCCTCATTTTTCCCTGCTGTTTCCCAGAATACCTGGGGGGGCTTTGGGGACCCTAAATTGGGGGCGATTTTGGGGTGAATTATCCTGATTTTGGGGTTTCTTTTGGCATTTGACCTCATTTTGGAGGGCTCATCCTGGTGCTTAAAATTATCCCAAAAAATCTCCGGAATTTGGGAGCCAACAAAGCCAAGAGGGAAAAATTCAGATTTTATGGAAATGGGAATGTGGGAGAGAGGGAGGGGAAAGGAAGGGAAAGGAACGGGAATGGGGCTGGGGAGGGGAAAATCCCTGGATAGGGATTCCCAAAAAAGCACAAATCCCATTTATTCACATGTGGGAATGTGGTACGGGGAGAAATTCCCAAAAAATCCCAGATCCCATGGATTCACAGGTTGGAATGCCCAGGTGTGTCCTAGGATGGGGCAGAATTCCCAAAAATCCCAGATCCCATGGATTCACAGGTGGAAATGCCAAGGTGTGTCCTGGAATTCCCAAAACATCCCAGATCCCATGGGTCTACAGCTGGGAGTGTCTAGGGATTCCCAAAATAATCCCAAATCCCATGGATTCACAGGTGGAAATGTGCCCAGGTGTGCCCTAGGATGGGGCAGAATTCCCAAAAATTCCCAAATCCCATGCATTCACGGGTGGGAATGCTCAGGGATTCCCCAAGAAAAACCCAAATCCTAAGGATTCACAGGTGGGAATGTGGGATTGGGCAGAATTCCCAAAAAAAGCCCAAAGCCCATGGATTCACAGCTGGGAATGCCCAGGGATTCACATAAAATCCCAAATCCCATGGATTCACACAGCTGGGAATGCCCAGGTATGTCCTGAGTGGGGCAGAATTCCCAAAAAATCCCAGATCCCATGGATTCACTGGTGGGAATGTGGGATGGTGCGGAATTCCCAAAAAATCCCAGATCCCATGGATTTTCAGGTGGGAATGCCCATCCCCGGGATGGGGCGGGACTCCCATAAAAGCTCATGAATATGCAATAAGCTCATGAATATGCAATAAAGTCCAATTACCATAAATTATAATTTCCCAGGGAGTTTCCAAGGAAAGCCAGAGCAGCTTCAGAATTCCCGAGGGATTTTTCTCTTTCCCAATAAAATCGGCCAGGCACAAGAGATTCCCAGATTCCCAGATTTCCCTTTTCCTCTCCCTGAGCCTTTGAGGGATTTTCCAGCCCAATCCCAGGGAATGGGGCCGGATTTATCCTGCCCTGTTTGGGATTTGGATTTGGCAGTTTTGGGAATCCTGCCCATCCCGGGACACACCTGGGCATTCCCACCTGTGAATCCATGGGATCTGGGCTCTTTTGGGAATCCCAGAACACACCTGGACATTCCCACTTCTGAATCCATCGGATTTTTTGGGAATTCCTCCCCATCCCACATTCCCACTTGTGAATCCATGGGATTTGGGCTTTTTTGGGAATCCCAGGGCACACTTGGGCATTCCCAGCTGTGAATCCTTGGGATTTGGGATTTTTTGGGAATTCTGCCCCATCCCACATTCCCACCTGTCAATCCATGGGATCTGAGATTTTTTGGGAATTCCTCCCCATCCAGCATTCCCACCTCTGAATCAATGGGATTTGGGCTCTTTTGGGAACCCCGGAACACACCTGGGTATTCCCACTTCTGAATCCATGGGATTTTTTGGGAATTCTGCCCCATCCCACATTCCCACCTCTGAATCCATGGGATTTGGGCTTTTTTGGGAATCCCAGGACACGCTTGGGCATTCCCAACTGTGAATGCATGGGATTTGGGATATTTTGGGAATCCCCGGGCATTCCCAGCTATGAATCCATGGGATTTGGGATTTTTTTGGGAATTCTGCCCCATCCCAGGACACACCTAGGCATTCCATCTCTGAATCCATGGGATTTGGGATTTTTTGGGAATCCCAGGACACACCTGGACATTCTGAACTGTGAATTCTTGGGATCTGTGATTTTCTTGGGAATTCTGCCCCGTCCCAGGACACACCTGGGCATTCCCACCTGTGAATCTATAGGATTTAAGGTTTTTTGGGAATCCCTCCCCATCTCACCCCAGGACTGTAAATTCCCGAGGGAATTCCCGGCGGGAATCCGGGCAGATCGGAGCCAGCCGGGATCGGGATCTGCTCCCAGGGAATGAGGGATGGGATGAGGGAACGGCCTCCAGCTGTGCCAGGGGAGGTTTCTGGGATATCGGGAACAATTCCTGCCTGGAAAGGCTTTAAATCCCCATTCCTGGGGGGATTTCAAATCCCTGTGGATCTGAGGGGACCGGGATCAGGGGTGGGCTCCGAGGGCTTTTCCAGCCCCAAGAATTCCAGGATTCCCGGAGGTTTATTTTCCTTGCCCTCCGGTGCTTGACGCTCCTCCCCACGGGCTCGGCTCCTCCACAACATTCCCGGGATTTTTTTGGGAAGGGCGGGGAGTGCGGATCCCATGGAGCCTTGCCTCAGTTTCCCCATTCCCAAATTCCTGCAGCTGGGAAGGGAAAAGGTGAAAAGGGGGAAAAGGAGGAAAGGGGGGAAAGGGGGAAAAGGGAAAAGGGGAAGAGGAAAAAGGGGGAAAAGGGGGGAGAAATGAGGAAAGGAAATTTCAAGGAAAGAAAATTTCAAGGAAAGGAAAGGCAAGGAAATTTCAAGGAAATTTCAAGGAAAGGAAAGGAAAGGAAAAAGAGGAGAGGGGAGGGAAGGAAGGGAAGGAGAAGGGAGGGGAAGGAGGAGGAGGAGAAAGGGGAGGAAGGCGGGGGAGAGGGAGGGGCGGCCCCGCTGCTGAATAATTCAGTGCCGGGAGCGGGGGAAGCTCCGCACCGGCACCGAGACCGCACCGAGCCGAGCTCCGGAGCGCGGCACCGGGAACAGGACCGGGACCGCCACCAGCACCGGCCCAGGGACCGCACCGGACCGGGACCAGGACCGAGACCCCGTCAGGCTCCAGGCACGTTACGGGGCTCAACACCGGGCTCCGCACCGAGCACCGGCACCGCATTAAGCCCCGGGAGCACCTCGGGCTCCGCACCGGGCTCCGCACCGGGACCGCATCAGGTTCCAGACACTGCACCGGACCACACCGAGCACCTCGGTCCGCACCGGGCTCTGCACCGGGACCGCTCCAGGACCGCATCGGGCATCGGGACTGCCCCGGGACCACCTCGGGCTCCACTCCGAGCCCGCCCCGGGACGGCATCGAGCACCGGGACCAACCCGGGACCACCTCGGGCTCCGCTCCAAGACCACCCCGGAACCGCATTTGGCAAGGGACTACCCCGGGACCACCTCGGGCTCTGCACCGAGACCATCCCAGAACCGCATCTGGCACCGGGACCACCTCAGGACCACCTCGGACTCAGCACCGGGACCACTCCGGGACCAGACCGAGCTCCGCACCGAGCACCGGCACCGCACCGGGATCGCATCAGGCACCGGCACCGCACCGAGCGCCCCGAACCGCCCCGGGCTCTGCGCCGAGCCCGCCCCGGGCCCGCCCCGAGCGCCTGGATCCGCACGGGCCCGGCGCCGAGCCCGCCCCGGTGGCCGCGGCTCCATCCCCAGCCCCGCACGGTCCCGCCATGGCTCTGGTGCTGCAGCTCCGCTCCGTCTCCGGCCTCCGCGGCAAAGGCGACCGCATCGCCAAGGCGGCGTTCCGGGGTACCGGGAGCAGGAATTGGGGGAGAGGGATTTGGGGGAGAGGGAATTGGGGATGAGAGATCTGGGGGAGAGGGTTTGGGGAATCGGGAATTGGGGAGCGGGAATTGGGATCAGGCTTTGGGGGAGAGGGATTGAGGGATCAGGAACCGGGGAGAGGAATTTGGGGAGCGGCAATTGGGGGATCGGGATTTAGAGGAAAGGGACTGAGAAGCAGGAATTGGGGGAGGATCAGGATTTGGGGGAGAGGGATTTGGGGGATCAGGAATTGGAGAGCGGGAATTGGGATCAAGATTTGGGGGAGAGGGATTGAGGGATCAGGAATTGGGGAGAGGGATTGAGGGATTGGGAATTGCGGAGAAGAATTTGGGGAGTGGGAATTTTGCGATTGGGATTTAGGGGAAAGGGACTGGGAGGCAGGAATTGGGAGAGAGGAATTGGGGGTGGGGAATTGGGGTCAGGATTTGGGGGAGAGGGATTGAGGGATTGGGATTTGGGGAGAGAGAATTGGGGGATCGCGATTTAGGAGAAAGGGACTTGGGGAGAGGGATTGGGGGATCGGGAATTGGGAAGCGGGAATTGGGATCAGGATTTGGGGGAGAGGGATTGAGGGATCAGGAACTGGGGAGAGGGATTTGGGGAGCGGGAATTGGGGGATTGGGATTTCGGGGAAAGGGACTGGGAGGCAGTAATTTGGGGAGAGGAATTTGGGGGAGAGGGATTGGGGGGGTTGAGAATTGGGGAGCTGGAATTGGGATCAGGATTTGGGGGTTCAGGGATCAGGATTTGTGAATTGAGGGAGAGGGATTGGGAGGCAGGATTTGGAGATAAGGTATTTGGAGGAGAAAGACTGGGGGATCGGGATCTGGGGGACAGGGACTGGGAGGCAGGAATTGGGAGGGCAGGGATTGGGGGACAGGATTTTGGGGACAGGATTTTGAGGACAGGATTGGTGGGGCAGGATTTGGGAAGTGGGAGTTGAGGGACAGGAATTGGGGTAGAGGGATTTAGGATTGGGATTTTGAGGGCAGGGTTTGGAGGTATAGGATTTTGGGGAGCAGGAATTTGGGACAGGATTTGGGGAAGAAGGATTTGGGGTGCAGGATTTGGTGTGCAGGAATTGGGGGAGAGGGATTTGAGGGAAAGGATTTGGAGGTTCAAGATTTGGGGGAGTGGAATTTGGGGTATCAGGATTTGGGGACAGGATTTGGGGTGCTGAGGGACAGGATTGGTGGAGCAGGATTTGGGAAGTGGGAATTGAGGGGCAGGAATTGAGGGACAGGTATTTGGGATAGGTTCAGGGTTTAGGGGACAGGATTTTGGGAGGAGAATTTGGGGGAGAGGATTTTGGGGAGGTGGGATTTGGGGTGCAGGAATTGGGGAGAAGGATTTGAGGGAAAGGATTTGGAGGATCAGAATTTGGGGGAGTGGAATTTGGGGACAGGATTTTGGGGGAGCAGGATTTGGGGACAGGATTTGGGGTGCAGGGTTTGAGGGATAGCATTGGTGGAGCAGGATTTGGGAAGTGGGAATTGAGGGACAGGAACTGGGGACAGGATTTTGAGGGTGGGATTTGGAGGTCCAGGGTTTGGAGGACAGGATTTTGGGAGGAGAATGTGGGGGACAGGACTTGAGGGATGGTAACTGAGGGAGATGGGATTTGGGGTGCAGGAACTGGGGAGAAGGATTTGAGGGAAAGAATTTGGGAGGGTGGGATTTGGGGAGAGGGATTTGAGGGGCAGGAGATGGGGATCAGAAATTTGGGACAGGATTTTGAGGGCAGAGTTTGGAGGTGCAGGATTTGGGGGAGAGGATTTTGGGATGAGGACTGTGGAGCAGGATGTGGGGGAGAGGATTTTGAGGAGGTGGGATTTGGGGTGCAGGAACTGAGGAGAAGGATTTGAGGGAAAGGATTTAGAGGTTTGGGATTTGGGGATGGGATTTTGGGGTATCAGGAATTGGGGTGCAGTGTTTGAGGGACAGGATTGGTGGAGCAGGATTTGGGAAATGGGAATTGAGGGGCAGGATTTGGAGGTGCAGAATTTGGGGGATAGGATTTTGAGGAGGTGGGATTTAGGGTGCAGGAATTGGGGAGAAGGATTTGAGGGAAAGGATTTAGAGGATCGGGATTTGAGGAGTGGGATTTGGGAACAGGATTTTGGGATGGGATTTGGGGACAGGATTTTGGGGGAGCAGGATTTGGGGAGCAAGATTTGGGTGTGGAATTTGAGGGACAGGATTTGGCAATCGGGAATTGGGGTCCGGATTTGGGGGTGGAATTTGAGGGACAGGATTTGGGGAATCCCAGCATCCATCCCTGCCTCAGTTTCCCCACGCACGACACCAAACCTACTCTTTTTGGGATTCCCTCACCCCGGGTTTATCCAGGGAAAAGGGGGATGAATTCCCAAGGTGAAATTCCCACCGGGATCTGCATCAGCTCCCAAGATTTCCTTGGGAAGGAGCAAAAATTCCCCCGGGGCTGTGGAAGTTCCGGAGCTGCCGGCGTTTTTCCAAGGCTTGGGAAAAGCTCGGGATGGGATCCCAGCTCTTCCAGAGGCCGGGAATGCATGGAGGGAGAGTAGAATGGGGATGGGAAAGGCGATCCCAGTTCAGCAGGGAATTCCAGGAATTCCATTGGGGTGGAAAAGGCGGGAACAGGGATCCCAGCTCAGCCAGGAAATTCCAGGAATTCCAGGAATTCTATCAGTGAGAAAAAGGCGGGAACAGTGATCCCAGCTCAACAGGGGAATTCCAGGAATTCCATTGGGTAGAGAAGGCAAGAACAGCGATCCCAGGTGAATTCCAGGAATTCCATAAGTGAGAAAAAAGGCAGAAACAGGGATCCCAGCTCAGCCGAGGAATTCAAGGAATTCTGTCAGTGAAAAAAAGGCGGGAACGGGTGATCCCACCTCTGCAGGGGAATTCCAGGAATTCCATTGCCAGCCTGGATCAGCTTCCCCTGCTCTTAATGAGCTCGGGATCATTAATCAGGGATAATTAACTGTCAGCTCCCTGTTGTGCTTCCAGCTCCAAGAACATGCCTGGAAAAAAGTGGAATTCCCAGGAAATCCACTATGGAGCCCTGGGAGATGCCAAATTTCTGGTTCTGGACATTCCTGCTCCCGAATCCAGCCCAAATTCCCAAAGTGGGACTTTGGGAATTTTGGGATCTGTCCCAGCTTTGGGTCCAGACTGGAAAACAGGGAATGACTGGGAAACATTGGGAAAGGGGAGCTTGGGATTGTGGGATCTTGGGAAGGAATTCCTGGCTGGGCTGGAATTCCCAGAGAATCCCTGGATCCCTGGCAGCGTCCCAGGACAGGTTGGAGCACCCTGGGATATTGGGATTGGAATGGGATCATGGGATTGAAGGTCCTTTCCCACCCAGCCCATTCTGGGATGGAATTCCAAGGAAGGAATTTCCAGGACGGTTGGATCAGGGTCCTGAGGGTTTTTCCTGCCCTTTTCCATCCACAAATTCCCATGGAAAAGGGGATTTAGGGTCACGCCAGGATGCAGCCAATGCCTGATGCTTCCAGGTGGGAATTCCTTTTCCCAGGCTCATCCAGGCCCTGGCCAGGAAAATCCAGCTGCTAAAAGGGGCTGGAAGCAGCTTGGGAAGAAATTCCAGGTGTGGATGGATCTGGGAAGCGGATCCCGATGGATCCATCCCTTGGATGTGCCTGGAGAGGGATTTGGGCTCATTCCCTCAGATCCATAGGGATAAAAATTCCCCTCCAAAGGCTCTGGTTGTCTTTCCCAAATTCCTTGTATCCAATGAGTAACCGAGGGAGCAGCTCCGTGTGGACTGGGAATTCCAGGGATGATCACTGGGAACCTCCTGGACATGCAGCTGGAATGTTTTGGGATGTGGGAGAGCTCTGGGACCGGAATCCGGTCTGGAATATTCCATGGGATGCAGGAGCCGGCTCGGGATGAGGGGATGGGAAAAATCCGTAAGGATAAATTAGTGGGATGATCCTTCAGGATCTTTCTGGCATGCCATGGATTCCAGAACAGAAAAACAGGAGTTTTCCATGATCTTGGAATCATGGAATGATTTGGGATGAAAGGGATCCTAAAGCTCATCCCAATCCACCCCCACTGAGAGCTCCTCCCTTGTTAGTTTTCCCCCGGAATGCTCTGCTGCCCCTCGCTCCAGGAAAATTTGGGAATACTTCCTGGGAAGTGTCCCGCTGGCTCCTGGTCCTTTCCGAATGATTCCTTAAATCCCTGATGGAATTTTGGCCCTTGGATTAAATCCACGCTGCCCTCAGCCCCATGGGAATCATTCCTTAGGAATAATTCCTGCCTGGAAAGGGGCAGCACCCACGGGAATCATTCCTTGGGAATAATTCCTGCCTGGAAAGGGGCAGCACCCATGGGAATCATTCCTTGGGAAAAATTCCTGCCTGGAAGGAGCAGCCCAGGGCTGTGGGATCCCCATTCCCAAAGGGATTGAAATCCCTGTGGATGTGACACTTGGGGACACAGATCAGGGAATGCTGGACTCAGTCCGAGAGGAGTTTTCCAACCAAAATAATTCCAAAATAATTTTCCATGGTTCCTTCCTTAATCCAGGCCCTGTCCAGCCCTGGGATGGAATAGGATGGGTTCCAGGCACACTGACCCGGAATTCCAGGCCCAGAATGTTTCTGGTTGGCGCTCAGTCCCAAAATCCATTGGGAAAAACTTTTCCAGTGCCTCTGGAAAAGCTTTGGACCCTTGGGCATGGAATGAGGAGCTCAGGATGCCAGCTCCCGGCTGGGATACTCCTCATTCCTCAGGTTTTCCTGGATGGGATTCCCTTCCCCATCCCAGCCACATCCGGCAGTGGGATCTGCCGGAGCTCTTGGGTGGGAGAGGAAGGAGAGAAATCCGGGATAAAACATTCCTGAGGCTGGAGTGGGAAGTGATACTGCTCCTCCTCTCCTAGGAATCCCAAGAACTGCAGCGTTTTCCAAACTGGGGGAAACTGAGGCACGGATGGGATTCTGGATCCATGGGAGCAGCCAGGGAGGGTGGGAGGTGGATCCCGCTCTGGAAGTGGAGGGAAAAGGTGGATTCTGTGGCCAAAATCCACTCCCAAAATCCTGGAATAGCAGGGATTCCTCTCCATCCACAGCTTTGGATTTGGCTCCCAAGGTAATCCCACAGGATTTCCAAGGTATCCTGTGAGGATCCAGAGTGGGGGTTCAGTTTTGCCTTTAGGATTGTCCCGGTTTTCCATCAGGGATTTGGGAATGGGATCCAATCCTGGGACCTCCAAAGTTCTCCTGGATCCATCACAGTTCTGTTTCTCCCCCTCTTTGTTCTGCACATGAAAACAAACCAGGGATGACTTGAGGGATTTCTAGGAATTCCAGTTTTTCAGCCTGGCCTTGGATGAATGGATTCCATGGCCAAAATCCGCTCCCAAAATCCTGGAATATCAGGGATTCCTCTCCATCCACAGCTTGCATTTGGCTCCCACATTCCCAAGGGATCCTGTGAGGATCCAGAGCGGGGGTTCGGGTCAGCTTTGCCTTTAGGATTGTCCTGGTTTTCCATCAGGGATTTGGGAATGGGATCGAATCCTGGGCCATCCAAAGGGCTCCCAGATCCATGAACACATGGAAAAAACCAGGGATGACTCCAGAATTTTTGGGAATTCTGGGTTCTTAGCCTGGCTTTGGGGAAAAGGCAGGAAAACGGGGAATTTATATCACCTGGCTCATTTTTTGGGAAGCTCCAGCAGGATCTGAGCTCTGCTCCAGAGTCGCTTTCCCATGGGAATTCCCACTTCATCCCGTCTTAATTGCATTTGTGTCCGGGGCTAATTAGGGAGCCAGGAGTTAATGGATCACAAGGAGCTGCCAGGAGAGGTTTCCTCTCGGGAATGGGGCCAGGAAATGGGGGATATCACTCATGGATACCCCCTGGAGAACCGGCGGATAACGATTCCACCTTCAGGAAAAGTCGGGATGCTCCTGCATTGGGAGGGGTTGGAGCAGGGAGATGCCACAGGATCAAGGGGTCTCTCCCAGGAGGTGGAATTCCGGTGGAGTTTTTCCATCCAGTGTTCCCAGATCCCAAAATTCCAGGGTTTCCCAGCCCTTTATCCACCTCTTTTCCCTCTTTTTTCCAGGACTTTCCTTCTACACCCGAGTTCTGGAAAACTGTGAGGACGAGGCCAAGTTTGATGAGGTAGGAGAAGTTTTCCATGCTTTTTATCCCAAAAATCTGATTTGTTTTCCCAGGATTCCCTGTCCAAGTGAAAACCCAGGATTCCCAGTCCTGGTGAAATCCCTGGTCCCAATTTTTCTTGGCATCTTCATTGTCTGCTCCAAGGTTTCTCCTGGCAGGGGCCAAACAGGATTCCTGGCTGGACACAGGTGGGAAAATCCCTGTGGAATTTTCCAGGGTGGGGGGATAAATTAAAAACATAAAAATTTCCATGTTTTCTGCCCTGAATTTCAGGAAAAAATGTTCGTCCAAGCTGGGAAAATCCTGCTGGGATTTTGGTTCCATTTTCCTTTGTCTCAGGAGGGAAAAGTTGGGATTTTTTCCTCCTCCGGAAATTCCTTCTTTTTCCTTCAGGCACAGAATTCCCAGTGGAGCGGTGGCTGCCCCTGGACCCCTGGAAGTGTCCAAGGAAAACCCTTGGAGCAAACAGGGATAGGGAAATTTCCCTGCCCATGGAATGGGATGGGATTTAAGTTCCTTTCCTGCCGAAACCATCCCATGAACACTTCCAGGGCTGGAACATCCCAAATTTTTGGGAATTTTTCCCCCTCCAAGCCCCATCCAACTCCATCTCCCACCAGCCCTGTGGGATTTTTTTCCCCTGATTCACCACATGCCATTGGAAAACCATATTTGGGAATGGTTGGGATCATGTTTGGATCAGGAGCTGTGTCCAGCCTGGAATTCCAGAAATTCCAGGGAAGCAAATCCCTCCTGGAGCAGCCACAGGCTCTACAATGCCATGGAGGCATTCCTGGATCAAATCCTTCCTGCCGGGGGAATATCCAGGGAATCTCCACCCTCCTCTGGGCACAGGGAATTCCTGGGAATATTCGGAGTACAAACCACTCGGATTATCCATGGCAGATCCCAAATCCTGGAGCAGGACGGGAGTCAGGCTTTGCTTCCCAGGAATAGGGACAGGACAAGGGGAAACGGCCTCAGGCTTTTCCAGGGAAGTTGAGGCCGGATTTTGGGAATAATTCCTCATGGAACGGGCGGCCAGGCCTTGGGAGGGGCTCCCAGGGAGGTTTGGAGACCCCATCCCTGGAGGTTTCCAAGGAATTCCTGGATGTGACATTCCAGGAATTGTCCTAGTCCCATATCTTGGATTCGATTATCCCAGAGGTTTTTCCCAACATCAATAATCCCTGGATTCTGTGATCTCAGAGCTGAGGAAATCCGTGTTAATTCCCTCTTTTCCTGCCCCCTCTTTTCAATGTTAATTTCCTTTTTTCCTCTTTTCGATGTTAATTCCCTCTTTTCCTGCCCCCTCTTTTCCGTGGTAATTCCCTCTTTTTCTGCCCCCTCTTTCCATAAATCAGGATCCGCCCCCAGGCAGGATTTGGATTTCAAACCCCAGCGGTTTCCATTTGTTTGCTTCTACTCTGTTTCTTTTCCAATTATTTTCTTTTTCATTCCTTAAAGAATTCTGCAAACCCTCTGCTGCCCGGGATCCTGGAATATTCCAGAGGCTGTGCTCAGCTCCCCAATTAATCAGGAATGTTTGTGTTCCGTGCTGAAATCCCGAAGGATTTAATCTTGGAAAGGCTTTTCCTGAAGATCCCTCACAGCCTGGGAGGGAAGGGAATGAAGGAGACCAAATTCCTGGGAGATGGAATTTCCTGGGATAATTTTGAACAGGCTCTGAGGCAGGAGCTGCTCCTGCAAATTCCAGGAAACACAAACCATGGAATTTTGTGTGGGAAGAGACCTAAAAACTCATCCCATTCCAGGGACAGGGACAGAGACACCTTTCCCGATCATTCCAGGAAACACAAACCATGGAATTTTGGATGGGAAGAGATCTTAAAACCCATCCCACTCCAGGGACAGGGACACTTTTCCTGATGCCAGGGTATTTCAAGCCCTGTCCAGTCTGGCCTTGGACACTTCCAGAAATCCAGGGGCAGCCATGACTTTTCTGGGAATTCTGTGCCAGGGCCTTCCCAGTTTCCCATTGTTTTTTCCCAGCACTTGGAAAACCCCTGGGATCAAGCTGTGGCTCCAGCCACGACTTTTCCAGGTTATTTTCCCCCTTTTCCTTTGGTAAATGCCATCCCAGAATTTAGCGAATGCCTGGATGTCACCGCCCACAATTGCTGCCACTTCCTCTGCCTTTCCTTGGATTTGGAGTGGATTTCCTGGGATTTGGTGGATCCCAAAGCACATCCAAAACCTTTTGGATGGAGGTTGGACAGGGACAAGGGAATCTGGCTGGGAAAATTCCCATTTTTCCCCTCCTCTCTCTGGGAAATCTCCTGGTGCAGAGCACTGAAAAGTGGGAATAGGAAAACTCCTCAGGCCAGAGAGGCGTTCCTGCATAATTCCTTCCTGGAAAGGGCTGTCCAGTGGTGGAATTCCCAGAGGGATTTCAATCCACATGGATGTGGGGACATGGATTAAGGGTGGCCCCTGCAGTGCTGGGAATTCTTGGATTCGGTTATCTCCAAGGATTTTTCCAACTCCTTGATTCCATAACCTTGGGATTTCCGGGTGATTTGACCACCGGATCCAATCCCTGGAGCATCAAAACGTTTGGGAAAAAACAGGGAGAAAGCAGGGGAAGGACTAAACTCCATCCCCACATGGAATAAACCAGGAAAAATCCTCCTGCAGGATCCTTTGGTGCCATTTCCCATTTCCCTTTATATCCCAATAATTTTCCCTTTGCTTCCTTGACTCTGCAGACCAATTAAAACCAGGAATAAATAGCTCGGGAAGTGCTGAGGAGGCATCGGTTCCTTCCTGGGAATCTGCTGGATGAGCAAATTCTCTTCCCGTGGTTTTCAATCCTGCTCTGCTGCTCCTGGGAGGGATCCTGGATCCCGGATCCGCTGCCTCTGGCACGTTCCCAACCCGGGGTGCACCAGGAGTGGCTTGGGAAGGGGGGATTTGGGAGTTGTGGGGGTTTGGAAATCCGTGAATCCAGAGGGTTGGGCTGACAGAGGGATTTGCCTTGGGAAGCAAAAAACAAAAAAAGAAGAAAGGGATCATATTTTGTGGAATCATGGAACGGTTTGGGAGGGGAGGGAAATTAAGGATCATCCAGTTCCAACTGTGACAGCTCCCACTATCCCAGGATGCTTCAGCCTTTCCTTGGAGACTTCCAGGGACCCAGGGATTCTCTGGGAATTCCAGCCCAGCCAGGAATCCCTTCCCAAGATCCCATAATCCCAAGCTCCCCTTTCCCACTGGAAGCCATTCCCTGGCTCTTGCCCCTCCAGCCCTTGTCCAAATTCCAGCTCTCCTGGAGCCCCTTTGGGATGGGGAAGTGGCTCCAAGGATTCCCTGGATCCTTCCCTGATCCAGCTGCACATTCCCAGCTCTCCCAGCCTGACTCCATATTCCCATCCTGATCCAATGTCTGTATTCATATTTTCTACATGTGAATCCATGGAATATTTGGCACTGGGCACATCCTTAGTGGCATCCATGTGAAACATCCCTGCTGCCTTTTTCCTGGGAAAAGAGGCCTTTCTCCATCCCCTCCACTGCTGCTCCCTGGGGTACTCCTGGCTCATCCCTCTCCTCCTTTTCCCAAAATGATCCTGGCTCATCCATCTCCTCCTTTTCCCAAAATCCTCCTGGCTCTTTCCTCCCCTTTTCCCAAAATGGTTCTTGCTCATCCCTCCCCTCTTTTCCCCAAAATAATTCTGGCTCTTCCCTCCCTTTTTCCAAACTGGTCCTGGCTCATCCCTCTCCTCCTTTTCCCAACCAATCTTAGCTCACCATCTCTTCCTTTTCAAAAAATCCTCTTGGCTCATCCCTCCCCTCCTTTTCCCAACTGATCCTGGCTCATCCCTCTCCTCTTTTCCAAAAACCCTCCTGCCTCTTCCCTCTTCTTTTCACAACCAATCCTGGCTCATCCATCTCCTCCTTTTCCCAACCAGTCCTGGCTCTTTCCTCCTGTTTTCCCAAGTAATCCTGCCCATCCTTCTCCTCCTTTTCCCTAAACTCTCCTGGCTCTTCCCTCTCCTTTTCCCAGCTGATCCTGGCTCATCCCTCTCCTCCTTTTCCCACAATGATCCTGGCTCTTCCCTCTTCTTTTCCCAACAAATCCTGGCTCATCCATCTCCTCCTTTTCCAAAAATCCTCCTGGCTCTTCCCTCCCCTTTTCCCAAGTGGCATTGGCTCATCCCTCTCCTCCTTTTCTCACCTGATCCTGCCTATCCCTCTCCTCCTTTTCCCAAAGTGCTCCTGGATCTGCCTTCTCCTCCTTTTCCCAATGAACTTTGGTTATCCATATCCTCCTTTTCCCAAAATACTTTTGGCTCATCCCTCTCCTTCTTTTCCCAAAAAACTCCTGTCTCTTCCCTCCCCTTTTCCCAATGAACCTTTGTTCATCCCTCTCCGTCTTTTCCCAAAATGCTCCTGGATCTGCCCTCTCCTTTTCCCAACGAACTTTTGCTCATTCCTCTCCTCTTTTTCCCTCACGGTTCTTCCCTTTTCCCAACTGATCCTGGCTCATTGCTCTCTTCATTTTCCCAAAATCCTCCTGGCTCTTCCCTCCCCTTTTCCCAATGAACCTTTGTTCATCCCTCTCCTCCTTTTTCCAAAACTCTCCTGGCTCTTTTTTCCCCTTTTCCCAACTGACTCTGGCTCATCCCTCTCCTCCTTTTCCCAGCTGATCCTGGCTCATCCCTTTCCTCCTTTTCCCAGCTGATCCTGGCTCATCCCTCTCCTCCTTTTCCCAAAGCACTCCCGGCTCATCCCTCTCCTCCTTTTCCCAGACTTTTCGCTGGCCGGTGGCGACCAACATCGATGGGAATGAGATCCTGGAGATCCAAGTGTTCAACTACAGCAAAGTCTTCACCAACAGGTGAGTCCCTCCTTCCCACGGCCCACGTGGATCTCATCCCGCGGGAAGAGGCAGCTCTGCTTCCGTTTGGAGGCAGGAGGGAATTCCCAATTTCCTGGGAATTTCTGGTGTCAGGGGGTGAGGAATCCACCCCAGGAATTCTGCGGTGCTCAGCACTGAGTTTTTCCCAAGTTGTGCTGATTGTTTCCATGAAATTTCCGTGTTTTGAAGAAATTTTTTGGGTGGATTGTCCAGATGCAAGTTGATGCTGGAAATTTTCCTGGATTTTCTAGTTCCTGTGGGTGTTGGGTTGATTGTGTCCAGGGAAGCTGGGGCTGCTCCATCCCTGCAAGTGTCCAGGGAAAGGTTGGATGAGGCTTGGAGCCACCTGGGATAGTGGGAAGGGTTGGCCTTGGAATGGGATGGGATTTAAGGTCCCTTTCCACATGGATCCATGAGGACACCTGGAAAAGAGATGGATCCAGAGAATCCTTGGAGCCACTTCCCGATCCAAAAGGGGGTCCAGGAGAGCTGGAATTTAGGCAAGGGCTGGAGGGGCAGGAGCCAGGGAATGGCTTCCAGTGGGAAAGGGGAGCTTGGGATTGTGGGATCTTGGGAAGAGATTCCCAGGTGGGAGGGTGGGGAGGAGAAGAGAGTAGCTGATGCTGGGAAAATCCCTCCAGAAATGCTGGGAATATATGGAATAGGAAATTGCATTAAGACAAAGCAGCGCTGGAACTCCAGCAAATCCTCCTTTTCCAGGGATAAATTGGAGGAGAAGGAGAGTGGAGAGGAAGGAGAGAGTTGGGAATGTCCCTTCAGGATTGCTGGGTATATTTGGAATAGGAAATCCCACAAAACTGAGGAAGTGTCGGAATCCCAGCCCGTTTTCCTTATCCAGGATTAAGTTGGATAAGGTCATGATATTTTTGGGGACAACCCTTCAGGAATGCAAGGAATAAGCAGGAAAATAAATTCCATTAACACAGGGGAGTGCTGGAACTCCGGCCTGTCCTCCAAATCAGCTGGGGGAGAGGAGGGAGAATTTTGGGAACATCCATCTGGGGATGCAAGGAATAAGCAGAAAAAGAAATTCCATTAAAACAGGGCAGTGCTGGAGCTCCAGCCCATCCTCTGAATTAGTTGGAGGAGAGGGGAGAAGAGGGAGAATTTTGGGAATATCCCTCTGGGAATGCGGGTAACAATGCAGGAAAAGAATTCCCGTGGTCTGTAATTCCAGCCCATCCTCCTTGCCCAGAAAGAGTTGGAAGAGGGAGGAGGGAGAGGATTGGGAATACACCTCCAGGAAGGCAGAGAATGTCTGGAATAGGAATTCCCATAAAACAGAGGCAGAGCTGGAGCTCCAAATCCGCTGGAGGAGGAAGAGGAGGAGGGAGAGGCTTGGGAAAGCTGATCTGGGCGCTCCATGAATAATTCACGAGCAGCTGATGAAGGCTATTGATCAAAGGCCTGGAAAAAGGCGGGATACCTGATCCAGGGCGTGATCCAGACCCTCCGGAGTGAGCAGGGAGTCACGTCCCGGCGGCTCCCTTTGTTCCCTGTGCCTGTGGCTGTCACCAGCAGACAATTCCCGGGAATGTGATCCCAGTTTGGGCTCATCCAGGTGCCTCTGGATCCTGGTGGGTTCATCCCGGCTCCGGAGGGTCCCTGGGAGCATTCCCAGGGTGCTGAGTATCCAAAGAAAAGGGATGAGGGAGAAGCTCCTAACTCCCCCAGATAGGCAACAGCATCCCAAAAATCCTGCCCCCAGCTCCTGAATTGGGAATTTCCAGGCTGGGAATCTCTCCAGGGCACATTCAAAGCATCCAGGAGTCACATCCTGCCCGTGGGTCATTCCCATGTGGAAATTCCCACTGGGAAAGCTTCACATGAGAGCAGGATGAAAAATTGTGGGGCCTCCACATCCTGAATAAAACCTGGGAGATTCCCATGGCACGGAATAATCCATCAAAACCCCTCCTGGAAAATCCTGGTGTGAGGTGGGATGGCCTGGTGGGAATACTGGGATCCTGCTGGAATTCGGGTGTTTTCCATGGTCTCCTGGGAGACCTTCAGAACCACTCCAGGGTGGGAGAAAGTCCCTGGGATGTTCTCCCATGGTTCTGTGCCCTGGGAGAGGCTGGATGGAGGAAATTTGAAATCCTAATTCTTTTTGGGATTTGAGCAGAAAAAGCCACCACAGGACACTCCTGAGGGATGTGGGAATGGGAATCACACTCAGGAGAGGGGAAGATCCAGGGAAAAAAGCAGAGACACAACCAGGGATGGATCCAAGAGGCAGCCGTGATCCAGGGCCTACAGAGCCTGTGGTCCCATTCCCAAACTTTTGGGACTTTTGGAACTTTTGAGCCTTTCCAAGCAGGTTTTCCTTGTGTAGAAAACAGGGATAACACCAGGCAGAGATCCCAATCCTTAAGGAATGTGCACAAAACCCAAGACCTTTTCTCTGGGGGGTTCTGTCTCCTCCTTGTCCCTGTTTTCCTCTGGAGCAGCAATGGGATCTGGCCAAAGGCCCAAAGCCACATTCCAAACCCGGAGCAGAGATAATTTCCCTATGGAAAACCCATCCTGTGGAGAAGAGGTGGGAGCTGCTCCGTTACCTGACAGGGACACAAAGATCTGGATTCCAAAGGGTTAAATCCATCCCTGGAGTGTCCAGGATGGAAACAGAGCTTGGTCCCGTCCTTTGGTCCTTTGTTTTTCTCCAGCCATGGAGATCCTGGCAGAGTTCGAGTCCTTTGTGTTTCCAGAGGGATCTTTGTTTCATCTGTGGAAAATTATCTGGGAAAATAATCTGTGGAAAATTATCTGGAAAATCATCCGTGGAAAATTAACTGGAAAAATAATCAGTGGAAAAATTTCCAGATAATCATCTGCAGAAAATTATCCACAAAAATAATCTGTGGAAAATTATCCAGAAAATAATATGTGGAAAATTTTCCAGAAAAATCATCTGCAGAAAATTATCCAGAAAAATAATCAGTGGGAAATTATCTGGAAAAAATCATCCATGGAAAATTATCCAGAAAAAGAATCTGAGATTTATCTGGAAAAATAAGATGTGGAAAATTATCCAGAAAAATAATCCATGGAAAATTATCCGGAAAAATCATCTGCGGAAAATTATCTGGAAAAATAGTCAGTGGAAAATTATCTGGAAAAAATAATCCACATAAAATTGTCCAGGAAAATAGTCAGTGGAAAATTATCCAGAAAAATCATCTGTGGAAAATTATCCAGGAAAATTGTCCACAGAAAATTACCCAGAAAATCATCCATGGAAAATTATCTCCTGCTGGAGCAGGAGAATGGAAAAAATTAACTCCAGATCTGGAGGGTTCCTTGTTGTCTGACTGCCCTCCCCACACGGAGCAGTTATGTGGGATTTTGGGATGGAATTCCTGGCTGTGAAGGGCTAGGATGGAATTCCCAGGGAAGCTGTCTCATCCCTGGAAGTTCCCAAAATATGTTGGATAGGGCTTGGAGCAATCTGGGATTGTAGCAGGTCGGGGTTGGAGTGGGATCAGCTTTCAGGTCCTTCCCACCCAAAGCATTCCAGGATTCCAGGGTGGAATTCTCGGTGCTCAATCCCTGCCTGGAGCCCCTCATGTGTGACCCCTTCAGCTCCGGCTGTGTTGGATTTTGTGGAATTTTTCATTTCCGGATCCAAACTTGGAGCAACACCGATCCAAACATGGAGCATGAGCCTGAGCACACCCAAACTGAAAATCTCATCCCAAATTAAATTTCCTGTCAGGAAAAAATCCGTACCCAGGCTGACTTTACTCATTATCCACTCGCCTTCCAAACAAAAAATAATTCCTATTTATTGGGAATTTCTGCAAAAGTTTCCTGAAGTAAAAAGGGGGAACAAACTTCACTTGCCTTCCAAAGAAAAAATAATTTCTGTTTATTGGGAATTTTTGCAAGAGTTTTCTGAAGGAAAAAGGGGGAAGAAACTTGGCTGGAGCAACTTTTAGTACCTGCAGGCTGCTGAGGTGGAGCAGCTGGAGTGTCCCACATTTCTCCAGGTATTCCAGGAAAAAAATGAACGGTAATTACGGATTCCTGTAAGTGGTGGGAAGGGGATAATTAGGAGGGAAGTGCTTTTGGAAGCTCTATTTCCATGGTCTGAGACAATTCCAGATGAAGCTGCAATTTGGTTGGAGAGGGGAAAAAAGGCTCCAGAGAAAGCTCCAGGTAGGAGTTGCAAGAAGAAGGAGCTGGAATTAATCGGGATTGCCCAAGCAGGGGTTTGGAAATCCGTGGAACAGCTGCAGGTTCCAAATTGGAATGGGCACCTTCCACTAACCCAGGGCGCTCCAAGCCCCATCCAACCTGGCCTTGGGCAATTCCATGAGGGTTCTGCAGGTTAATTCCCTGGAAAAGGGGACAAAAGGTGTGGAATTCCTCTGCATTCCTTATCCCACCTTTCCAGGGGTTTCTGGAAGTGGGGAACAAACTGGGATGGAGGTCGCAGGGTTTGGCTCTTGTCAGTTCCAGGGGATGGATGGATGGATGGATGGATGGATGGATGGATGGATGGATGGATGGATGGAGGGATGGATCCATGGAGGGATGGATCCATGGATGGATGGCTAGATGAATGGATCCATGGATGAATAGATGGATCCATGAATGGATGGATGGATGGATGATGGGATGGATCCATGCATGGATGGTGGGATGGATTCATGGATGGAGGGAGGGATCCATGGATGGATTCACGGATGCATGGATGGATTCGTGGATCCATAAATGGATGGAGGGATGGATCCATGGATGGAGATGTCATTCCCAAAAAAAGAGCCTCTCCCTGGCTTCAGGAACACTCCTTGCCCATGGATCAAACAGCATCCAAAGTGTGAGGGAGCAGAGGCAGAAAAATGGGATTTCCTGGGCTGGAGGATGCTCCTGGCACAGACACCTGAAATTCTGGCCCTTGGAAAACTTCAGTGCTGGCAAAGCCTGACCGGATTCATGGGATTCACCATCCCCACAGTGTCCCTGGAGTCGCCCCAGGGATACAGGAGAGGCATCCCTGGAAGTTGGGATACACCATGAGGGCAAATCCTGGTGTGTCCCGGGGTTTGGAGCATCCCTGGCTCCCTGATCCCGGGATTTGAGCGAGCTCCAGGTGCTGAACCAGCCTGGTTGGAGTTGGAAACCAGAGCTGCTCCTCAGGGCTGATAAAATTACGGATGACCCAGAAAATTTCCCTTTTTTCCATCAGCAGAAACAGCGGGGAAGGGAGGGAGCAGGGCCCTGATGAATTATGGAACACTCGGAATTGAACGGCGGCTCAGACAGGTCCTGAATTTTTAATTCTGTCTTGCTCGGATCCTGCCGGGGGGAGCGTCCCGGGAAGGATCCCAGGAAGGACAGGAGCTTCTCTGGGGAACCTGTGCCACCTCCACAGCCAGGAATTCCTTCCCAAGGTCCCTTCTGTCCCTTCCCTCTGCTGCAGGGCTTGGAATCGCTCTGGTTTTGTCAGGGATTCATGGAATGCTTTGGGTGGGAAAGGACCTTAAGGATTGTCTCATTCCAGCTTTGACACCTTCCACTGTCCCAGGGTGCTCCAAGCCCTGTCCAACTTGGCCTTGGACACTGCCAGGGATCCAGGGATTCTCTGGGAATTCCAGCCCAGCCAGGAATTCCTTCCCAAGGTCCCACCTGTCCCCTTCCCTCTGCTACAGGGCTTGGAATGGCTCTGAGTTACGTGGTTTTGTCAGGGATTCATGGGATGGAAAGGACCTTAAGGATTGTCCCGTTTCAACCCTGACACCTTCCACTATCCCCGGGTGCTCCAAGCCTGTTCCAACCTGTCCTTGGACATTGCCAGGGATGCAGGGATTCTCTGGGAATTCCAGCCCAGCCAGAAATTCCTTCCCAAGATCCCACAATCCCAAGCTCCCTTTTCCCACTGGGAGCCATTCCCTGTGTCTGTCCTTCCATGCCTTGTCCCCAGTCCCTCTCCAGCTCTCCTGGAGCCCCTGGAGGCCCTGGAAGGAGCTCTGAGCTCTCCCTGGATCCTTCCTTTCTCCAGCTGGTCATTCCCAGCTCTTCCCAGTCCTTGGAGCAGCTCCAGGGCCTCCTCTGGACTCGTACCAGCAGCTCCAGATCCCAATGTTGGATCCTGAATCTGGAGCAGCTCTGCAGGGAAAATATCCCAGGAGGAATTTGCCTTTTCCTTCCTCAGCCCTCTCCAGGCATTGAGCACCTGGGAGCCAAAAGCCCCTGGATCCACCTGGATCCAAGAGGAGCAGGGAATGTTCTGGATTCCAAACAGGTTAAAAAAACAGAGAGAGCTGCAGGAATCTGGGCCCTGAAGGCTCCAGTCCTGAGGCAAAGCTGGAATTGGCCTGGATGATCCTCGTGGGAGCCTTCCATCTCAGGATATTCCATGGAATAAACCCAAGGAATGCTTTCAAAAACAAAAGTGCTGCTGCTTTGGCAGAAAGGGAATAATGTTGTTTGCAAAACCCCGAAATCCAGGTGGATACAGCAGCTTTTTCCTCATCTTGGAGAAGAAGAAGGACGTTTCCGTGGGATGCATTATTTCTTCTGGGCTGGGAATTCAGGAGCAAACAAAGGAAAGATTTTCCTGTTCCATATCCTGCGGGGCACCTTGAAGACAGAGCTCTGCAGGGATGGATCCGTGCTTGGAATGTGGAAAATGAGGGATGGAGGTGGAAATCCTGCAGGGACCTGGAGGGGCTGGAGAGTGTCCAGAGAAGGGAACGGAGCTGGGAAGGGAATGGAGCCCCAGGAGAGGCTGAGGGAGCTGGGAAGGGGCTCAGCCTGGAGAAAAGGAGGCTCAGGGGGGACCTTTTCCCTCTCCACAACTCCCCGGGAGGAGCCAGAAGGGACTGGGATCTGTTCCCTGGGAACAGGGACAGGATGAGAAGGCATGGCCATGGGGAGGTTCAGGTTGGATTTTGGGAACAATCCCTTCAAGTCATTGGAGCTTGGAGCCACCTGGGATGGTGGAAGGAATCAGGATCATCTCCAAGGTTCAGTCCCACCCAAAGCATTCCATGATTCCATGACGTGGTGCAGATGGATGAGGAGCAATCCCTGCTCCTTGTTTGAATCACCAGCATGGAAATTTAGGGATATCACACAATTAAAGGTGCCCACTGTGGAGATTCCATATGGAAAAGTCTTTGGGATCCCCCAGTGGTATCCCAGGAATTTAGGAGTGATGGTTCCCAAATCTCCTTCTTTCCTATTCCCTTGGAATGGTTCCTCTCTCAGCTTCTCCTTTTTTCCATCACCTCCACTGAGCCTCAATCTAGGATCTCACCTCTCCCTCTTCCTAAGGAAAACAGGAAGCAAATCCCTTTTCCAGTGAAAACTTGGTCCTGGTGGGTGAGAACTCCTGGGATTCCCTGTCCTTTGCTCCGCAGGCTCATCGGGACGTTCCGGATGGTCCTGCAGAAGGTGGTGGCGGAAGGGCAGCTGGAGGTGACGGACACACTCATCGATGACAACAATTCCGCCATCCAGGTGGGTCACTGAGGGGGACATTCCCATCATTCCCGGATCCGTGTATCCGTGTCTCTGCGGCATCTGTGGGATCAGGGATATTGGTGTTCCGTGCCTTGATCCCGTTACTCCTGCTCTGAAGGGATGAGGCGGCCGGGAATGTCCAGAGGGTGCAAAGCGAAACTTGGGCTGGAAAAGAGTGGGAAGTTGGGATGGGGGAAAAGCAGGGATGGACCTGATTTGATCTGTGCATGGACAGGAGAAGCAGAGTGCAGGGTGGAATCGCTGAATTCCAGATGGGATTTATTGGGAAGGGAATTAAATCCGATCCCATTCCAATCCTGACACCTCCCATCATCCCAGGGTGATCCAACCTGGCCTTGGACACTGCCAGGGATCCAGGGATTCTCTGGGAATTCCAGCCCAGCCAGGAATCCCTTCCCAAGATCCCACCATCCCAAGCTCCCCTTTCCCACTGGAAGCCATTCCCTGCCTCCTGCCCCTCCAGCCCTTGCCCAAATTCCAGCTCTCCTGGAGCCCCTTTGGGATGGGGAAGCGGCTCCAAGGATTCCCTGGATCCTTCCCTGATCCAGCTGCACAATCCCAGTCTGGGATTGGATCCATCCCCATCACAACTCCTCTCTGAGAAGGAATTTTGGGAACAAGGGGGTTCACTGGGAATCTCAGGACTCCAGGAAGGGTGTCCCTTCCTCCTTCCTCCATTTTCCATCCCAAATTCCATAAAAATCCCTCTGGATGGATCCTGAGTGTCATTTATCAAGGAATCATGGAATGGTTTGGGTTGAAATGGACCTTAAAGCTCATCCAGTTCCATGCTCTGGCTGAGAGCAGGGATAGGGGGAATATTGGGAAGAAATTCCTGGCTGGGAGGGTGGGAAGGAGCTGGGCTGGAATTCCCAGAGAAGCTGTGGCCACTCCTGGATCCCTGGGAATGTCCAAGGCCAGGCTGGATGGGGCTTGGAGCAGCCTCGAACAGTGGGAATTGTCAGGGTTGAAATGAGATTGGATTTAAGGTCCTTTCCCACCCGAATCAGTCTGGGATTCCAGTATCCCATCCCAAGCCCTGGCCAGGCCAGGAGGCCATCAGGAATTACTTTGCCACCAGAAATTTGGGATGATTCAACTTCCATCCATTGATTTCCCTCTCTGCCCTTTGTGACACCAAATGATCCTAAAAAATTGGGATTTTCCTCCTTTGGAGAGTGATTTTCATCAGGCAAATTCCCAATAACCCAGCAAGCAGCTGTAATTATTTTTCCCAAGCACATCTGCACTCCTTGCACTTCCCCTCCCTCCTCAGGACTGCATTCCTGGTTTTCATTTGTTCCGCTCCCTCCTTCCCCCCCAGGAGAAGCCGCTTAATGAAATCCTGCTCTCCTCCCTGACAATTCCAAGAATTCCCCTCACCCGTCCCTGTCCTTGGTGCTGGATGAGGCGGCGGCTTCCCGGGAAAAAGAAGGGGGGGAGGCTGATTTTTAATGGAACCCCCGGGGTTGGATATCAGGATCAGAAATTGCAGCGTCTCCAAGCCAGTTCCTAAACTCTGTTTCCATGGGAAACGGCTCCCGGGAGGTGGGAATGCAGCGAGGGAAGCGACGGCTGCCCCAAAAAGGGAAAGATTTTTCCAAAAAGGGGGAGATTTTCCCCTCGGGATGGGGGCTCGGGGCTCCCAGACCCGGGGAGGGGGTCGTTCTCATCCTGGTTTTCCCAGAGGGGTGTGGAAATTGTGGAATTCCAGGTGAGGAGGTGCCACAGGGATTTTCCGTGTGATCCAAGGGTTTGGGAAAACAGTCAGAGTCCAGAGGTGAGCACGGAGCTGCTCCAGGGCTGGGAGAGCTGGGAATGTGCAGCTGCATGAGGGAAAAATCCAGGGAATCCTTGTAGCTGCTTCCCCATCCCAAAGGGGCTCCAGGAGAGCTGGGATTTGGGAAAGGACTAGAGGGAGCCAGGGAATGACTTCCCACTGGGAAAGGGGAGCTTGAGATTGTGGGATCTTGGGAAAGAATTCCTGGCTGGGCTGGAATTCCCAGAGAATCTCTGGATCTCTGGCAGTGTCCAAAGATGGATTTCAATCACCCTGGGATGGTGGGAAGTGTCCCTGGGATGGGATTGAAAGTCCATGGATCCCATCCAAACCATTCCAGGATTCTGGGATCAAGGACACTCAGGATCTATCCCGAGGGATTTTTATGGAATTCAGGGATGGAAAAGGGAAGAGAGACCCTCCCTGGAGTCCTGAGATTCCCACTGAACCCCCTTGTTCCTGAAATTCCTTCTCAGAGAGGAGTTGGGATGGGGCTGGATCCAACGCCAGGCTGGGAGAGCTGGGAATGTGCAGCTGGATCAGGGAAGGATCCAGGGAATCCTTGGAGCCGCTTCCCCATCCCAAAGGGGCTCCAGGAGAGCTGGGATTTGGGCAAGGGCTGGAGGGGCAGGAGCCAGGGAATGGCTTCCAGTGGGCAAGGGGAGCTTGGGAAGGAATTCTGGGCTGGGCTGGAATTCCCAGAGAATCCCTGGATCCCTGGCAGTGTCCAAGGCCAGGTTGGAGCACCCTGGGATGGTGGGAGGTATTTGAGTTGGAATGGGATCGGATTTAAGGTCCTTTCCCACCCATCCCGAGGCAATTTCTGGGAACAGCCTCATTTTTCCATAATGGAACCCAAAAGAAAATTTGGAAATTGTTTTCCTTTTTTCTGGGCTGCCTGAGAACCATCCCTGGCAGCTCCCACCCTCCCTCCTGGCTTTATTGCCTTCTCCAGGAGATTAAAAGCTCTGGGAACGCTGGAGCCAGGAGCAAAATTCCGGCTGTGTCCATTCTCCTACAACAGAAAAGCCAGGATGGCTCAGAATTAATTTTTTTTTCTCAACAGCAGGAAAAAATTCCATTAAAAATCAATTTAAAATCCCCAGGGAAAGATCAACCCCTCCCAGCTCTGCAGGAATTTTTCTCCTTGATGTTCTTTTCCATTCCATTGTTTCCAACTGGAATTTCTCCTAATTCCAACCCACATCCTCCTAATTGCCCTTCCAAGGTGTGATCCCACTCATCCCACAGATCTTTCACTTTCTTATAGCCTTAATTTTTCCTGCCTTGAAAGGGTTTTTAACTCCTAAATCCAGCTGGAAAAGGAGCTTTTAAACCCAAAATGTCTGAAAATGTGAAAAAACTGAATATTCCAACTTTGATCCCAGTTTTTCTTTTTTTTTCTTTTTTTTTTTTTATGTTTTCCTATAGCTTTGGGGGGAAAATTAGGTGTGATTGACTAGAATTTGGATTTTGAAAAAAAAAAAAAAAGATGATAAATCAATCAAAACCTTCCCCCAGATCTCCATTCCCAGCTGGGACTGAGTCACCCTTCGGCTGCCGCGTGTGGGATGCACAGAATCCCTCTGGAATTGTTGCTCTTTTCCCAAATCTTGGACTTTCCACCCTTCCAGTGTCCCCTTGTTTGGAGCAGGGCAGGAGGCTGCACCTCCCCTTAAACATAAACATGGAAAAAGGAGGATTTCTGTGAGAAATTTCCCCAGCCCCCACTTTTTAACATTTTATTTTTCTTTTATTTTACTTTTTTTCTTTTTTTTTTTTTTTACTAAAATCAGTTGGTTTTGAACCCAAAATAACAGATAATTTCTCCATGGAAGCAGAGTGGAGGTGGAAAAGTGCTTTTTTTCCTTGTACTTTAATCTTGTCAGCAGATGATGGGCTTTCAAAAGAGGCATTTTCCAGGAGAATGAACTGGGAATTGCTTTTTGGCTTTTTTATTTTTTTCCCCCAAATTGCTTTGTCCGAATCTGAGCTTTTAGAAAGATTTTGACCACGAGAGCAAAGGCAGTGGGATGAAATCTCATGGATTTGATTCCATTTGGAATGCAGGGAAAGATTTTAGGTAGAAAAAAGGAAATATTTTGGGGAGAAAAAAGGGAGAGATTTGAAGGAGAAAAAGGAAAGATTTTAGAGAGAAAAAAGGAAAGATTTGAGGGGGAAAAAGGAGAAGATTTTAGGGAGAAAAGGGAAAGATTTTAGGGAGAAAAGGGGAAATATTTTAGGGAGAAAAAATGAAATACTTTACGGAAAAAAAGGAAAGATTTGAGGGAGAAAAAAGGAAATGTTTTAGGGAGAAAAAGGGGGAAGATTTGAGGGAGAGAAAAGGAAAGATTTTAGGGAGAAAAAAAGGAAATATTTTAGGGAGAAAAAGAAAAGAAAGATTTTAGGGAGAAAAAAAAGGAAATATTTTAGGGAGAAAAAAGGAAAATAGGGAGAAGAAAAGGAACTATTTTAGGGAGAAAAGGGGAAAGATTTTTGAGAGGAAAAAGGAAATATTTTAGGAAGAAATAAAGGAAAGATTTTAGGGAGAAAAAAGGGAAAGATTTTAGGGAAAAAAAGGGAAATATTTTAGGGATAAAAAAGGGAAATAAGGAGAAGAAAAGGAACTACTTTAGGGAGAAAAAAAGAAAGATTTTAGGGAGATAAAGGGAAATATTTTAGTGAGAAAAATACTTGAAAGCTCCAAACTCAAATTTGCTGCAACCTGGAGTAAGTTGGGAATGGCCACACGGAAAAGGGAGACGAACTTACTTGGAGCTGGTTCATCCAAGGAGGTTTAGATCTGAGATTGGATGTGGGATTTTGGGAAGGAATTCCTGGCAGGGCTGGAATTCCCAGAGAAGCTGTGGCTGCCCCTGGATCCTTGGGAGTGTCCAAGGCCAGGTTGGACATTGGGGCTGGAGCACCCTGGAAGTGAAATGGGATGAATTTTAAGGTCCTTTCCCACCAAAAGCATTCCAGGATTCTGTGATCCATGAGAAGCTTGAGATGGAGCTTAGACACAGCCAGTGCCAGGTCCCTTCGTGTCCCCAAGCCCCACCTGGGCTGGTCATGGCCAGACTGGGAGATCCAAACCAGAACCAATCCAAAACTCCTCAAAGATACTTATTCCTAAAAAAATCCTGCCCAGCCTGGAGACAGGACCAGGCTGGAGTGAAGCACCACAAATCCATGGATTAGCGGTATTCCAGGGTAGAATTCCCAACAAAGTGGTGGACCAGGGAAAACAGCTCCACCAGGAACCGGCTCCATCTGCTCCTGGTGTCTCCAGCTGCTCTCAGGTTTTGTGGTTTTTCCTGGCTTTTCCTTCTGCTAGCTCTGCTGCTGCTGGTCTGGGATGTACCAGGAATTCCAGTGAACCAGGACCATGGTCAGATCCCTCTCTGGCCCAAAGCTGCTCTCCAGGTGTCCCGATGTTGGAGCCCTGGATGCTGGGAATTCCAGACTTTCTGTGCTGACACACTCTGACCCCCAGGAGAGCACTGCATCTGACCTGAGGCTGTGGAGAAGCTTCCAGAACTGATTGAGAGCACTGGGATTGTGGGTGTGAAGTTGGGTAGAAGTGTGTGATGTCACAGGGTGGAAAACTTGGAGCTTGGGGTTTTAGAATATGGTAATAAATATGGGGCAAGATGGAGGTTTTAGGGTAGTGGCCGGTCCGTCTTCATCACCTTCTTCTTCATCTTCTTCATCTTCTTCTTCACCAACTTTTCACCTTCTTCACCTTCTTCACCAACTTCATCTTCTTCTTCACCTTCTTCTTCACCTTTTTCACCAACTTCATCTTCTTCTTCACCTTCTTCTTCACCTTTTTCGTAACCTTCTTCACCTTCTCCTCCAAGGGTTTGGGTGGTTTTGTGTAATTGGATAAAAAACTGCATTGCAGGCCACGGGTGGTTGGTTATTGGGTAAAAAGTAAAAATAATTTAGGTGTCATTTCTTAATTGAACAGTTTATCCTTAAAAGGCCTTGCAGAGAGAGAGAGAGAGATGGGGCTCCATTTTTGGTTTGGTGAAGTGTTGCAGAACTCATGGTTTGTGAGATAAGATAGATAAGAACAGATAAAAACATAGATAAGATAAACACCTGAGTCCCAACAAGAAATTCCATCTCACAATTTAATCCCGACCTTGGGAGAAGAAAAGAAGCGAAGAATCCTCATCCAGGAACAATAAAACTTCGGGATCAGCAAGGCTAAAACACTCAACAGCCGATGTTCTTCCTGCTTTTTGGATTTCCTGAAATATTCCACCACAGGGTGCTGATGGTGTCTCCCTGTCTTCCAGACCAGCATCTCCATAGAGATCCGCTACCAGGCTCTGGATGGGACGGTGGGCACCTGGAATGATAAGGAATTCCTGGAGACGCCCAGCGTGCACTCGGAGGGGGACGGGAGGTATTCCCTGGAGACCGACAGCCTCCTGTCCGGCCACCGGCACAGCTCCGACGTCTCTCCCGGGAAATCCAACCAGCAATCCACGGAGAGGAGCTTCAGGAGGTAACGGGACACGGAGATCCTGGAGGTTGGATTGTGGGGGGATTGGGAGGGTTTGGATTGTTGGGAAAGGGCAGCGTCACCTTAGTGCTGCTCCAAGGGGCATCTCCTGCCCTCAGAGGATCCATGGAACATCTCCAGGTGAGCGTGGGATTCAGGTGGCCTCCAGCAGGTCCTGGTGCTCCAGGATAGAGCTGAAATTCCAGGATTGTAGCACATGGACAGGAAGTGTCATTCCATGCAGACCTTGAGGGGATGAAGGGTCTGGATGAGGGTCAGGGCTCACTGGTTGATCCATGGAACAGCTCCAGGTGAGTGTGGGATCCAGCAGGTCCTGGTGCTCCACCACGCCTGGAGAGAGTTGAACTTCAAGGATTGTAGCACATGGACAGGATGTGCCATTCCATCCTCATCCCAAAGGTCTGGATGGGGGTCAGGGCTCACTGGTGGATCCATGGAACATCTCATCCAGGTGAGCACTAGCAGATCCTGGTGCTCCAGGACAGAGCTGAAATTCCAGGATTGTAACTCTTGGACAGAAAGGGTCATTCCGTTGTGATCCCAAGGGGATCAAAGGTCTAAATGGGGGTCAGGGCCTACTGGTGGACACATTGGCACCTCTCCAGGTGAGGGTGGGATCCAGGTAGCCTCCAGGAGCTCCTGGTGCTCCACCATACCTGGAGAGAGCTGGACTTCCAGGATTGAAGCACTTGGAGATAACATTCCATCCTGATCCAGAGGGGATGGAGGGTCTGGCTCCTGGTCACGCCTCACTGGTGGGATTTATGTCCAGGTGGAATCTCAGGTGTCCATGGAGCACGTGGTGCTCCCAGGACCAAGGTGGCTTCAGGGCAGCCATTGGGATCTCAGTGGCACCCCAGGACAAGTGGAATCCCACACCAGGTGATTCCTGCTGGGAATTCCCGAGGAAACCCACTGTGGCAGGTGGGACACCTCCAGTTCTTCCAAGGGAATTCCGGTTTTCCATTCATTTAGGGATTCACAGCTTTCCTTGGGTGTCTTTGTGGGCTCCTGGGATTTGCCCCTGGATGGGAACAATCCCAGGGACTGAATCCCGACATTCCTTGACACAAAGCTGCTGGAAGCAGTTGTAATCCCAGCCCAATGGAATTGACTGGGAATGCTGCAGGTGACTCCATTGGGATGGAATCCAAGATGGAACCAGTTCTCCATGAGGCTATGGATACTCAGGGCACGATCCTTAGATGGTGGTGGAGTCCCCATCCCTAGAGGTGTCCAAGGAATTCCTGGATGTGGCACTCAGTGCTCTGGGCTGGTGACAAGGTGGGGATCGGGCACAGCTGGGGCTGGATGACCCTGGAGGGCTTTTCCAGCTCCTGGGATTCTTTAAATTCAGGATTTGCAGCCATGAGGGGATTCATGGAATGCTAAGGTACATTTGCACAGAATCACAGAATTTTCAGGCAACTTTCCACAGTTTTTGGAATTGTGCTGTCCAGGGTGGCTTTGTCCATGGGTCCCCACTCTGGGAGCTCTTGAATCCATTGGGAAAGGGAGCAGTTGGAAATAAGGGAGACATCAAAGCCCTGAAGTTGCTGGAATGTTTCAGGAATGAGATGGGGGTGGAAGGGAGGCTCTGGAAGTGGGAGAGGGGGACGGTGAAGGCAGAGCTGGGTCCTGGTGTCACCCACATCTCCCTCGGGAACACCACATTCCCTGTCTGCTCCTCACAGATCCACCACTTCCAAGGTGATGGATAAAGGAGGACAATCCCTGCATTCCCAAATCATGGAATACCAGAAAACTTCAGGCTGGAAAATCCCTCTGAGAGCACCGAGTCCAAACATTCCACCAGAGCTGCCAAATCCTTAAATCCACACGGGGATGCCAGCCTGGAGCTGTGAAGACAAACAGAGCCCTTGGAATCAGCTGCTCTCTTTCCATCCCATTTCCCCCCCTCAGGGTTGTCCCATTTTGGATCACATTCCATCTGGGATTATGACTTTATTGTGGCCAAAAAAAGGAAAAAAATGGGAAACAGAGGGAATATCTCTCTAATTGCTCATATCCCTCCAAGGCAGTTCATTAACTGTGAGAACTGGGCTGAATCCAGGGAATTTTCAACCAAATTGGAGGCTCAGCATGGTTTTGTTTCCTGGCTCAGCGAGCCGGGACGAGGCTGAGCAGGAATGTGGTGATGGATTGAACAGGGGGATGTTGGGCAGGGAGCCGGGAATGGCACAGCTGGAAGAGGAGGGGTCTTGGTTTGAAAAGAGTGCTAAGGAAGGCACTGGAGCCCCCCCTGAAATGCAAAATGTAAAACCACTCCCTCTGAATTATTATAATTTTGAAATTAAGGGGCTCCCAGGGAGCAGGAATAACAGTTTTTAACTAGGAAATTAAAAATACAAATTCAGTAGTACAAACAAATAAAAACACTGACAGAGTTGTTGACAGGATCTGTCCCCCTGTGTGTCAGGGTGGTGGCACAGCCCCATCCCATGGTGGCTCAGCCCTCCTGCAGTGCCAGCTGTGGTTCTGCTGCAGCAGGGATCCTGCACAAGGTGGGGAGTTTTCCTCTGCAGCTCCAGGGGTACTGGACATGGGCCTGGAATTCCTCTGGAATGCAGTGGAGAAGGAAGCTGCTCCTCTGGGAATGCAGTGGGAAAAGGCTGCTGTGGTGTGTGGTGATATCCCTTCCCAGGATGAGGGAAGAGATGAGAGCCTTGACTCCATGTTTCAGAAGGTTGATTTATTATTTTATCCTATATATTATATTAAAAGAAAATTATATGTTAAAACTACACTAAAAGAATAGAGAAAAGATTTCATCAGAAGCCTAGCAAGGAAAAAATGAATGATAAAATCTTGTGACTGCTCAGAGTCCTGATACAGCTGGACCAGTGATTGGTCATTAATTAAAAACAACCACATGAGACCAATCACAGATGCACCTGTTGCATTCCACAGCAGCAGATAATCATTGTTTACATTTTGTTTCTGAGGCCTCTCAGCTTTTCAGGAGAAAAAAATCCTGGCAAAAGGAATTTTCACAAAATACGTCTATAACAGTGGTGTTCCTAGTGTCAGATTGTATCCAGGTAGGAATGATTGGCTCCTCCCCCTGTGTGGAGCATCTCCCAATGGGATGATGGAATTTTATCAGTGACACTCACTGGCCCATGAACAGAAGATAATTAATAATTAATGGCTCATTAAGAGCAGAGATCTCCTGGAGGGAAGGTTTGTTGTGGGAGAAATAAAGAAAACTGCCCCATGAGCAGAAGATAACTGCCCCACCCCTGACAGATGGAAATTGAGTACACACAAATCTTACAATCCAGGACAGGGGGTCAGGCTGGCTGGGATGGGATATCCGTGTCCTGCCTGTGCCACTGGAATTTTGGGATGCAGGGATGGATGATCCATCCCTCATGGAAGTGTCCAAGGAAAGGTTGGATGGGGTTTGGAGCACCCTAGGATAGTGGAAGGTGTCCCTGCCCCTGGCATGGGTGGGACTGGGTGGGATTTAAGGTTACTTCCCACCCAAACCAGTCTGGGATTCGAGGATTCCAGGGATTTGAGGATTCCAGGGAACTGGAGGATTCCAGGGAATTGGAGGATGCTGCTGGGATGGCTCCAGGATGGGTTTTCCAGGTTCTCATCAGATGAATCCTGTCGGATGCAGCTCTGTGGGATTAAAGCAGAAAAATTAAGGATCCGGGGAGAGCTCGGAGCACCTTCTCAAACCTCAAGGAGCTCCAGGAGAGCTGGAATTTGGGAAAAAGGATGGAAGACCAGGGGCCAGGGAATGGCTTCCCACTGGGAACGGGGAGCTTGGGATTGTGGGATGTTGGGAAGGAATTCCCAGCTGGGAGGGTGGGGAGGGGCTGGAATTCCCAGAGGAGCTGTGGCTGCCCCATTTTAGGAAGAGTTGAGGCATTTGCAAAGAGTGGGATGTGCAGAGCCAGGTCCTGGGTCCAGGCTGGATTTTGGGAACAATCCTTCCTGGAAAACGCTGCCCACCCCTGGCATAGGGAAGCGCTGGAGCCCCCATCCCTGGTGGAATTTCAAATCCCTGCGGATGTGGCACTTGGGGACATGGATCGGGGTGGCCTTGGAGGTGCTGGGGATTGTAGGACCCGAAGAGCTTTTCCAACCCAAAGGGCTCAGTGATTCCGTGATTTTGGAATCCTGAATCCCGGGAAGGACAGGGCTGATGTTGGCGGTGTTCCCACCAGGATGGAAGAGGACGAGATGTATTTCCACAGTGAGGATGAGCTCCTGGGAGAGGGGGATTCCCTGAGCCAGGGGTCCATGGACACGAGGTAGGGAGAGGCTCTGCAGTGCTGTGGCTGCTCCGTGCCTTTTCCCGATGGATCTCCCACAGGAATTGTCCCTGAATTCCCATTCCTGGGCTGCTGGTGGGGAGGAGAAGTGGTGGAACAGCCAGAAAAGCAGCCTTGGAATGGGATCCTGGATGGAGATCGGGATATTGGGACACTGCTGTGCCTTTCTGTCTCCATGTCCTGTCCCCAGATCCCGGGATCAGCCATTCCCATGGGAATGAGCTCCCTGAGTGTGCATGGAAGTTTGTTTGCTGTGGCTTTTCCTGGCGTGACAAAAGAGTTTGGGAAGGAGCCAAAGAAAGGGAATTTCAGGTAAAATCCCAAGGATCATCCAAAGACGAGCTCAGCCACACAAAGGAGCATTTTGGGAAAAGCTCCTGGATTCCTGTGGGATGAGGGATGGCTGGAAGGATGTGGAGGGTCTCGTAATAACAGGATTTAACACTGGATCTGCTTTGGATAGGGCAGAGTTGGACCAGGTGATCCCTGTGGGTCCCTGCCAATGCAAAATATCCCACCCTAACACATCCCATCCCATCCCATCCCATCCCATCCCATCCCATCCCATCACATCCCATCCCATCTCCAGCCCATCCCATTATCCTATTATCCCATTATCCCATTATCCCATCCCATCCAATGGATCCCATCCCATTCCATCCCATCCCATTATCCTATTGTCCCGTCCCAATCCCAATCCTTTCCCCATCCCAATTTCCCACCCCATGGATCCCATCCTATGGATCCCATCCCATCATCCCATCCCCATCCCATCCAATTTTCCCATCCCATTATCCTATTATTCCATAATCCCATCCTGTCCCATTATCCTATCCCATCAAATGGATCCCATCCCATCCAATCCCTGTCACATCCACTCTCCATCCCATCCCATCCCATCCCATCCCATCCCGTAGATCACATTCCATGGATCCCATACCATCCCATCTCCATCCCCATCCCCATCCCATGGATCTCGTTCCATGGATCTCATCCCATCCCATGGATTCCATCCCATCTCCACCCCCATCCCATGGATCTCGTTCCATGGATCTCATCCTGTCCCATGGATCCCATCCCATCTCCATCCCCATCCCAATTTCCCATCCCATGGATCCCATCCTATGGATCCCATCCTATGGATCCCATCCCGTCCCATTATCCCATCCCCATTCCATCCCATCCCATACCACCCTGTTATCCCATCCCATTATCTTATTATCCCACTATCCCATCCCGCCCCCTCCCCACCCTCCCAGGAAAGAATTCCTTCCCCAAATCCCATCTGAATCCATCCCTTTGCAGCTTCAACCCTTTCCCCCTTTTCCTGGCATTCCATCCCTTATCCAAAATCCATGCCAGGGCACGGGGACCTGCTTTAACTTCCGTCTTTTCCAATGACCCATCCCACTATCCCAGGCATTCCCTTCCCTGTTCTTCCTCTCTCCCCCCCCCTTCCAGCTTGGAGCCCCTTTTCCACCAGAAAAATCCCCTGGGATTTGGGCATGGATATCCCACAGATATCCTAGAGATCCCGGACTTTGCAGTTCTGGAAGCAAAAATCCCTCTCCAGCAGATCCAGAACAGCCTTGTTCCCTTCCCAAGGAGCAGAGCATCCACATCAAGGATTTTAGGAATTCTCCTGCGGAGCTGTCGATTCCAGGGAAAGCAGATCCAGCTTTTCCTTGGCCTCTGCTGGATCCAGGCTGATCCCTTGGGAACACAGGGAATTTTCCACCTTTATTCCCTCTTTCCCAGGGAACGTGTGACCCCCCCATGTGTCTGTAGATCCACGTGGACTTGCCTGCTTGGGAATTTCCCAAAACTGGGGAATTTCCATGCAATCAGGACCCCCCCCATGGAGCAATCCTGCAGCTTTCCAAGGGATGGGAAGAGCTTTCCATCACTGGGATGATGGCAGAACTTCCCAAGGTTTTCCAAGGGCTGGGAATTCCCTTTTCCACCTTCCAAGAATCCTGGCACAGGGTACAGCACCCACCCATTCCCACTTTTCCTTTGGGATTTGAGCAAATCCATCCCAAAGAAAAGGAAGGAGTGGGAAAAGGAGGTCAGGCAGGAGAGAACCATCTGTGAAAGGCGGAATATTGGCCAAATATCCCCCAAAATCCAGTCTGGGACAAACCTGGATCCTGTGGACACAATGGGAAGTGGAATGGGGAGGATCCCGGGATTCCAACCATGCATGGAGTGGTTTGCTGTGCCGGAGTGTTCCCAAGTTTTTCCTGGTTTGGAAAACAAAGGAAGAGCCCTTTGTCCTCACATCACAGCAGGAATTTTTCCTCTCTCCCTGTAAATTCCCAAGCCTTGGAGATGAAGCAGAAGAAGATCAGCATTCCAGGTAAATTCCCACAGCAGATCCCCCCCTCCCCTTCCAGGGCTGATCCACCTCCAAAGTTCTGCTTTTCAAAGAAAATTCCTTAAATCCAGGATCCCCATCAAGACTTGGATGTATTAAATTCCATTTTTGTGTTTCCCTGGGGATCCCAAGTTTGGAATCTGGTCATCCCACACAGAATCCAGGGATGAAGGAGCCAGGAATGGGAGGTGGAGCCTTCCCATGTGCCACGTCCCTGGAATGGCTTTGGATCCTTGATCCACTGGGAACTTAAACCAAAAAAATCCATGAAAAAAATCACAGGGAAGGATCCAGAATGGGGAAATAAAGAGTTTAAAAAATCCAACCTGGATTTAAAAAATCCCAGGAGATGAGAGGATGTTAGAACCAGGATAGAATCCTTCAAAAAGCTAGACTTGTGTTCCAAAGCAGAAAAGAACAGGAAAAAATTTGATATTGGGAAGGAATTCCTCCCTGTGAGGGTGGGGAGGGGCTGGGATGGAATTCCCAGAGAAGCTGTGGCTGCCCCTGAATCCCTGGGAATGTCCAAGAGATTGGAGCAGCCTGGGATAGTGGGAATTGTCCCTGCCCATGGAATGGGATAAGTTTTAAAACCCTTTCCTACCCAAACCATTCTGAAATTTTACAATTCCATGATTTATTCACCGACCTAGACTTACCCTTAGATTCCCAGGAACAATCAAGAAGGATGAGCACTTCCAGAGGCAGCTCAGGAATTGCCAAAACCTGTTTGAGCCCAGCTCCCAACCCCCTGGAAAGTGAGATCCCGGGAAGCACCACCCGATAGGGGCTGTCCTTGAAATATTCATGGCCAGGACAGGGCTGGGAGCCGAAAGGAATCTGCTCCCAGTGAATTATTGATGGAAGCTTTTCTTCCGTGTCCCCGGCGGATCCCAGCCTTGTCCGACTGCCTGTCGCTAATTATCCCTCTGGCACCTGCTCCAAAGCTGGGATCTCTGCCAGGCCTGGGAGAACTTGGGATAAAAATCCCCATTCCCGTTCCCATTCCCATTCCTGTGTGGATGTGGCCCTTGGGGACATGGAATGGCCGGAATTTGGGATAGTGGGGAATTCATCCGTGTCCAAAGAGGTAAGAAGGGTCCAAAATTCCCAAATCCATGTGAAATTTGGGCACAGATCTTTGGGATGTTACAGTGCCACCACCAGGATGAACAGGAAGTTTGGGATCTTTTCCATCCTGGGAATAAAAAGTCCCAGTCAAGGTTTTCCATTTTTTTCCCCAAAAGGTTTTCCATTTTTTCCCCCAAGGTTTTCCAATTTTTTCCCCTTCATTAAATTTAATTTAATTACGTTAATCATTTAATGTGCCATTAAATTCCTTGGGAAAATATTGCATTCTGAGGATCCTGAAAATCAGGAAAATGTTCAAACCAATGGAGCAGGTTCTGCTGTGGGTCCCAGGGCAGAGCTTTCAGAGCCTGGAGATTTTTCCTGGATTCTGGGAATGTAAATTGCCCCCAGCCTGTCCTGGTGGAGATTCCCAGATGAAACAGGAGAAATGGATAATGCTGGAAGTGCAGATCTGGCCTCCAGCCGGGTTTTTCCAGGGATTTTTCCTGGGAATAGGGGGAGTGGAACACCCCGGGCTGGATGCACAGCTGGAATTCCCTCCCTGGAGCACCCAGAGCTTGGACACAGCCCCATCCTCCTGGGAAGGGCTGTCCCTGCTCCCTCAGGAATTCTGATGTTGGGATTTAATTGGATTTTTTTTCCTCACTTTCTCTCCTCTGCCTCACCCAGGATTAAGTTTAACGATGGATACAAGGCAGTGGCAAGGTACCAAAATGTCCTGGTGGGAGGGATCCCAGATTTTGGGGTGGGATCTGGGATTTTGAGGGATTGCTTCCATTCCAGTGCATCCCAGGCCCCCACATCCTACAAACAGGTACTGGTCCCAGCAAAAATCCAGGATTTGGGATCCAGGTCAGCCTCATCCTGTGCTCCCTCTGCACCGTATCCCATGTGGTGATACCAGGGATTACAATGCCAGGACACAGGGAAAGGCTTCCCACTGGGAAAGGGAAGCTTGGGGTGGGATATTGGGAAAGAATTCCTGGCTGTGAGGGTGGGAAGGGGCTGAGCAGGAATTCCCAGAGAAGCTGTGGCTGCCTCTGGATCCCTGGAAGTGGCCAAATCCAGATTGGAGCACCCTGGGATAGTGGAAGGTTTTAGGATTGGAATGGGATGATCTTTAAGGTCTCTTCCCACCCAAACCATTCCTGGGATTTGAGGATCAGCCTCTCCCTCTATCCTGCTCCCATGGGCTGTGTCCTGTTGGGAATGTTTGTTAATTCCTCACCTTCCTCCTCCTGGCTCCATCTCCTCCCAACAGCGAAGACCCGGAAGATCCCAGGTACGGGACGTGGTGTCCCTGCTTCCCTTTGGGAACGGTGTGTGCATGGATGGCAGCAGTCCCTGCATGGTGTTTGGATCCAGGGAAATGGCCTTTTCTGGGATCACCCACCCCGAGATTCCCTCTGTCCTTCCTAATCCCAGCAGGGACAAATCCCCTTCCAGTCAGGCACTGCTGAAGGGGCTCCCAGAGTCATGTTTGTCTGTATTCCAAGCAATGCATGGATCCTTCCCTTCCCTTCCCTTCCCTTCCCTTCCCTTCCCTTCCCTTCCCTTCCCTTCCCTTCCCTTCCCTTCCCTTCCCTTCCCTTCCCTTCCCTTCCCTTCCCTTCCCTTCCCTTCCCTTATTCCATCAATCCATCCATGGATCCATCCCCCCCTTCACCCATTCCATCCATCCATGCACAGACCTATCCATGGGTCCATCCATCCATCCATCCATCCATCCATCCATCCATCCATCCATCCATTCATCCTTCTATCCCATCCCTATCGATGCTCTCCTACCCCCGTTCCCATTCCATGGGATCCATAGGAATCCTGGGCACAGGGATCTCTCCCTCTGGGACCCTCCTGGATTGCCTTTGTTGGGTTGCTCTGTGCATGTGGATGAGTTTTTGGGGAGAAGGTGGATCAGAGCCCATCCCTGGATCACAACTCATGGAATCGCTCCTTTGGATTGCAGAGCCAAGGCCAGAGGGAAAGAGAAAAAACACCTGGCGTTGCCGTTCAGGTATCCCAATTCCCTGATCCCTGATTCCCAGGGCACCCTCCGGCTCCAGGCTCCATCCCCCAGCAGCAGAATCACCTGGGAACAGCAGTAGGGCAGGAACGTGAGCCCATTTTTCCAAGCAAAGTGCTCCAAATTGAGCGATAAAATGGGAATTTTCCACCTGTGCCCAGGCTGGGACTCTCTGTGGTCACCTTTGGCAGGAGAGTTGGACTGGAAGGGCCCCAGGAAAAGGAAAGGAGGGAGAGAGGGGAATCTGGCTTTGGCTGCTCCACCAGGACCTTGGGAAAGGATCCTGCATCCCTCAGGAAGTGCAGACACCCACCCGGACACCCTGATCCGAGTGCCAGGAATGCAGTGGATGCAGGAATCAGGAGAGGAAAGAGATGTAGGAGACACTTGGAGGAGGAGGAGGGAAATAGAGGAAAAATGGGGACAGGCTTGGAATGCACCATGTTCCTGCATCCCTCAGCCGGGGCATGGTTTACCTCCAGGAAGAGGGAAAGGGCACAGGATCTGCACTTCCCTGGCCTCTTTCTCAAGGACAGATGCCAGGGATGGGACATTCTAGACCCTCTCCTTACCCAGGGATGGATCCCATCCTGACTCCAGCGAACATCCCAGACTGTCTTCCCACCCCAGGATGTATCCCATCCTGACTCCAGTGAACATTCCAGCTCCTCTTCCCACCCAGGGATGGATCCCAGGGATGGGATATCTCAGACCCTCTGCTTACCCAGGGATGGATCCCATCCTGACTCCAGAGAACATTCCAGATCCTCTTCCCACCCAGGGATGGATCCTCAGCGATGGGACATTCAAGACCCTCTGTTCACCCAGGGATGGGACATCCCAGACCCTCTGCCCACCCATCCCTGGGATACTCTGAGCCTCTGCCCACCCAGGGATGGATCCCATCCTGACTCCAGGGAACATTCCAGATCTCTGCCCACCCAGGGATGGATCCCAGGGACAGAATATCCCAGACTCTGGCCACCCAGGGATGGATCCTCAGGGATGGGACATTCCAGCCCCCCTGCCCACCCAGGGATATCCCAGACTCTGGCCACCCAGGGATGGATCCTCAGGGGTGGAATATCTCAGCCCCTCTGCCCACCCAGGGATGGGACATTCCCAACCCTTTGCCCACCCAGAATGGATCCCATTCTGACTCCAGGGAACATTCCAGCCCCTCTGCCTAATCAGGGATGGGACATTCCAGACCCTTTTCCCACCCAGGGATGGGACATTCCAGACCCTCTGCTTACCCAGGGATGGATCCCAGGGATGGGATATCCCAGCACTTCTTCCCACCCAGGGATGGAATATCCCAGGCACTGTGTCCACCTAGGGATGGGACATTCCCGACCCTCTGCCATCCAGGGACGTGATATCCCAGACCCTCTGGTCACCCAGGGATGGATCCTCAGGGATGGGACATTCCAGCCCCCCTGCCCACCCAGGGATGGATCCTCAGGGATGGGATATCCCAGCCCCTCTGCCCAGCCAGGGGTGCGACATCCCAGCCTCTCTTCCCACCCTTGGATGGATCCCATCCTGACTGCAGGGAACATTCCAGCCCCTCTGCCCCCCGCCCAGGGCAGTTTGGATGGGGAAGGGAAGGAGGGAAGGATCCCAGATTTTGGGGTGGGATCTGGGATTTTGAGGGATTGCTTCCATTCCAGCCCATCCCACATTCTACAGACAGGTGCTGGTCCCAGCATAAACCCAGGATTTGGGATCCAGGTCAGCCTCATCCTGTGCTCCCTCTGCAGCGTATCTCACATGGTGATACCAGGAATTACAGTGCCAGGACACAGGGAAAGGCTTCCCACTGGGAAATGGAAACTTGGGGTGGGATATTGGGAAGGAATTCCTGGCTGTGAGAGTGGGAAGGAGCTGGGCTGGAATTCCCAGGGAAGCTGTGGCAAGAGGGGAGGGTCCTGCCCAGTGAGATCAGCAGGATGTGATCCCACAGCCATCCTGCCTTGAATCCCAGCCAGTCCATCTCCAGTGGGTGTCCAGCAGGACCTGGACCAGATCCCTGAGCTCCAGGAGAAAGCCTGGAATGATTTAATTCCTCTCCTGGCAGCTTTTCCAATGCCGAGCTCGAGTTTGGTCCTCCCAGGAGGAGTTCGGCTGGCAGGGGAATAATTTTTCCCTGCTCTGCTCCCACAGCAGGAATTGGGACAGGGAAAAATCAGGAATTCTTGGATCAGAGATCAGAGCAGGCTGATACCTGCCCGTGCTGCTCTTCCCAGTTTCCCTCCCATGCCCCATTTTATGCTGGAGCTCCTTTGGAATTCTCCCAAACCCCAATATTTAATTTTTTTCCTTGATGCTATTCCAGCAGCTCGGGCACAAGGAGTTGGAATTTCAGGTTCTGAAATCTGTCCCTTGTCTCCTGTCCCCAGCCGGGCGGAGGAGCCGGTGTAATTAACTCCAGGCTCCTTAATTACTTCCCGAGCTGCTTAATTGCTTTCTCCTCCCTAATTGCTGCAGGACAATGAGGGCGATTAACGGGGGAGAGATAAGGAGGGGAGGGAAGCGGGGAGAGAAACAGGAGCGGGAAGGAAAACGGGGAAGGAGGAGTGGGGAGGAAACCAGGGAGGAAAATAAATAGGGAAGAAGGACCAGGGAGGAAAGTGGGGAGAAAAATAGTGAGGAAAACAGGGAAGCAGGACCCGGGGGGAAACTGGGAGGAAAACAGAAAGGAAAACAGGGAGGAAAAGAAGGAAGCAGGGCCAGGGTGGAAAACAGAGGAAAACAGGGAGGCAGGTTTAGGGAGGAAAATGGAGAGAAGCAGGATCTGAGAGGAAAATGGGGAACAGGACTGGGGAGGAAAAAGAGAAGGAAAACAGGGAAGAAGGACCCAGGGAAGAAAACAGGGAGGAAAGAGAGGAGGAAAACAGGGAAGAAGGACCAGGGAGGAAATTAGGGAGGAAAATAAAGAGGGAAGAAAGACTGGGGAGAAAAACAGGGAGGGAAATGGGGAGAAAAATAGAGAGGAAAACAGGGAACAGGATTGGGGAGGAAAAAGAGGAGGAAAACAGGGAATGGGACTGGGGAGGAAAAAAAGAAGGAAAACAGGGAAGAAAGTAGGAAGGAAAATAGGGGAAAAGTAGGAAGGAAAGCAGGGAAGAAGGACCTAGGAAGAAAAATGGGAGGAAAACAGGGAAGCAGGGCCATGGTAGAAAACAGAGAGGGAAATAGGGAGGCAGGTCCAGGGATGAAAACGGAGAGGAACAGGATCTGAGAGGAAAACAGGGAACAGGACCCAGGGAGGAAAAAGAGAAGGTAAACAGGGAAGAAGGACCCAGGGAGGAAAACAGGGAAGAAGTAATGGGAATGAAATCAGGGAGGAAAATAAATAGGGAAGAAAGACTGGGGAGAACAACAGGGAGGAAATCGGGGAGAAAAATAGGGATGAAAACAGGGAAACAGGATCCAAGAGGAAAACTGTGAGGAAAACAGGGAGGAAAAGAAAGAAGCAGGACTGGGGGTGGAAAACAGAGAGGAAAATAGGGAGGCAGGTCCAGGGAAGAAAATAGGGAGGAAAATAAGGAGGAGAATGGAGCAAAGCAGGATCCGAGAGGAAAACAGGAAACAGGACATGGGGAGGAAAACAGGGAAGAAGGACTGGGGAGGAAATCAGGGAGGAAAATAGGAAGGAAAATAAATAGGGAAGAAGGACTGGGGAGGAAAAGAGGGAGTAAAATTGGGAGAAAAATAGTGAGGAAAACAGGGAAGCAGAACCCGGGAGGAAAACTGGGAAGAAAACAGAAAGGAAAGCTGGGAGGAAAAGAGAGAAGCAGAACCGGGTGAGAAACAGAGGAAAATAGGGAGGCAAACTGAGAGAAGCAGGATCTGAAAGGAAAACAGGGAACAGGACCCGGGGAGGAAAACAGGGAGGAAAATAAGAAGGAAAATAAATAAGAAAGAAGGAGTAGGGAGGAAAATAGGGAGGCAGGTCCAGGGAGGAAAACAGGGAGGAAAATGGAGAGAAACTGGATCTGAGAGGAAAACAGGGAACAAGACCCAGGGAGGAAAATAAATAGGGAAGAAGGACTGGGGAGGAAATCAGGGAGGAAAAGAGGGAAGCAGGGCCAGGGTGGAAAACAGAGAGGAAAATAGGGAGACAGGTCCAGGGAGGAAAATAGGGAGGAAAACGGAGAGAAGAAGGATTGGAGAGGAAAACAGGGAACAGGACTGAGGAGGAAAAAGAAAAGGAAAACAAGGGAGAAGGACCCAGGGAGGAAAGTAGGGAGAAAAATATGGAGGAAAACAAAAAGGAAAACAGGAAGGAAAAGAGAGAAGCAGGACTAGGGAGGAAAACAGAGAAAAATAGGGAGGCAAACAGAGAGAAGCAGGATCTGAGAGGAAAAGAGAGAATAGGACCAGGAAGGAAAAGGAGGAGGAAAACAGGGAAGAAGGATCTGGGGATGAAAACAGGGAGGCAGAACCTGCAGAGAGAAACATTGGAGAAGCAAACCAGAAGCCAGGGAGCAGAGCAGGATCTCAGAAGGAAAAGGGAAGGAAAGGATCGATGTTTCCCATGTGGAGTCTGGGCAGGGATGAGGAATTCCAGATCCAGCCCGTTCCCTGTTCCCTGCAGCACAGGCCTCTCTGGAGGAGGGATATGGATGTGTTAGGATAAGGAAAACCATCCTCCTCTCCAGAAAGGAGAAGTTGTATCCTCTGTCTAGGAGCTTCCCAAACCCGGGAATAAAATCCAGGAATCATGCATGTCCTGTATTAATGGCCCCAAGCACAAATCCAGGGAATTTCTCTCGCTTCCAGCTCCAGTGCTGGAAGTTGGGGTGTCCTAAGCCATGCAGGGATTTTTTCCACCTAAATTTTAGGCGAGGAGAGAGGGAGTTTGGGTGGGATATTGGGAAGGAATTCTCCCCTGTGAGGGTGGGGAGGGACTGGGATGGAATTCCCAGAGCAGTTGTGGCTGTCCCTGGATTCCTGAAAGAGTGCAAGGCTAGGTTGGACATTGGGGTTTGGAGCAGCCTGGGATGGTGGAAGTTGTCCCTGCCATGGCAGGGGTGGGATTTTGGATTCTAAAGGTCCCTTCCCACCCAAAGCATTCCATGATTCCCTGATTCCTCAGTCACTGAAGTTTGTTTGCCTTTTATTCCCTCAATATTCCACCACCGGCTCCAGCAAAGGCAAGGAGAAGACCAAGGAGAACAAGTAGGTCTGATCTCCCTGCTCCTCCTCCTCTTCATTCCCACTTTTCCAGCTGATCCACTTGGTTTGCTCTTCCTGCTCCTCCTCCTCTTCATTCCCACTTTTCCCAGCTGATCCAGTTGCTGTGCTCTGCCTTCCTCTAAAGCCAGACCTATCCACCCTGGGAAAACTTGGTTTTCTTGAATGTGTGGCCTCAGGGAATATTTATCAAAAAAAACAAGGAAAATTTATCCAGCAAAATCTTTGGAGTATGGCAGTGCCTGAAGGGAACTGAGAGACCTTGAGGGATCCATAGGGATCGGATGGAGGGAGATTCCCAGGATGGACATGGACAGGACAGGAGAAGTCTGGGTGCAGACAGGACTTAGATCCAGCTTTTCCTTGGATTTCAGGAAAAGGTTCTTCCCCCAGAGCTGGCTGGGCACTGGAACAGCTCCCCAGGGAATGGTGACATTCCCAGAGCTCCAGGAGCAATGGGACAGGGACAGGGTGGGATTGCTGGGGTGTCCTGGGCAGGAGTTGGATCCATGATCCCGTTTGGTCCCTTTCCACTAGGGAATTCCATGATACGACAGCTCCTGTGCCTACATTAGGCTGCCAGGTTTCTTCAGCTCCTGCCTTCCTTTCATCCCCAAAAATTTTCATGGATAGCAGAGCAGGACGTTCCCCCAAAACCCAGATCCTCTGGCTCAAATTTAAACTCAGCTGCAGGGAATCGTCCTGGAACCATATTCGGGGACTTCCCCATCTGAGAGGCCTCTCCTGGTTCCTATTCCTTGTTTTGTGGTTTTGGGATCAATTCATGGCACATCCCATGGATGGATCCTCCCAAATAATGGGGTGAAGCAGGAGGTGGAGATGAGGTGGAGAAGGAGGGAAATGTCCTGAAGCAGAGTCAGGAAAAATGGGAAGAGATCTCCCAGGTCTGGTCCTTCCTCTGGGAAGAAGCACAAAGGGATTGAGGGTTGGGATCTTCCCAAGGGTGTAGGATGGACCCAGCAGTGGGATCTGTCCTCTGGAAGAACTCCTAGCAGGTGGAATTCCCACAAGGAAATGAGACATGGGAATTCTGTTCCCAGCTCCCAGCCGCCAGTAAAATGCAGTGATTAAAATGTCTTTTTATCCATGGATAATTCAGCAGTAATGGGATCTTTAACTGGAAGCTGGCCAGGACAGAGGCTGCTCCCAAATCCCTGCTGTGGCTCCAGAATCCCTGTGGATTTTGGAGATCCCCACAATGTGAAATCCTAAAGGACAAAGCCAAAAGGAGCAGCAGGAGGGTTTGTGGAACTGGAGATGATCCATGCTTAATCCCAATCCCATTTTAGACCCCAGAAAATCCATGGGAAGAGGCTGGCTGGGATTTCTGGTGTCTAACATGGACTTAAACTTCCTTGGAAGTTTTTCCAACTCCCAGTAAAGGGCAGTGATTAAAATGTCCTTTTATCCATGGATAATTCACCAGTAATGGGATCTTTAACTGGAAGCTGTCCAGGACAGAGGCTGCTCCCAAATCCCTGCTGTGGTTCCAGAATCCCTGTGGATTCCGGAGAACCCCATTGGCGAAATCCTGAAGGACAAAAGGAGCAGGCTTGTGGAAGTGGCGATGATCCATGCTCAATCCCAATCTCATATTAGACCCCAGAAAATCCACAGGAAGAGGCTGCCTGGAATCTCTGGTGTCTAACATGGATTTAAACTGTCTTGGAAGTTCTTCCCGTTCCATCCTCCACCCAAACTTCTCAGAACCCAGGTGGGATGTGATGTGCTGGAGTACCAGCAGCTTCTCCAGAGCCTGGGTTTGTCAGGATAGCGGGAGAAGGGCGGGTGATGGCCCAGGAGGGCTCTCGGTGCCGTGGCGGCAGCTCAGGTTCCGCCGGTGCACGGATCCTCATGGAATATTCATGTGGAGACGGTGTCAGCTCTCCGCCAGCCCCGGCGTCCCACCGGCACCATCGGGAGCGTGGCGGGAGCATTGGGAAGATCCCACAAAAACCCCACTGTGCCCACTGAGGAGACTCGGAGGGATCCCCCATCCCTGCTCCATCCCCTCCGGCGCTGGGATGGATGTCCCACGATAGAGGCTCCGCCATTCCCACCTCGGATCTTCCAGAACCTTCTCCTGCTGGGCTGGGTGAAGGTAGAAGCCGGGATGGGAAGGGGGAGGTGTTTGGGATTGGGCAGGGCTCGCCCAGTTTGGGAAAGGGAAGGGTGGGGATCGGGAAGAGATTGGGGATTGGGATGAGGCACTGGGATGCTGCTTGGAACTTTTGGGATGGCTCTGTCTTCATCCTCATCCTGCTCCTTCCCTTCTTCCCAGCACCTGCTAAGTGCTGCCAAAATCCACCAAAACCCTCAGAACTCTCCAAAACCCACCAAAAAACCCGCTGCTTCAGAATTTATTTCTTTGTCTCTTTTTTTTCCCTCTTATTCCTTTTTCTTTTCCCCTCCATTTTTCCTGGTTTTTTTTTTTTCCCCCCTCCCTTTTTCCTCCTCTTTTTTTTCCTAGTGCTTTCTCCTGTTTGTTTGGAGTTTTTTTTTTCCTGCTTTATCCTTGACAGGTTTTTTTATCCCAACAGTTTTCCTTCCCAAAGTTTTTTCTTTCATCTATTTTTTCCCATTTTTTCCCCCTGCTGATTCCTCCTGGGGTTTCTTTCCCAACTTTTTCTGAGTATTTTTCCTTTTCTTTTTTTTTTTTTTACTTTCTCTCTGCTCTTCCCTCAGGTTTTCCCCCTCTGCCTCCCATTTTATTTCCCCTCTATTTTTTTCCCCCATCTTTTTCTTTTTTTTCCCCTGCTTATTCCTCCTAGGGTTTTTTCCTAAATTTTTCTGTGGTTTTCCCTTTTTCTTTTCTATTCTCCCCCCTCATTTCCCCACCCCAATTTTTCCTCTGTTTTTCCCCTCCATTTTTGCCTCCCCATTTTTCCTTCACAGTTCCCCCCCTTTTTTCCCCATTTCTTTTCTTCCCTATTTTCCCCTCCATTTTTAAATTTTCCTCCTTTCTTTTTCCTTTTCCCATTTCTCATTTTACCTTTTTTGTCCTTTTTCCTTTCCTCTTCTTTTCTTTACTTCCCCTTTTCCCCTTTTTTCTTTTTTGTTACTTTTCTCAATTTTCTTTATTTTACCATTTTCATTCTAACCCTTCTTCCCCTCTCTTCTTTTTCCCTTTTTTTCCTCTTTCCCTCTTTTTTCTTTCCTTTTTCACCTTCCCCCAGCACTCTCCAAACCCCTTTATTCCCTTCCCAAAATTCCATTCCCTGCTGGGCACGGACACAGCACCTGAACCTCTATTCCATATTTTTATTTTCTGGATTTTTCCCTCTGATCCACCTCACCCTGTGGATGTCCCAGATTTTCCCCATTCCCAGGTGTGGTTTTTCAACACCTTGGATAAGATGATTAATCCCAGGTTTTTTCCACGCATCACCCCAAATCCACCATCATTATTTTACTGTTGGGAACATCTGAGGGATCCAAATCCTTGTTTTCCGTGGATTTGGCAGCTGAGAGAGGACCCTGATGGAATTTTCCATGCTGAGTCCATCACCAGCTGCTCCTCACTTTGGTTTTCCTTCCCAAGAAAACTCAGAAATTCTCAGGACAGTGATTTTATCAAATCCATTTGTTAAATGGATTTGATAAAAATTTGATTAATTTTATCCAATCCATTTAACAAATGGAAGCTCTGGGACTAGAGGGATTTTTTTTTTCTCTCAATTTTTGAGAATTTCATGGAAAATAAAGGAATGCAATCCAACCAACCGGGAGGTGTGGCTGGAAGGGCAGAGAATGATCTGGGAGCAGAATTCCAGAGCCTGAGCCGTGATTCCAACATTTCCTCATTAAATAAATAAATCAGTTTGAAAACATCTCCAAAGGGTCCCATCCGCTGGATGTTGCCTGGTGGAATCACAGATATGGAATCCTCATCTTTAATTTTTCTCCTCCAATCCATGGAAGAAATGGAGCATCCTGGGAATAAATCACAGCTTCTATAGGCCTGAGCGCTGCTTTAGTCCCATATTTAAATACTGAATCTTATCCCAACCTTATCCCCTCCCTCAGATATGTTATTTTCCCATTCTCCTTAATTTTCTTCCTGCTTTCTCTGGCTCTCTCTGTGGCCTGAAGACTTCTGGAGGTGATTTCCAACCAGGACTCAATTCCAGGGATTTTTCCTAGCGAAAAAATTCCCAAGGGTAAAACGTGACCCTTCGGCTCCATCCAGAGGTGGGACTGGGAAATCCCACAGGGTCCGTATGGTTTCCTTTTGGAACGACATCCCAGTCCTGCAGAATCCAGGAACTCTGGATCCCCTGGCCTGGAAGCCAGGTGAGGTCCAGGCTGGAGATGTGGTCCTGGATGGAGATTAGATTTTGATTGAAAGTGAGGAAAAGTCCAGGTTGGAGGCGACTTTTTGTCCTGGCTGAAAGTGGGTGCCAGCCTGGAGGTGAGGTCCTGGCTGGAGGTGAGGTCCTGGTGGGAGGTGAGATCCTGACTGGAAGGTAGATCCATGCTGCAGGTGAGGTCCAGGCTGGAGATTAGGCTTGGGTTGGAGGTGAGGAAAAGTCCAGGTTGGAGGTGACTTTTTGTTCTAGCTGGAAGTGGATCCCAGTTTGGAGGTGAGGTGTCCAGGCTGGAGGTGAGGTGAGTTCCCAGCTGGAGGTGAGGTTCATCTTGGAGGTGAACTCCAGACTGAAGGTGATGAAAGCTCCATCCTGGACATGAGGTCTGGGTCAGGCCGGAGGTGAGGAAAGGTCCAGTTCTGAGGTGAGGTCAAGGCAGGACTTGAGGTCCCAGTGGGAGGGAAGGTCCAGGTTGGAGGTCAGGTTGATCTTGGAAGTGAGGTCCCAGGCTGGAGATGAGGTCCCAGACTGGAGGTGTGATCCTGGCTGGAGGTCCCCTGTTACTTCCAAGAACATCTCCAGCAAACCTGCAAATGTTCCTCCCTTTCCAGTGATGGGAATTCTCCAATTAAAAGCATTCCTCTTTCATGGGTGGGGGAAGTGTTGGGGTGTCTGAATTTTGGTGTGTCTACATTTTGGGGTGCCAGAATTTTGGGATGTCTAAATTTTGGGGTGTCTGAGCTTTGGGGTGTTGAAATTTTTGAGTATCTGAATTTTTGAATACCTGAATTTTGGGGTGTTTGAATTTTTGGGTGTTTCACTTTTAGTAGTTTCATTTTCTGGTGTCTTGGAAAGAAATTCCATGGACTGGTCAGGAGAGATGAGGAGTAGGAACACTATTTTCTTTATTTTACCTTTTTCATTTTAACTAGGACCCCCAGCAGGGGGTTATCCCAAGCTGAGGCATTCCCAGATAAAAAATGGGATCCAAGATTCCAGGGCAGTGAATTCCACTTCCTATTCTGACTCTCTGGAATATTTCCTGCTCTGTTTTTCAGCTGACATTTCCTCTTTCCCTTTTGGAAAAATCCTCCTCCTGTTCCCACATCCTAGAAAACATAAAAAATACCGAAATTAATGGGGATTTTTATTCTCCCTCTCTTCATCCAGAGCTGGCAAAGGAGTTTTTTCAGCCATGAAGCTTGGAAAGACACGTCCGTCCAAGGATGAGCATCGGAAACAAGGTACGATCATGGAATGACGGTGGATTCCTGGAATTGCAGTGGTGGGAGAGGAAGGGCTGCCTGTTCTGTTCCATGGGCTCTGCACGAGGTGGGGCTGGAATTGGACACCTCTGGAAAGGCAGGAGAGGGCAGCGATTGGAAATTCATGGCTGTTTCCATTCAGAGTCGAGGATCAGTTTTCCACAGCAAAGAAAAGCAGGAATGTGCGTTTACAGGCAGAGAAAAGCCTTGGAAAAAGTTTGGGTTGTGGTTCCGGGAAAACTTCCCCCATTTTCCAGCCAGATTTCAGGCTAGGAAAAGGGAGATTTGCCTGGGATGCTGGCATGGAAACCTGGGTGCTCTTCCCAGAACCTGCATGTTCCCTTTGTGATTAAAGATTCCAGCAGGACCATGGGAAAACACCCAGGATGCAAATGAACAGAGCAGTTGGTGCCATGGAAGCATCTCCACAGGCTGGATTTATCCATGGTCCTGGAATGCTCACTGTGTAGTGTGGGCAGCGCTGCAGGGCTGGGAGGCTCCTGGTCCCACCTTTCCCAGGAACCTCCAGGTGTCCCTGGGCTGGGATGGTGGTGATTCCAACCCTTGGCCACTGGATAAGGGATGGGTGGATGTCCTGCACCTGCTGCCTGCTGGCCAAGCCGGCATTCCCAACATTCCGTGGGTGCTTCCCTCCCATCCAGACTCTTCTCCGGCTTAGATCAGCCCCAGCCTGGCCTTGGACACTTCCAGGGATCCAGGAGCAGCCACAGCTCCTCTGGAAATTCCAGCCGAGCCCCTCCCCACGCTCCTGGACAGGAATTCCTTCCCAAGATCCCACTCCAAGCTCCCCTTTCCCAGTGGGAGCCATTCCCTGTGTCCTGTCCCTCCATGCCTTGTCCCCAGTCCCTCTGCAGCTCTCCTGGAGCCCCTGGAGGCCCTGGAAGGGGCTCTGGGGTCTCCCTGGATCCTTCTCTCCAGGTGGACATTCCCAGCTCTCCCAGCCTGGCTCCATGGCTGAAGGGCTCCAGCCCCGGAAGCAGCTCTGTGGTCTCCTCTGGAGCAATTCCAGCAGCTTCACAATCATCCCATGCCGAGGATCCCAGAGCTGGAGACAGCAATTCCCAGCTCCTGTGACTCTGGCTCAGTCTTAATCTCCTGGCTGAGTCAAGGACCCCCTTTCCCTCAGGAAAGGAACATTCCAGCAACTTCTTCCAATAGAAACCCAGGCATGGGCACGTGCCGGTGGGATCTCAGCTCCTGCAGCAGTTTTTCCTCCTGGGAATGACCCATTTCTCCCATTTTTTTCACCCCTCTCTCCTCAAAATCAGGGAATTGGTTGTCTTTGCACCAACTCATGCACTCCTCAGATCTCCAAGTCTTTCTCAAATGCTCTTTCACCCCCTGAATCCGGAGTGTTGTCATTATTCCTTATTTTTCCTCCCCAAGACCCTCCACAGGAATTCTGCCCGGATGGAATTCCATGTCATCTCTTTGATAACCCCTCTTCCGAGCAGGTTGCCCGAGACCCGACCTGGGCCCCATTGTTTTTGTGCTCCCAGCCGAGGGGATGGATTGGTTTCCCTTCTCCCAGCCTTTAATTATTCACCGGTGGAAATGAAAACCGGAGCCATTCCTTTGTCCCCTTCCCACAGATGATCCGGCTGTTCTGGAAACAGAAGACCTGGATAGAAAGGCCATGAGATACGGAGCAGGCCTGGAGCCAGACACCATCTCCCTGGCCTCTGTCACCGCTGTCACCACCAATGTCTCCAACAAAAGGTGAGATCCGGGGCTGGGATTGTGCCAGCGGGAGGTGAGGATGGACATCCCAAAAAATGAGTGATCCCTGACACAGGGAATGTTGGAAATCATTGTCCCATGGAGCCAGTGGGATGTTTTTTTTGGAATATCTGACCTGCAGCAGTGATCACCAAAGTTCTGTGGAGCCTCCCAGCACTAAAGGAGCATTGAGGGTGACCCTGCTCCTGTAGTGAGACTGACTTGGGACAAGGGATGGAGGGACAGGACTCAGGGAATGTCTTTCCACTGCCTGAGGGAAGGGATGGATGGGATATCGGGAATTAGGGATTATTCCCTGGGAGGGACTGGGGTGGAATTCCCAGTGAAGCTGGGAAGCCAGTGGGATGTTTTTTTGGAATATCTGACCTGCAGCAGTGATCATCAAAGTTCTGTGGAGCCTCCCAGCTCCCAGGGTTGGAGGAGCTTTGAGGGTGACCCTGCTCTTGTAGTGAGAGGGACTTGGGACATGAACCTGGAGGGACAGGACGCAGGGAATGGCTTCCCACTGCCAGAGGGCAGGGATGGATGGGATATTGGGAGTTAGGAATTGTTCCCTGAGAGGGACTGGGATGGAATTCCCAGAGAAGCTGCAGCTGCCGCATCTCTGGAAGTGTCCCAGGCCAGATTGGATGGGGCTTGGAGAACCTGGATTGGTGGTGTCAGGCTCTGGATGATCTTCAAGGTGCCTCCCTACCCAAACCATTCCATGATTCCATGAGTCCACCCGTGGTTTGACCAAAGGTTTCTTCTGCCTCTCCCAAGGTCCAAGCCCGACATCAGGATGGAGCCGAGTGCCGGGAGGCCCATGGATTACCAGGTAGGTGACACCTGGGTGTGGCCCTCAGGGTCACAACCTGAGCTTGGGGACACCGTTTGCAGGGACCGAGTTCCTGGTGGGTCTCCACTCACTGGGCTTGGAACCAGGACATCCCAAGGGCTGGAATTTCACTGGTGGAGCCATTAAGTCAGGATTAAGTCATTGACTGGGTTTGTTGTCCAGCGTGTGAAACACAGAGAGACCAAATTAAGCCCAAATTAAGCTGGTTTTGAGGTTGTGTCCATGGAATTCCTCCTTGGAGCAACCTGGGATAGCAGAATGTGTCCCTGCCCCTGGAAGGGAGTGGAATTGATTGAGCTTTAAGGTTCCTCCCAATTCCAACCACTTCATGATCCCATTGTGTGTTCCAGCAGAAGTGAAGCCAATGGGATTGGCCTCTCTGATCCCACAGCTTGGGTAAAATCCCGTTGTGTTTTCCAGGAGAAGTGAAGCCAGTGGGATCGACCCTTTGATCCCACAGCTCGGGTTAAAACCATTGGATTTTCCAGTAGAAGTGAAGCCAATGGGCTTGATCTCTCTGATCCCACAGCTCATGTTAAATCCCGTTGTGTTTTCCAGGAGAAGTGAAGGCAATGGGATCGGCTTCTCTGATCCCACAGTTCGGGTTAAATCCACTGGATTTTCCAGCAGAAATGAGGCCAATGGGATCGGCCTCCCTGATCCCACAGCTTGGTTAAATCCACTGGATTTTCCAGCAGAAAATGGGATTTTCCAGCAGAAGTGAAGGCAATGGGATCGGTCTCTCTGATCCCATAGCTCGGGTTAAATCCTGTTGTGTTTTCCAGCAGAAGTGAAGGCAATGGGATCGGCTTCTCTGATCCCACAGTTCGGGTTAAATCCCATTGGATTTTCCAACAGAAGTGAAGCTAATGGGATCGGTCTCTCTGATCCCACAGCTCAGGCTAAATCTATTGGATTGTCCATATTGGGTGGAGTGTCCACACCCTGGGGCTGGAACAACCAGGATTCCTGGGATCTCCTGCATCCCACACCATTGCCAGCCCCTCCTCATCCATGTCCCAGTGGGACCAGCAGACCCCATTGCACTGGGAATTCCCCTTGGTCACAGGTAGGGGGGTGGGTGAAGGCAGCCTGGAGCTGCTCCCAGGATGTGGAAATTTGGGAATTCCTCTCCCCAGGTCAGCATCACCATCATCGAGGCCCGGCAGCTCGTGGGGCTCAACATGGACCCCGTGGTGTGCGTGGAGGTGGGGGAGGAGAAGAAATACACGTCCATGAAGGAATCCACCAATTGTCCTTACTACAATGAGGTGGGTCCGGCCCTGGTGCTGCTCCAACCCCTCCGGATTACTCCAACCTTGATCTGGTGATTTCTTTCTTATTTGTGATTTTTTTGGGTTAAATTGCTGCCGGAATAAGATGAAATCTCAAACCACAGAGGAGAAACAAAGCCTTTGCCCTCTGGAATTTTGTGATCAATGATCCCCAGGTTTTCTGAGAGATCTCCTCTTCTGTTTGCTACCCACATCCCCCATCAGTGATCCATGTGGTCCCACACTCAGTGTTGGGAGCACATGGATCCATCCCTGCTGGATCATGGGCAACCCTCAGGCAGCCAGACCTTCTCTGGAGGTTCTAAACCCCTCCAGGCTATTCCACCCTTGATCCGGTGATTTCTTTCTTATCTGTGGGTTTTTTTGGGTTAAAGTCCTGCTGGAATAAGGTGAAAACTCAAACCACGCAAGAGAGACAAAGCTTTTGCCCTCATTTTGTGACCAAAGATTCCCAGGTTTTCCAAGAAATCTGTGCTTCCATTTGGCTCCCTGCACTCAGTGAGGGATCGGTGATCCATGTGGTCCCACACTCGATGTTGGGAACACATGGATCCAAGCCCTGCTCCAGCAGGAGCTCCCCCAGGCTGCCACAGCTTCTCTGGGGGATTCTTGATCCTTCTGGGCTACTCCTCCCCCCTATCTCATGATTTCTTCCTTATCCGTGTTTTTTGGGGTTAAACTCTTGTTGGAATAAGGTGAAACTTCAAACCATACAGGAGAAACAAAGCCTTTGCCCTCTGGAATTTTGTGATCAATGATTCCCAGGTTTTTCAAGAAATCTGCACTTCCATTGGCTCCCCACACTCAGTGAGGGATGCGTGATCCATGTGGTCCCATGATCAGTGTTGGGATCACATGGATCCATCCCTGCTGGGTCATGGACTGCAGGAACTCCCCCAGGCATCCGGGGGGCTCTCAATCCCTCTGGGCTACACCACCCTCAATCCAGTGATTTCCTTCTTATCTGTGGGGTCTTTTTTGGGTTAAAGTCCTGCTGGAATAAGATGAAACCTCAAACCACACAGCAGAAATCAAGCCTTTGCACTCTGGAATTTTGTGATCAATGGTTCCAAGTTTTTCTGAGAAATCTGCACTTCTGTTGGCTCCCCACACTCAGTGGGGAATCCGTGATCCATGTGGTGCCACGCTGAGTGTTGGGATCACATGGATCCATCCCTGGTGGACCATGGGCCCCCCTGGGTGACCACAGCTTCTCTGGGGGTTCTTAATCCCAATGGATCCCACCCCTCACCATTCCTCTTTCCCTTCCAGTATTTCGTCTTCGATTTCCATGTCCCCCCTGATGTCATGTTTGACAAGATCATCAAGCTCTCCGTAAGTGACCCCGATATCCTTGTCCTTTTTGGGGGGGCTTTGGAAACAAACCACCCATTTTTGGGATGGATTTAAGGTCCTTGATGTGAGATTCCCAAACAGGAATTCTCTTCTGCAGACCCCCAGTCCGTATTTCTGCTCCAACCCTCATTCCTGGCTCCACACATCCCCTGCATTCCCTGTGTCCTTTTGTGGGTTGATCTCTGGTATTCCAGAGATCCAAACCTTGGAATTTATTTATTAGAACCAAACCTTGGAATTTATTTATTTATTCTTGTGGAGAAGAAAGAATTTCCAGAGCCAGGGAAATTGCTGGAGTATCAGAGCTGTTGTGGAAAGCCAGGATTGGGAATGCTGAGAGCAAAGCTGAGATTTCAGTCCACCCAAAACCAGGAAGGCGATGGATAAGACTTCCATATTCCCTGCACATTTAGAGCGCATTAATTAGGATCATTCATATCCATCCTGGATACGGATTGCACAGACTGGGTGCACAATTTCTCCCAATTTTCCTCAAATTCTGAACTTTCTAAAGGCTCTTCCGTCAGTTAAATATCCCAGTGTTTCCTGCTGTAGTGGCTGGAAAAGGGATCTTGTTCCAAAGATTAACTTATTTGCATTTTTTAATTCCAAATACAAACTTCCTGACAATTCAACTAATCAGGATCTGCCAACCCCACGGGGCCTTTTGGTGTCCTCAAATCCTCCCCAGACCAAGGAAAACTCATCAGCTCCTTTCCCACCCCACCCTGGAAACCTCTGGAATGGCTTTGTGGCTCCCAGGTCCTGGGGGAATTCCTGAGCGGTTTTCCCCTCTTGATTTCCAGGTGATCCACTCCAAAAACCTCCTGAGGAGCGGGACGTTGGTGGGATCCTTCAAGATGGATGTTGGGACCGTTTACACCCAGCCTGGTACGTGAATGTCATTTGTAACGATTCCCAGGCACCTGCAGCTGCTCAGGGGCGTAAAATTCCCAGCAAAGGAGTCAGGCAGGCGCTGGATTCCTTGGAAAATGTTTTCCAAGTATTAAATATTGGAAATTGATTGAAAATTATTAGATGTAAATATCCAAGATATAAAAAGTCACCTGGAGTCACTTGTAGGTCAGGGAAGAGCACTTGACACCTCTGGAGAAGGGTCTATTTCTCATCCTGGAATTACGGAATCACAGGATGGTTTGGGTGTGATGGGGCTTTAAAGATAATTTAATTCCACACCTGCCATGGGCAGGGACACCTTCCATTGTCCCAGGTGGCTCCAAGCCCCAATGTCCAGCCTTGGGCACTCCCAGGGATCCAGGGATTCTCTGGGAATTCCAGCCCAGCCAGGAATTCTTCCTAAGATCCCGCAATCCCAAGCTCCCCTTTCCCACTGGAAGCCATTCCCTGGCTCCTGCCCCTCCAGCTCTCCTGGAGCCCCTTAAGGGATTCCCTGGATCCTTTCCTGATCCTGTCACACATTCCCAGCTCTCCCAGCCTGGGATTGGATCCATCGCCATCCCAACTCCTCTCTGGGAAGGAATTTCAGGATCCAGGGCCTTCACTGGGAATTCAGGACTCCAGGAAGGGTCTCCCTTCCCTTTTCCACCCTCGAATTCCATAAAAATCCCTCAGGATGGATCCTGAGTGTCTTTTGATCTCCAGCACCTCCCACTATCCCAGGCTGCTCCAAGCCCCAAGTCATCCAAGTCATCCAAGCTTTCCTTGGACAATGCCAGGGATCCTCTGGGAATTGCAGCCCAGCCAGGAATTCCTCCCCAAGATCCCACAATCGCAAGATACCCTTTCCCACTGGAAGCCATTCCCTGGCTTCTGCCCCTCCAGCCCTTGCCCAAATCCCAGCTCTCCTGGAGCCTCTTGAGGCCCTGGAAGGGGCTCTGAGCTCTCCCTGGATCCTTCCCTTCTCCAGCTTTCCCAGGTGTCCCTGAGATCCCTCCTGGCTGTGCTGGTGTACATCCCTGCCCTGCCCAGGAAGAAGCCCTGGGTGACATTCCCAGACAGGAGGTGAACATTCCAGACAGGAATGTCCAGGGCTGGATTCTGCCTCACATTTCACCCAAGCCTGGAAAAGAGGGAGAGGTTGATTAAAGCTGCTGGCCATTGAGTCCAATCATCCCCAATGCTGCCAGGGGCACCATCACTTCCCCATGTCCCCAAGTGCCACATCCACATGGCTTTAAACCCCTCCAGGGTGGGGACTTGAGACTCCACCCTCATCCAACTTATCCCGTTGTGTCTCCATCTCCAACACCAGGCACCCCTTCCCAGTGGATTTTCCAGGGGTTTTTTGGGATCCCTCACACACAGGGCAGGTCCCACTCCATGGAATGCCGTGTCCTGGTGGCATTGGCCGTGTTCGGTGGTGACAAAGGTCTCTCTTGTCCCCTGGGTTGCAGAGCACCAGTTCTACCATAAATGGGCCATCCTGTCCGACCCCGAGGACCTCACAGCCGGCCTCAAGGGCTACCTCAAGTGTGACATCGCTGTGGTGGGCAAAGGTGACAATATCAAGACCCCGCACAAGGCCAACGAGACAGAGGAGGATGACATTGAAGGGTAGGGATCTGCTGGGATCCGCTTATTCCCAGCTCCCTCAGGAATCCTTTCCACCTCTCTTTCCCTTGGGTGGGATCACAGGATCCAAACCTGGTGGCAAACCCTGAGCTGTGAAAGGGAGAGGGACCAATCCGGTGGTTTTCTGGGAGGGAATGCGTAGTCCTGGTGCAATTCCAGGTGATCTCCAGCACAGAGTTGTCCTTCCTGTGGGGTCAGACCATCTGCTGGTGGTTGAACTCTCCAGCAGCACCAGCCTGGTGTCAAGCAGCCTGGTGTCCCCTGATGTTCCTGATAGGCGGAAAATGGGATGAGATGGGATAATGGGATGGGATCTCACACCTCAAGGCAGAGCAGGGAAGTCTGGATGAGGTTTCGCAGGCTGTGTGTGTGAACAGGGATCTTGGACTGTCCAGAGCATCTCAAAGGTCATGGAACAAAAATCAGGGCCTTTAAGGCTTGATTCCAGTCCCAAAAATTCTCCTTTTATTATTAAAATAAATAATTTATATTTATTATAAATAAATATCTCCATTTCAAATCTGCCTCTGAGGCTCTCCCCACATGGAATCATGGGATGGAAAGACCTCTGGGATTGAGTCCAGCCATTAACAGCCAGAAAGCACCAGCACAGCTCTCCTGACTTGCTGGGGTTTGAGGAACCTCCTCCAGAACTCCAGGGCTTCATTCCACACTGTAGTGGTGATCTCCTACTGACTGCTAAAATCCTGGAATGGTTTGTTTTTGGAAGGGATCTTCAAGATCACCTTGTTCCAACCCTCCTGCCATGGGCAGGGACACCTTCCACCAGCCATAGACAATTCCAGCAATTCCTAGAATTCCCCTAGAAATATTTTGTTCGCAGCGTTCCCATCTATTCCTGCAGAGGAGGAGAGCCACATATAAAAAAAAAACAACAAAAAACCCAAAAAAACCCCCAATGGATGGAGTTAATTTCATCCCCAAAATAATCCTCCGAGCTCCCCTTGATAAGGATAAAGCAACTCTTCCAAAATCCCATTCATTCTATTTCTGTGGAATGGAGTGGAAGCGGAAGGAGTCAGTGCTCAGAAAATGGATCAGCTCCTCGCTGGTCTTTTATGGAACCACAAAGGTGGGATGGAGGTTGTCCCATCCAACTGGGATGGGATTCACTGACCATCCCACCCCAGCAGCTGTTCCCAACTCCATCCTGACATTTCACATTCCAGGAACCTCCTGCTCCCCGACGGGGTCCCTCCGGAGCGGCAGTGGGCTCGGTTCTACATCAAGATCTACCGAGCCGAGGGGTTGCCGCGCATGAACACCAGCATCATGGCCAACGTCAAGAAGGCGCTCATCGGCGAGAACAAGGACCTGGTGGACCCCTACGTGCAGGTGGCCTTCGCAGGGCAGAAGGTGAGCGGGGAAGTCTCAAGGTGACCACAGGAGGTGATGCCAGCAGGTGGCCATAGATGGTCTTGGTTGTCCTTGCAGGTTTGGATGGGTGTGGTGTCACCTTGGTCAAGATGGATGTGGTGTCACCTGGCACATTGAGATGGGCGTGGTGTCACCTGATATATCAAGATGGGTGTAGTATCACCTGGCACATTGAGATGGGCGTGGTGTCACCTGATAGATCGAGATGGGTGTAGTATCACCTGGCACATTGAGATGGGCGTGGTGTCACCTGGTCCAATAAGAGATGAGTGTGGTGTCACCTGGTACATTGAGATGGGTGTGGTGTCACCTGGTATGTCAAGATGGGCGTGGTGTCATGTTGGTTGAGATGGGCATGGTGTCAGCTGGCACACTGAGATGGGCATGGTGTCACCTCATAAATCGGGATGGGCATGGTGTCACTTGGCACGTTGAGAGGGGCATGGTGTCGCTTGGCACATTGAGACGGGTGTGGTGTCACCTGGCATCACTGAGATGGACGTGGTGTCACCTGGCATGTCAGGATGGGCGTGGTATCACTTGGCATATTGAGATGGGCGTGGTGTCACCTGGCTTGTCCAGATGAGCATGGTGTCACTTGACACATCGAGATGGGCGTGGTGTCACCTGGCACGTTGAGATGGGTTTGGTGTCACCTGGCACATCGAGATGGGCATGGTGTCACCTTGTTTTTGCTCTCTGGGATGGATTTGAGCCCTCTCCATTTGAGGAGGAGAATTCCTCACTCAGGACAGGGCGGAGTGGGTGGAAGGGAGCAGCTCAGGTGGTGAGGGATAGTTTGGGAGATCCAACTTGTTGGGAAGGATGAAAGTTTGATGGGAAAGTCTCACAGATACTTGTGCTTGGCAGAAAGATCTCTGAATGTAGAACCTGAGAATGAAATAGAGATGGAAACTAGTTTTGATATAGAAGAATAACAGATGTGTAAATTGAGGACTGCTGAGCCAGTCTTGCTTGACACCTAAGAAAGCAAAGGTTAAGTCGAGTTGGAAAGAGATTTTATGACTTAGAGCAAAGGATAAGCTGACCGCAAACAAAAATATGGTTTTACAGAGCAGAAAGATTCCAGAGACAAGCAACATGCCGATGTGGCAAGTATAAAAAAGATCTAAGAATTTTCCACTGCAAGATAGACAACTTTAAGCTTAAACTGTAACATTCTAACTCATGTGGCTGGATAGTATTGACCATAATATGGTAATGATAGTAATGACAGGTTACAGGTAATAGTAAAGGTATTGATTGGTTGATTATGTATTAAAATGCTCAGCAAAGAAAAATATATAATGCAAGTAACCAAAACTAAAGGGTCTTCAGGCTTGTCTGCAGCTGGAGCTGACAGCTGTAGGCGTGGCTCTGTCACCCATGTGGGAATTCTGGGCTCTTTCTTGCTCCAAGGTCAGGGTGAATAAAACTCAGGAGATGTTGTTTTTGAAGTCTTACTCTGAAGTTTATTATCCTTGTCTATTACAAACTCACCAGATGTGAGCTCTCCCTAAAAAGTGAGTTAAAATGGCGTCTGTTCAAGGTTATTTAAGTCCCAGTTACCCAATAAACAGTTGACATCTATATCATTTATGCTTCTAACCCAATTATGATCACCCAAAACCCACAATGCGGACATCTTTCATCCAATTAGAGAAAACCACCCAGATCTGTGGTGGAAGAAGAAGGTGCAAAAAAGACATCTAACCCACACCCAAAATTCTCCATCTTGACTCCCATGTATCACCATATACTAAAACCCCAAATCTAAGTTTTATCACCCTGTGAAATCACACACTTCTAACCAACTCCACACCCATAATCTGAGTGCTATTAATCAGTTTTGGAAGCCTTCTCCACAGCCCTCAGGTCAAATGCAGTGCTCGCTTGTGGGTCTGTGCCTTTCACCACAGAAAGTGTAAAATTCTCAGCATCCAGGGTTCCAACATCCCACAACCCTGAACTGCTGTAACACCTTGGATACAATAAACTGCATTTTGAAGAGTTGCCAGAGTCCCACATCTCTCATCTCTTACTCAACATTTGTCTGATATCCGTCTCCTCTCGATTCCCAGGGAAAGACATCCATACAGAAGAGCAGCTACGAGCCCCTCTGGAACGAGCAAATCATCTTCACAGAGATGTTTCCCCCGCTGTGCAAGCGGATCAAGATCCAGATCCGGGACTCAGACAAGGTCAATGATGTGGCCATTGGGACCCATTTCATCGACCTGAGGAAGGTCTCCAACGAGGGGGACAAAGGTAAAGTTGAAGTGGGGGGGCATAAAAGCTACAGGGGCATTCCTTTAGCAGAGATCCCGAAGTTTTCCAGGTTCCTTCCCGCCCCTGGAATTCCTGGGTGCTCATCAGGAGAGATCTTGAGGTCCTCAAATATGAGAGGTTCCTGGGCCAATGCCCTGAAAACCAAGATGTGTCACAAACCTTCAGCCAATACTTGAAAGCAAAGACACCCCAGAACAATTTGCTTTTCCAAAATTTCCATGGAGGGATGAGCATTTGTGGGCAAAGATGGGAAACCAGATGTGGGACTGGAAAGGGACTGACGGGGGGTTCTCCTTCCTCGAACCTCAAAATGGGGAATTGCCAAAGATCTGCAGTTCCCACTGCCTTCCATGCAAATTTCCCCAAAAAACTTCAGGAGGCTCGGGGGGACCTTGTGGCTCTGCACAACTCCCTGACAGGAGGAGACAGCCAGGGGGGTTGGGCTCTGCTCCCAGGGAACAGGGACAGGACAAGAGGAAATGGCCTCAGGCTGTGCCAGGGCAGGCCCAGGCTCAGGTTTGATATCTGGAAAATTCCTTCCTGGAAATCGCTGTTGATCCCTGGCACAGGTGGAGTTTCCATCCCTGGAGGGATTTAAAAGCCATTTGAATGTGGCAACATCCATTTGGGGGACATGGGTTCGTGGAGGCCTTGGCAGTGCTGGGGTTGGATGGAAAAACTGCCAGAAAAATCTCCTGTAAATGCATTTGGCAGGAGATTGAGGTGAAAGACTTAAATCTTTCCACTCACCCTGGTTGTGCCAGGTTGGACACCAGGAGGAATTTCCCCATGGAAAGGGTGGTCAGGCCTTGGCAGGGGCTGCCCAGGGAGGGTTTGGAATGTCCATCCCTAGAGATGACCAAGGTATTTCTGGATGTGGTTCTCAGTGTTCTGGGCTGGGGACAAGGTGGGGATCAGGCACAGGTTGGACTTGACGATCTGGGAGCTCTTTCCCAACCCAAATCATCCTGGGATTCCCTGAAAACTGTCTCCATGGATGGCGGCAACTACACATCCATGGACACACAAGAACACATCCCAGCCTGTATCACCACACAGAGACCAAGAAAGTGACACCACGGCTGCCAAGACATTCCCTTTTCCCTCTCCATCCCCTTCCCACCCCCTCAGGTTTCCTGCCCACCTTCGGCCCCGCCTGGGTGAACATGTACGGCTCCACGCGGAACTACACCCTCATGGACGAGCACCAGGAGCTCAATGAGGGCCTGGGCGAGGGCGTCTCCTTCCGTGCCCGGCTCCTGCTGGGCCTGGCCGTGGAGATCCTGGACACCACCAACCCCGAGATCAACAGCTCCACTGAGGTCCAGGTGGAACAGGCCACGGCGGTGGCGGATGTAAGTGCCCCGTGACCCCACAGGTGTTCCCATAACCCCACAGGATCCTGGGGACAGTTTGGGGTTTATGGAATATTGGATTGTTACCTTTGGTCTCATGAATTTACGATTTTTGTGGATTGGGAATGGTGTGGCCAGCAGGAGCAGGGCGGTCATTCTGCCCCTGTACCTCGCACTGGTGAGGGCCTACCTTGAGTGCTGTGCCCAGTTCTGGCCCCTCAGTTTGGGAAGGACATTCCCAAGAGATCCTTGAGATCCTTGAATGTGTCCAAAGGAGGCAACAAGGCTGGAGAGGAGCTGGGAACACAAACCCTGTGAGGAAGCCCTGAGGGAGCTGGGGATGCTCAGCCTGGAGAAAAGGAGACTCAGGGATGACCTTATCACTCCCTACACCCCCTGAAAGGTGGCTGTGCACAGCTGGGGCTCGGCTCTTCTTCCAGGCAGAGCCAGAGGACACAGCCTTGAGCTGCACCAAGGGAAATTTAGGCTGGATATCAGGAAAAAGTTTTTTTACAGAAAGGATGATAAAGTTCTGGAATGTTCTGCCCAGGCAGGTGGTGGAGTCCCCATCCCTGGGTGTGTTTAACAAAGCCTGGATGTGGCACTGTGTGCCAGGATTTAGCTGAGGTGTTGGGGCTGGGTTGGACTCGATGATCTTGAAGTTCTCTTCCAACCTTGTGATTCTGTGAATTGTGTGAATTTTGTGATTTCAAGTGTTGTCCCAGCTGTTCCGGATCTCACAGAGGAATGGAAGTAAATCTTGCCGGATTTCAGGTTTTAGGCTCGTTCCAGCGCTCACTTCCCTTAGGAGCATTGGGAATGTCAGAGTGACATGGTTTGTCACTGGCACAGCTTTCCCAGAGGAGCTGTGGCTGATACACCCCTGGAAGTGTCCCAGGCCAGGTTGGACAGGGCTTGGAGTACCCTGGGATAGAGGAAGGTGACCCTGCCCATGAAACTGGATGATCTCTAAGGTCCCTTCCCACCCAAACCATTCCACAATTTCTATCATCTCCTGAGCCTAGGGATGTTTCTCCAAGTGGGAATTACTCATGGGCAGTGAGTCATCCCCTAATTCCAGTTATCCCACTCTTATCCGGATGGGTTTCAATCAGAAACCAAGGTTTCAATCAGAAACCAAGAACCAATCTCCTTTATTTCCCAGCCCAGGGGAATGAAACCACCTGGAAACAGAACCATTCCAATTCCATGGGAGCATCCAGGCACCTGGATTTTTGTGGTTTGATCAATTGAGCCAAGGCTTGTATTCCTGAATGTGCCTGAACCCAGCTCAAGGTTATCTTTAATTAAAAGATATTAAAATGAAATCTTCAATTAAAGACTCTTTACAATGAGCCAGGAGATGGGAGACAAAACCCTCCCCATCCCTTTGGAAATGGCATCCTGAGGGACGGATGTGTCTCTCCCTCTGACCCCGATCCTCAGCCCTGGGATCTCTTTTCTCCTTCAGAACTGCAGTGGGAAGATGGAGGAATTCTTCCTCTTCGGAGCCTTCCTGGAGGCCACCATGATCGACAGGAAGATTGGGGACAAACCCATTAACTTTGAGGTCACCATAGGTTGGTTGTTTTTTTGGGGGGAGTTGTGATGGTGGTGAAAATCAGAATCCAAAGCTGGGGGTGGGGTTTAGTCCTGATTTTCCATTCCAACCCCTGCTAGAGCAGGTTTGGGGAGCAGGGAATGGCTCCTTCGTGAGCATGTGGGATGTGGGATCCCATTTTGTGCCTGGTGGGCTCTGCCTTGTAGAGCTGATCCCTCTCTTCCATCCTGGTTTCACCCTCCAAAGATGCCAGGGGATTCCCAGGGGATTGAGAAGGGGCAGGAGCAGGGCACAGACACCTCTCCCTAATTTCCAGCTCCTGGATGTGGTTCCAGAAAGTCAAACTCCAACGTTCACTGTGACTTCAGCAGAGAAAATTTTTGCCAACCTGAATTCAATCCCAGAGCTGGGAGTTAAAACCCTGTGAATCAAGTACACTTTTAATTTATTTTTTTCTTTTTTGGTTTTTTTTTTTCTCCTTGAGGTAACTATGGCAACCAGGTGGATGGCTCCAGCAAACCTCTCCTGAGGAGGAAGAAAGAGGGAGGGGATGGGGACGAGGAGGAGTCGGAGCTGCTCCAGAATTCCAGTGACGATGAAGTTGGCGAGGATGGAGAGCTGGTTTCTGTTTCTTCATCCCCGCCCATGAAGCCCCTGGTCACGGACAGGTCAGTGTGTCCACCTGGGCACTGGTCAGTGTGCCCACCTGGTCACGGACAGGTCAGTGTGTCCACCTGGATTTGTGTGGTCAGTGTGTCCACCTGGGCACTGGTCAGTGTGTCCACCTGGGCACAGACAGGTCAGGGTGTCCATCTGATCACAGACTGGTCAGCATGTCTACCTGGGCACAGACTGGTCAGTGTGTCCACCTGGGCATGAACAGTGTGTCCACCTGGATTTGTGTCGTCAGTGTGTCCACCTGGTCTCAGACAGGTCAATGTGTCCACCTGGGCACAGACAGGTCAATGTGTCCACCTGGATTTGTGTGGTCAGTGTGTCCACCTGGGGACTGATCAGTGTGTCCATCTGGTCACAGACTGGTCAGTGTGTCCACCTGGTCTCAGACAGGTCAGTGTGTCTACCTGGGCATAGACTGGTCAGTGTGTCCACCTGGGCATGAACAGTGTGTCCACCTGGATTTGTGTCATCGGTGTGTCCACCTGGTCTCAGACAGGTCAATGTGTCCACCTGGGCATGGACAGGTCAATGTGTCCACCTGGATTTGTGTGGTCAGTGTGTCTACCTGGGCACTGATCAGTGTGTCCACCTGGGCACTGGGTCAGTGTGTCCACTTGGGCATGGACAGGTCAGTGTGTCCACCTCGATTTGTGTGGACAGTGTGTCCACCTGGGCATGGATAGGTCAGTGTGTCCAACTGGATTTGTGTGGTTAGTGTGTCCACCTGGTCACAGACAGGTCAGCGTGTCCGCCTGGGCACTGGGTCAGTGTCTCCACCGGGGCACAGACAGGTCAGTGTGTCCCCATGGATTTGTGTGGTCAGTGTGTCCCCATGGCCTTGTGTGGTCAGTGTGTCTGCCTGGTCTCAGACAGGTCAGTGTGTCCACCTGGATTTGTGTGGTCAGTGTGTCCACCTGGGCATGGACAGGTCTGTGTGTCCCACTGGTCACAGACATGTCAGTGTGTCCACCGGGGCACTGGGTCAGTGTGTCCACCTTTTGTGGCTCTTGGGGACTGTCCTGGTTTAGGGGCATGGGTCAGTGGTGGCCTCAGCAGTGTCCAGTGTCAAGATCCCAGATGGAAAAACTGCTGGAAAAATCTGCAAATGCATTCTACAAATGCAGGAAATTGGGATAAAAAGGCTCAGATCCTCTGCCTGGTGAGATGTGCCTGGGGAGGTCTGGATTTGCATTCCAAGAAACATAATTGGATTTAAGATTATGAGATTTAATTAAAGTGGATTTTTATCAAGTTTTAGCAGCAGATTGGTGCTAATTGAATTAACTTTCTGATTAAATCAATTGGGAAAAAAAAATCCAGTAAAGATAGGTGTCTCCCTGGAATTCCCTCCCTATATCCATGAATACCCAGCACAGATAAATCCCCTGGAATTCCTTCCCTTGTTTCTATCAATATCCAGCACAGATCTCCCTGGAATTCCCTCCCTGTTTCCATGAATATCCAGCACTGAAAAATCCCCCTGGAATTCCCTCCCCATTTCAATCAATATCCAGCACAGTTAAATCCCCTGGCATTCCCTCCCTTTCATGTTTCCCTGAATATCCAGCACAGAAAAGTCTCCTGGGGTTCCCTCCCTTGTTTCCATGAATATCCAGCACAGACAAATCCCTCTGGAATTCCCTCCTTTGTTTCCATCAATATCCAGCACAGATAAATCCCCTGGAATTTCCTCCCTTGCTTTAATCAATATCCAGCACAGATTAAATCCCCTGGAATTCCCTCCCTTGCTTTAATCAATATCCAGCACAGATAAATCCCCCTGGAATTCCCTCCTCTGTTCCTCACCTCCTTCTCCAGCTGAATCCCAAGGGGAGAATAGAAGTTCCCATTTTTCTGGGGCCTCTCCCACCCTGTTTATCCAAAAATCTCCATCCTCTGGCAGCTGTCCCCCACCCTGCTCAACCACGGGGCTCTGCTGACATCTGGTGGGAACAGCCGGGAAGAGCTGGGGCTGGATGTGACTCCTGGCGATCCCAGGAGAGCAGCAGGATTCCCTTTCCAGGTGCAGCAGGGTTCCCCTTTCCCAGGTGCAGCAGAGCAGGATTCCCCTTTCCAGGTGCTGGATCCTGGCTCACGGCGAGCATTCCAAAAGTGTGGATCACCCTTTCTTCGGCTGTTCCAAGGACAAGTTGGGCAGGGCTTGGAACAACTGGGAGGTTCCAGAATCCCAGGATGGTTTGGGTGGAAAGGGATCTTAAAGATTGTCCCGTTCCAGACCCAACACATGCCACTGTCTCAGTATTACCTGGTCGGGTAATAATTAGCATAGACTCCATGATTACAGATTAATCTTTATTAAGAAACTCATTGCTTTTATAGACAGTTATGATACAGCTGGACTTGATTGGTCCTTTAATTAAAACACCATCACCACTGGCTAATTAAGAAACAACCTTTTGGTAAACATATCTGCATAACATATTCCACATATTCACAAACACCAGGTGCTGCAGGTTAAGATAAGAATTGTTTCTCATTCTTTTCTGTGATCTTCTCACAGACTTTTTTCAGAACAATGCCTGGGAAATTTGTCTGCTGCTCTCTATGACCAGAAAGCTGCTGCCACATCTCAGATTGCTCTAAACCCAGTCCAACCACACCTTGGACACTCCCAGGATGGATGGGGAAGCCCCTGGTCACTGCACCCATCCATCCTGGCTTTGGGAATGGCCTTGGGAAAAACAGAGCCTCCGTTCCATTAATTTTTATTTAGAAATTCAATGTTTTTATAGACAGTTATGATACACCCAGGTGATCCCAGGTGAGTCCTAGTCCAAAGCTGGACTTGATTGGTCCTTCAATCTAAACACCATCACCATTGGCTAATTAAGAAACCACCCTTTGGTAAACAAATCTCCATAACATATCCCACATATTCACAAATACCAGGTGCTGCAGGTTAAGACAAGAATTGTTTCTCATTCTTTTCTTTGATCTTCTCACAGACTTTTCTCAGAACTATGCCTGGGAAATTTGTCTGCTGCTCTCTATGACCAGAAAGCTGCTGCCACACCCCAGATTGCTCCAAACCCCACCCAACCCAGCCTTGGACACTCCCAGGACGGATGGGGCAGACCCCGGGCACTGCACCCATCCATCCTGGGCCTGGAATTGGGAATGGCCTTGGGAAAAACAGAGCCTCCATTCCAGCTCCTGAGCTGCCATATCCCCCTTCCCACCATGGCATTGCTTCCCGGGAGAGATGTGGGATGGGGACTGCTCCAGGCCAGGATTGTCACCCTCACGGAGTGTCTCTCCTGCCTCCTCTTGCAGGAATTACTTCTACCTACCCTACCTGGAGAAGAAGCCCTGCATCTACATCCGGAGCTGGTGGCAGGACCAGCGGCGCCGGCTCTACAACGCCAACATCATGGACAAGATCGCAGACAAGCTGGTCAGGGGTGGACAGGAAGGGGTGGAGGGACAGGGGGACACTGCTGGGACACGGGGCTGGCACCAGGCACAGCCACAGCCAGGGAAAAGCAAAGCAGGGATAGACAGTGCTTGATAAGGGGAACATTCCCAGTGAGGAATCATCAAATTCCAGCAGCTCCTTGAGAATTCTGAGGGTCAGATCCAGATGTCCCCACAAAAGGGAGCAGGGGTGGGGAGGCTGTGTCACCTGGGCTGGAGGGGTGAAGCACTCATGTGGCAGAGCCAGAGAAGGGAAAGCTCCGGGGAGAGCTCAGAGCCCCTTCCAGAGCCTAAAGCAGGTCCAGAAGAGCTGGAGAGGGATTGCGGACAAACATGGAGGGACAGGACACAGGGAATGGGTACAAACTGGGAAAGGGGAGATTTGGGCAGGATATTGGCATGGAATTCTTCCCTGTGAGGGTGGGGAGGCCAGGTGGTTCCCAGCCCAGCCCAGGTAATCCCAGATGATCCCAGGTGATGCCCAGCCCACCCAGGTGATCCCAGGTGATTCCCATAATAAGTGACCCCAGGTGATGCCCAGCCCAGCTGATCTACAGGTGGTTCCCAGCCCAGGTAATCCCAGATGATCCCAGCTGATGCCCAGCACAGCCCAGGTGATCCCAGGTGATCTCAAGTAGTTCCCAGCCCAGGTGATCCCAGGTCATCTCCAGGTGATCCCAGGTGATCCCAAGTGATTCCCAGGTGATCCCAGGTATTTCCAGCCCAGCCCAGGTGATCCTAGATGAACATAGGTGATCCCAGAAGAACCCATGTGATCACCAGTCCAGCTCTGGTGATCCCAGGTATTCCCAGCCCAGGTGATCCCCAGATTGTTCCCAGCTCAGGTAATCCCAGATGATTCCCAGGCGGTTCCCAGCCCCCTGTCCCTCACACTGTCCCTGTTGGTGCCGCAGGAGGAGGGTCTCAACGACGTGCAGGAGATGATCAAGACGGAGAAGCCGCACCCGGAGCGCCGGCTCCGCGGGGTCCTGGAGGAGCTCAGCAGCGGCTGCCTGTGAGTGACACGTGGGAAGGTGACACCGTGCAGGTCCCTGCTCCCAGGGGGATGTCACCTCACCATGCCCTGTCCTGGGGATGATAGGACAATGACATTCCATGGCAATAGCACAATGCTGGATCTTTTGGTGCTTCCATTTGCACCCCAAACACCCCAAAGCAGGGGGAGACACCTCAGTCCTGTGGCCCCCACAGGCCTGAAAGGTGGCTGTGCCCAGGTGGAGCTGGGCTCTTTTTCCAGGCAGCACTGACAGAACCAGAGGACACAGCCTTCAGCTGCACCAAGGGAAATTTAGGCTGAATATCAGGAAAAAGTTCTTTACAGCAAGGGTGATAAATCTCTGGAATGCTCTGCCCAGGGAGGTGGTGGAGTCCCCATCCCAGGGTGTGTTTAACAAAACCTGGGTGTGGCACTGGGTGCCAGGGTTGAGTTGAGGTGTTGGGAATGGGTTGGACTTGATGATCTTGAAGGTCTCTTTCAACCCAGTGATTCTGTGAATTGTGGAAATTCTGGGAACTTTGGGAATTTTTGGAATTCCTGGGGGTCAAGGAGCTGGTGGAGTCCCCATCCCTGGGTGTGTTTAACAAAGTGCCACATCCCTGGATGTGGCACTGGGTGCCAGGGTTGAGTTGAGATGGGTTGAGTTGGGGCTGGGTTGGACTTGATGGTCTTGGTGGTCTCTTCCAACCTGGTCATTCTGTGAATTCTGGAAATTTTGGGAATTCTGGTTGGCACCTGGTGACACCTAATGACACCGACTGTCCCTTCCTGAGTCCACTGTGCATACTAGCCCCTCGTCCACAGTTTTGTTGGAGATTGGTGGGAATTCGAGCATTTTCCAGGAATGTGGTCAGGCTGGTGGGGTGGGAGGGAACCCTGGGAAGGATTCCTATGGGAATTTCGTTTTCCCACAGGCGATTCCTGACCTTGGCTGACAAGGACCAGCATCACTCGTCCCGCACCAGACTGGACCGGGAGAGGCTCAAATCCTGCATGAGGGAGCTGGTGAGTGGGATCCAATCCCTGAAGGGGCTCCAGGAGAGCTGGGAGGGACTGGGGACAAGGGATGGAGGGACAGGACACAGGGAATGGCTCCCACTGCCAGAGGGATACTGGGAATTAAGAATTGTTCCCTGGCAGGCTGGGCAGACCCTGGTATGGGTTGTTCAGGGAAGCTTTGGGAAAAGCAGTGAGAAGATGCTGGAATTAGGTCCATGGACATGTTGGTTTCCAGTCCTAGTGGGTCAAGGGTTTGGGATTTAATTCTGACCCCAAAGGCCACTTGGGTCTCAGCAAAGTCCCAGGTGTCATCTCTGCCTCTGCCGGCTCCACTCCAACATACTCTGGAAAGAAATTTGGGAGCACAGAGCTGGAAAGGGAAATTTGGGAACCCCACAGAGCAGAGCTGCCTCAGGGACAGAGGTTTGGGGTGATTTTGGGAACCCCACAGAGCAGAGCTGCTTCAGGGACAGAGGTTTGGGGTGATTTTGGGAACCCCAAAAAGCACAGGTGCCCCAGGGACAGAGGTTTGGGGGTGATTTTGGGAGCCCTTTAAGAGTGGACCTGCTCCAGGGACAGAGGTTTAGGTGTGATTTTGGGAACCCCAAAAAATAGAGCTGCTCCAGGGACAGAGGTTTGAGGTGACTTTTGTAAACCCCAAAAAGCAGAGCTGCCCTAGAGACGGAGATTTGGGGTGATTTTGGGAACTCCACAGAGCAGAGCTCCCCCAGGGACAGAGGTTTGGGGCAATTTTGGGAACCCTTACAGAGCAGAGCTGCCCCTGGGACAGAGATTTGGAGGTGATTTTGGGAACCACACAAGGCAGAGCTGCTCCAGGGACGGAGGTCTGGGGTTGGTGGCCCTGCTCCTTGCCAAGGATGTTCAGGAGAGCTTGACAAGGAGCTGGTGGCTTCTCCAGCTGGCATGGCCAAGGTCACCAACTCCAGTGGCCAGCTGCATCCTCAAGAGCCAGGAATTGTTAAATTCTCCATGTTCACATGGAAGCTCCAAGAGTCACGTGCTGGGTGATAGTGGGTGAGGCGCCTTCCTGTCACAATACGACACAAAATGAATGACACTTGCACTCTGATATGTCCAAGGCAAAAAAGGGGCAGCTTATTTCTGAACTCCAATGTTTCTAGAATTTCAAAAGTGGCCACGGATTGGAGGATGAAATTGCCACTTCTCCAACCACACTGGTCAAACCAAGAGTCCATCAACTCTCTCCTCCTCCAGAAAGGAATGAAAACCAATCATTATTTACATGAAAAGTGTGTGAGAAAGTCCATTACAAAAATGTAAACATCGAAAGGCTTAGAAGAATTTTAGAAGAACAGGGCAACACTTTCTTTAAGCCACCCCAAAATTCTCCAAGCTCAGGTGACACCTTTATGGGTTTCTGAAGGTGTCCACCCTGATGTGGTGGGATTGAGGTGCCTTTCCTCGGTCCGAGCTGTGTCCTGATGTCCTGGTTGTGTCCACAGGAGAACATGGCCCAGCAGGCCACGACCCTGCGCTCCCAGGTCAAGAAGAACACCATGAAGGACAAACTGAAGCTGGTGCAGAACTTCCTGCAGAAGCTGCGGTTCCTGGCGGACGAGGTGGGTCCCTCACGGGCAGAGGTGGGTCTGGCTGGGGCAGCTCGTGGGGACAGAAAGCTGGAAAGCTGGGATGGATGGATGGATGGATGGATGGATGGATGGATGGATGGATGGATCCATGAATCCATGGATGAATGGATGCATGGATCCATGAATCCATGGATGAATGGATGGATGGATCCATAGAATGGGTAAAGGGATGGATAGATGGATCCATGAATGGAGGGATGGATGGATGGATCCATGGATAGGTCTGTGGGTAGAGGGATGGATGGATGGATGGATGGATGGATGGATGGATGGAGACATCCAAGGGCAGCAGAGGAGCCATTCCAAGTCCATGAGCTGCCCCATGATCCCTGTGCACACCTGGGTGGGAACAAACTGATGTAAAATAAACTTAAGAGTTTCCCAGGCAGGGACAGAGCTGGGTCCTCCTACAGCAGAGCTGGAGATGTTTCAGCCAGTCCCAGCTGTGAAGAAATCCTGTGGATCCCTGGGAAATCAGGAATTGGAAGGTGACACATCAAATCTCAGACTGGTTTAGGTGGGAAGGGATTTGAAATCCCATCCAGGTCCAAGCCCAGCACCTTCCACTGTCCCAGGGTGCTCCAAGCCCCAATTTCCAACCTGGCCTTGGATACTTTCAGGGATCCAGGGGCAGCCACAGCTGCTCTGGGAATTCCAGCCCCTGCCCACCCTGCCAGGGAACAATTCCTAATTCCCAATATCCCATCCAGCCCTGCCCTCAGGCGGTGGGAGCCATTCCCCGCGTCCCGTCCCTCCATCCTTTGTCCCCAGTCCCTCTGCGGCTCTCCTGGAGCCCCTTTAGGCTCCAGAATGTTCCCATGACATTTTTCCAATTTAGGACTGGCTCAGAGGGAGCTCTTGTCCCTCCCTGGAGCTGCAGCTGTTCCACCTCCTGCTTCCAATTCCCATGGTTTCAGCCAGGCCTTCCTTGGTCCTGACCCAGCCCAGATGTGAGGAGTCAGGAGCCCAGTCCAGACTGGGAACCTCTTCTCTACACAGGGATGAGGAATGGCCGCTGCCCTCCCCTCCCCAAGTCCACCGAAGGAGGAGAGAACAAAATCCTTCAGTCTTCTATGGACAAATTTTTATCTTTTTAAACTTATAACCAATATAAACTATCAACATAAATCACACGAGACTCTGTTGAAACCCTAGATATTAAGAATTTTAAACTTTCTGTGCCGAAAGGCGCAAACCCACAAAAGAACAATGCATCTAACTTGAGGCTGTAAAGAGGGATTCCAAAGTAAATTGATAGCACTGGGATTACAGGTGTGTAGTTGGATAGAAGTGTGTGATATCACAAGGTGGAAAATTTAGTTTGGGGTTTTAGAATATAATAATAAATATAAAGCAAAATGGAGGTTTTAAGACAAAAACAAATTGCTCTTTTTTACCTTTTTCTTCCTTCTTCTTCATGAGTTTAAGAGGTATTTTTTAATTAAACAGAAAAGTCCGCATTACAGACTTTGTGTGATCAGTTATTAGATTAAAAGAGAAAATAATTTAGGTATCATTGCTTAATTAAATAGTTTAACCTTAAAAGACCTTATAAAAAAATACGTAACCATTTTATACCTTACTAATAAAAAACTATATAACTCATAGCTGTGAAACTATAACATTAATAAAAAAACAATAAACACCTAAATCTAAACACAAAGTATAATCTCAAATACCTTCAGTCCCAACCACAAGACTCCATTTTCTTCATACCAAAATAACTGGAAAAAGCCAATTATTTTTTCACACAACTCATTTTTATACAGCTTTAAAGACCTCGTGTGTGAGTCCAATTTTTTAGGAGCTTTTTTTGCCAATTACTTTATTGGTTAGTATAAGGTATTTTACTTGTCCATCAAATATCTTTATTTAAATTATTATTCCTAAATTATTATTCCTGAATTATTTACATATTTTCTTCACTGATTCTCATGGGATAGATTTAATGTTTATGCAAGTGCCAGCAGGAATTTGTTGTTGTTGGAATATTGTTGTGCACCCAGGAATTGATTGTTATGTTAATGAACTTTCACACCAGGATAGTTTTCACATGGGAACTTGAAAAGTGCTAGCTTGACAAGGCTAGATCTAACAAAGCAGGCCTGATTTTATGAGGCCTTTCTTTTATAATTTTTCTACCTTACAGCAACAGTAAATCCCAGTTTCTTTCCTGATGGGTTTAGGTCTGAGCAGCATTTTTTGAGTGGGAATATCCAAATAATTCCAGAGTCCCCATTCTGGCCACAGACACATCCACCTTTCATGGAATCTGTTGGATTTGCCTCCAGCAGCTCTCCAGCCCCACCAGTGCCTCAGTGGTCAGAGCTGGGGCACTGATGGGGCTCTCCTGTGGCTTTCCCAGCCCCAGCACACAATTCCCGACGTTTTCATCTGGATGATGAGCAACAACAAGCGCATCGCCTACGCCCGCATCCCTTCCAAGGACATCCTGTACTCCATTGTGGACGAGGAGATGGGCAAGGACTGTGCCAAAGTGAAGACGGTTTTCCTCAAGGTGAGGATCCCACTGGCCCAGGGGAGCTGTGGTCAAGACGAGGGAATGTGGGAGATGAAGATGAGAGAGTTGTATCCATTTTTTTATGGGGTTTGAATACTGGAGAAATGTGATCCATACTCTGCTGGTAGGGGTGGAAATCGGCTCCTAGGGAGGGCGAAACACTGAACTTACCCAGTCCTGGTAAGTAGGAAATGTTTGGAAAGAGGGAGGTGTTTGATCCATCTGGAAATCCAGGGAATTTCTGGCTTAGTACAGTGGTTTGAAAAGATGGGTGTCTGCTAAGGAAGGCAGGAGCCTCCCCTGAAAATAGAGAATGTAAACCCCTCCCTCTGAATTATTGTAATTTTGAAATTAAGGGGGCTCTCAGGCAAAGATATGGGAGTAGGAATAACAATTCTTTATTACGGTAGAAATTAAAACAAAATAAAATAAAATCACAATAAAACAAAACAACACTGATAAAGTCAGAACAGGACCTGGTACCCTGTGGGTCAGGATGGGGGCACAGTCCCATCCCATGGTGGCTCAGCCCTCCTGCAGCACCAGCTGTGATTCTGCTGGAGCAGGGATCCTGCACAAGGGGGGAGTTTTCCTCTGAAGCTCCAGGGCTGCTGGAGATGGGCCTGATCTCCCTCTGGGAATGCAGGGGGGAAGAAAGCTGCTCCTCTGGGGATGCAGTGGGCAAAGGCTGCTGTGGTGTCCCAAAAGATCAGATTCTATCCAGGCAGGAATGTTGAAATCTCAGAATGTATCCAGGTAGGAATGCTTGGCTCCTCCCCCTGGGTGGAGCATCTCCCAATAGGGTGATGGAATTTTATCAGCCATGCAGGAACACTCACTGGCCCATTAACAGAAGATAATGAATAATGAATGGCCCATGAACAGAAGAGACCTCCTGGAGGGAGGACTGGCTGTGGAAGAGATAAAGAAAATTGCCCAATGAACAGAGCATAACTGCCCTACCTCTAACAGATGGAAAATAGAATACACACCCCCAGCCACACCTTGCATTTCCAACCTAAGACACTCTAGAAAATGAAAGCAGAGTGGGAAGAGGGCAATGCCTGAGCCAGAGCAGTGTCACGATCCCAAAGGATCCTTGGGTTTAAGGAACAGCAGCACAATGCCCCAAAGAGGCTGGGTGCTCCAAGAGGGGTCTGTCTGTCCATATTCCCGATATCCATGTGAACTCTTCTGTTCCTTGTGCTCAGCTCCCTGGGAAGAGGGGCTTCGGCCCTGCTGGCTGGACAGTCCAGGCCAAGATGGAGATCTACCTGTGGCTGGGCCTCAACAAGCAGCGCAAGGACTTCCTGAGCGGCCTCCCCTGTGGGTTCGAGGAGAAGAAAACCCCCCGAGGACAAAACCTGCCCTCCTTCCCACCCATCAGCCTCCTGTACACCAGTAAGGATTTCCCATGGGAAGGGGCATGGAGGGGGTGGGAGGGAGCCTGGCTGGACATCTCCTGCTCCAAGAGCTTCCAGGAGCTAAGGGGGACATTGTTCTGGTTGTCCCATGAGAGATAGGGGTGGGAATTGTGTCCCTTCATCCCAAACCTGTTCAGAGTTGTTGTGCACACAACAAGCAGGATGCCAAGGAAATTCCATATCCATTTGGGATTCATGCTTTGAGTTGAGATCCTTCAGCCACGAGCAAATCCAGGCTCCTGAGATGTGCCTTGGATGGGCTCTGTCCTGGTTTAGGACAAATCTAGGAGAGAACCTCCAAAGGGGCTTCCTCTAGAAAGCAGATTTAAGTGGCCCCTCCCCCATTCAGTTCAGGAAAATATTTCCTTGTAAAAAAGTGGAAAAAAAATTATTTAACAGGCAAAGCATTAACCAGCACACAAAGAATGAACAATATCAAACAATAAAACTGCTCCAAAAGAGATGACAGACTCAGAAAGTCCCTCTGTGGGCTGTAGCTCAGCTCACTCAGTCTCTTATCAGTCCCTCTGGCACTGGAAATGCCACAGCCCAGGCCCAGCCCAGTGGGCCACTGGTGGATCTGCTGGTGCTCCTCTGGGTGTTCAGTTCAGAGCAGGTTTAAACAGCTCCAAAGAAAAGAAAAAACCACAGTCCAGGGAACTTCTTTGCCTCAGCTAGCTAAAAACTAACTAAAGGCAAAGGAGAGCTCTGTCCTGCTGTCTGTCCATCTGCAGACAGCACAGTCCAGGAGCAGGAATGTGGAGGAGTGAGTGCAGTGTCTGAAAAAAACTGAACGCTTCTTCTTCCCCACCTTGGCCCTCAGAACCAATCTTAAAGGTGCAAAAATTATTTCTGGGCTAAACAGATGAATGGGGATACTGAATCATTAAAACCAAAAATCACGGACAAAGACTCTCTAATTAGTCAAAGGTAGAAAGTGGTGTGTTTATTACACTGGCAGGCAGCAAGGAAGTTGTCCCCAAAATGCGTGACCACACCCCACAAGGATTTTTGCGTTCTGTTGATTTCCCAAATGAATACATATGCACAACCCCAGCACCTCCCATCCTCCCTTTGTATTAAGATGAGGTTATTAGTCCTTCATGAGTGTACAGTTCTTCTCTTGAATTGGGTCAATGGTCTAGAATTGGGTTGGTGGTCCCAGGGATGAAGTCAGCAAGGTCTTGGTCAGGTCTCTGTGACCCTCTGGCATGATTCAAACTCCCCTGCTTCATGATGGATTGACACAGAATCCATGTGCTGGGCATTATTCTACTGATTTCATTAGAGTAAGAGCCGAAATGAGGGATGTGGGACTCCAGGTGGCTGTTCAAAATGGAGTCTATTACATCTAAGATGTTACAGCAGTCCAGGGTTGTGGGTGGCAAAGCCTGTGCCCACAGCTGTCAGCTCCAGCTGCAGGCTGGCCTGGAGTCCTGCATCCCTCATTCAGGCTCTTACTAATGGTACCCCACCATGGGTGCCACGGTAAAAGCTCAAATGAGAGATGCAGGACTCCAGGCAGCTCTTCAAAATGCAGTTTATTACATCCAAGGCATTACAGCAGGCCAGGGTCATGGGTGACAGAGTCTGCGCCCACAGCTGTCAGCTCCAGCTGCAGGCAGGCCTGCCGACCCACATCCCTCATTCAGGCTCTTACTAATGGTGCCTCACGTTGGGCGCCACAGTAAGAGCCAGAATGAGGGACGCAGGACTCCAGGCAGCTCTTCAAAATGGAATTTATTGTATCCAAGATGTTACAGCAGTCCAGGTTGTGGGTGTCAGAGTCTGTGCATGCAGCTGTCAGCTCCAGCTGCAGGCGGTCCTGCAGAAACACATCCCTCATTCAGGCTCTTACTAATGGTGCCCTACGTTGGGCGCCATTGTAAAAGCTTAAATGAGGGATGAGGGATTCCAGACAGCTCTTCAAAATGCAGTTTATTACATCCAGGAGCTACAGCAGTCCAAGGTTGTGGGCAACAGAGCCTGTGCCTACAGCTGTCAACTCCGGACAAGCCTGAAGACTCTTTAATTTTGGCTACAAATGCATTATATACTATTCTTTGCTGAGCATCTTAATAGAGCAGAACCAATCTATGCCTTAACTTTTACCTATAGCCTATAATAACTACTATAATTACCATATTCATGTTACTGTTCTCCAATCACTAAAAGTTAGTACATTACAGTTTAAGCTAGAAGTTGTTTTTCAGTTTTCTTGCAGTGGAAAATTCTGAGACCTGTTTTCTACTTCCCACATTGGCAGGCTTGTTTGCCTGTGCTCTCTTTCTGCTTGGTAAAAACATCTTGTTTCAGGTGGGTTTATCCTTTGCTCTAAGTCATAAAACCCCTTTCTAACACACCCTTTGCCTCCTTGGTTATCCAGTAGGACTGGCTCAGCAATTCTTTTCTTCTGTATCAAAACTTGCTTCCATCTCTATTACTTCTTCAGGTTCTATATTCAAAAATCTTTCTGCCAAGCATACATATGTGTGAGACTTTCTCATCAAACTTTCGTCCTTCGCAACGTAGTATGTTCCTATAATGGTTCACTTGCTCCACTTTGTTATACAAATGAGCTCATAATATAACAATTAATTTTAGCTTAAGCATCTAATAATCATTAACCTATTGTTGGTGCATCTAACTTCAATATGAACTAGTTCTAACCTTCAGCTAAAATCTTAACCCTTTAAAGTTATGATTCAACACGAGCATCTATATATGGACAGGTTCCCAGAGGCCATCCCAAGCCATCCCATCTCATCCCATTCCCTCTCTCTTCCAGAGAAACAGGTGTTCCAGCTGCGAGCCCACATGTACCAAGCCAGGAGTCTGTTTGCAGCCGACAGCAGCGGCCTCTCGGATCCCTTTGCTCGGGTCTTCTTCATCTCCCACAGCCAGTGCACAGAGGTGAATATTCCTGGGATTCCTGGGGGTGTGGGGATGGCTGGCTCTGCAAGTTCCTGTGGCACAGATCCCATCAATGAGGATCAGGCTGATCCTGGGCTCCTGCAGTGGGAGAGCAGCTCTGGAACTGGGAATTGACTGTTTCCAGGAGATCTGTCCTCAGAAGCCCCTTCCCAATTTTTGTCCCACATCCTGGTGGCTGCAATTCCCCATGATTCTTCATGATTCCTTCTGATTCCCAGTGATTTCCTGCTGATTTAGGCAGAACTGGGTCATATTAAAGTGATTTTTCAGTCTTCCCTTCCCAATCCAAGGGTTGCCAAGCTTTAGGAAGCCTGGACGCTGGGCATGACCCAGCTCTGCTCATCTGCTATTGGATTGTCTTCCTCAGAAGAATCCCTGGGTGATTCCCAATGCCTCCCCGATCCAAAAAACACACAGCAACCCCACCTGCCACCCTTTCCCAGGACCCTGGTCCGTTCCTGGAGCAGTAGGAATCTCTCCCATTTCCTCAGGTTCTCAATGAGACCCTGTGCCCAACCTGGGACCAGCTCCTGGTGTTCGACAATGTGGAGCTGTACGGGGAAGCTCACGAGATGCGGGATGACCCTCCCATCATCGTCATCGAGATCTATGATCAGGACACTGTGGTGAGAAAATCCCAGGGAATTGTGCGTGGTTTGGATGCCAGGATCTCTCCAGATTTGGAGGCAGAGGATTTGGGGAGTTTTTCCCTGATCCATGGAGAATGCTCCTTCCAAATCTCCCACGTAGCCTCTACTGCTCATGAATCTCAGACGAATCTTGGTTTTGGAGAGGGAAGAAAGAGGCTGTAGCCAAGGAGGGTTTCCATTTGGGAAAAGTGCTCATCCCTGGTCTCCTTGCTGTCCCAATCTTCAGCTGTCCCAAACCTCCTTCAAGGAGTCAGGACTGAAAGTTTTCCCTGAGCTTTGGCATCCCAAGGCCAGAGTATTGATCCCATTCCTGTTTCGACCACAATGGAGAGAATTTCAGGGTTAATTTGGAATTTCTGTGCTGGATCCCCAATCCCAACTGCCCTGGAGGAGAACCACAGGGCCAATTTTGGAATTTTCATGCTGGATCCCCAAACCCAAGTGCTCCTGCAGAGATTCACAGGGCTGATTTTGGAATTCCCATGTTGGATTCCCAACCCCAAGTGCTTTTGGGGAGAACCATGGGGCTCAATTTGGAATTCCCATGTTGGATCCCCAACTTCAAGTGCTCCTGAGGAGAACCACAGAGCTAATCTTGGCATTCTCATGCTGGATTCCCAATCTTAAGGGCTCCTGGGCAGAACCATGGGACTAATCTTCGAATTCCCATGCTGGAACCCCAACACCAAGTGCTATTGCGGAGAACCACAGGGCTAAATTTGGAATTTCCATGTTGGATCTCCAACCCCAAGTGCTCCTGGAGAGAACCATGGGGCTAATTTTGGAATTCTCATGTTGGATTCTGAACCTCAAATTCTCCTGGAGAGAACCACAGGGCTAAATTTAGAATTCCCATGTTGGAACCCCAACCCCAATGGTTCTTTCCCTAGGGAAAAGCTGACTTCATGGGCCGGACGTTTGCCAAGCCAGTGGTGAAGATGTCAGATGAGGAGTACTGCCCGCCACGCTTCCCACCGCAGCTGGAATATTACCAGATCTACCGCGGCAACGCCACAGCTGGGGACCTGCTGGCTGCCTTTGAGCTGCTCCAGGTGCCAGTGGGACAAAGGAATGGGAAAGAATGGATGCAGGGTTGGAAGGGAGAGGGGATTAATTTATGGAAATTGGGTGACTGGGAATAACAGGGAATTACTGCCCCTTCATCTTGTTGTTGGTCTGCTGGACCCTTGTAGTTTCCCTTGGATGATCAACCACTTGTTGCTCATCAAAGACACCTGGAAAGGTCCAAGGCCAGGTGGGATGGGGCTTGGAGCCGCCTGGAAAGGAGGCATGGACTTTAAAGACCATTGAATTCCAACCGCATGGCAGGGGGCAGTACCAGAGTTAAATACTTCCACTTTTGTGCCTCGTGTCCCATCCACTGGAATGCTTTCCCACCTCCTTTTCTGCCAGGGCAGGTGCTCATCCAAGCCCTTTCCTTCTAGTTTTCCTTGGACTGAGGGAATAGCTCACCTGTGATATTTGATCTTCACTGACCCCTGAGCTGGAAACGGGACCTTAAACCTGCTCCTGGGTTGAGCTCTGGGACCACATCTCCATTTCCTCACACACAGCCCAGCAGGTGCAATTCCAGGATGGAACAGCTCTGGGATGGGCTGCATTGGTGGGCTGAGAAGTTTGGATTGCTCTGGAGACTGTTCTGTGTGGAACTCCCAGCACCTTCTGCTCCTGTGTTTTCCTCTTCCCAAAGCACCTGCCCTGGGCTCTCAGCCCTCTGAGACACCCCAGATCCAACAACTGGGACCAGATGATCCAGCTGAGACACGGCCCAACTCCCTCTGGAATCGGTGGCAGGGTTTGGAATGAGCTGATATTTGAGGTCCCTTCCAACCCAAACCAATCTGTGATTCCACAATTCTGTGAGAAGGACCAAAAACTGCTTCCCAGCAGCTCAGAGGAGCAGATCCTAACCCGTGATCCATCTCTTCCAGATCGGCCCTGGGGGTAAATCGGACCTGCCCCCCATCGACGGCCCCACGGACATGGACCGAGGTCCCATCCTGCCGGTGCCTCTGGGAATTCGGCCGGTGCTGAGCAGATACAGAGTGGAGGTAACCAATGTCCATGTGGAGCATTGCGGGGCTGGAGAATATCTCCAAGGGTGTTGGAAGGGCAGGAGGGGGCTGGGAGTCAAGAATCTGTCTGTCATGGCTGTTCTGGGAATCAGGCTGCAGCATCCCTAAAAAAAACCAGGGAATCCAGAGAATTGGATCATTCCTTGCTGTCAAACCTGGGCTGGACAGCGAGTGAGCAGCACCTGGGCTGAGATGCAGCTCAGGGAATGTTAGAGATGGACATGGAGCTGGATCATCTGCTCCCAAAGCAATCCCGTAGCTCAGGTGTTCTCTATCCCATCAACCTCAGGAAACGAGGATGGGAAGACCCTCATGTATCCATGGATATCTAAAGGAGAATTTTGTATCCAAAATAGCGTGGGCACAATGCAGGGCAGTGCCCGTCCCCTGTGCTGGCACTGCTGGAGCACCTCCAGTGCTGGGGGCAGCTCTGGGCCCCTCCTGACAGGAGAGACCTGGAGGGGCTGGAGCGTGTCCAGGGAAGGGAACGGAGCTGGGAAGGGAATGGAGCCCCAGGAGAGGCTGAGGGAGCTGGGAAGGGAATGGAGCCCCAGGAGAGGCTGAGGGAGCTGGGAAGGGGCTCAGCCTGGAGAAAAGGAGGCTCAGGGGGGATCTTGTGGCTCTGCACAAGTCCCTGACAGGAGGGGACAGCCAGGGAACAGGGACAGGACAAGGGAAATGGCCCAGGCTGGGCCAGGGCAGGCTCAGGGTGGACATCAGGAGGAATTTCTGCATGGAAAGGGTGCTCAGGCCTTGGCAGGGGCTGCCCAGGGAAGTTTGGAGTGCCCATCACTGCAGGTGTCCAGGGAAGGCCTGGATGTGGCACTGAGTGCTCTGGGCTGGAGACAAGGTGGGAACTGGTCGCAGGGGGGACTCGATGGTCCTGGAGGGCTTTTCCAACTGATTCCATGGTTCTGTGATTTGTCCCTTGGAGGTCCTGGTGGACATCCGTGGCCAAGGCAATGCCCACAGACATGTTCAGGGCACATCTCAGCCCTGGGTGAAAGTGTCTCTGCTCAGGTGAGGTGCCACTGACCAGGTCTCCAAATAGATTTTGGCCCTGGTTTTCCACACGTTTGCATCACAATAAATGTTCCACACAATTTTAATACAGCCATGGGGAATAAGGAGGTAGGGAAAATCTCAGTTTTGGGGAATTTTGGATGATGGCCGTCTGTTTATCCCAGATAGGGATAGGGAAGTTTCCTCCATGACACTGATCCCAGAGGGACAAAGTGATGGCAGTGCTGGATCCAGAGCCACCACAGATGGACAGAGCTGGATTCCCAGGGGCAGGAAAAGGCCAGAAAAGGAGAAAAGCAGGAAAATGCTGAGGGCAGCAGGCTGGAGACCTTGGGCTGCAGGGTGTCAGGAGGAGACACCTCAGGGATCCACCACTGACATAGGCAGTGGGATCCCTTTCCATGGAGAACCAGCTCCCAGGGATCATCCCTGTCATATTCACATGCTCCCTCCTCCTCCTCCTGCCCTAGATCTTGTTCTGGGGGCTCAGGGACCTGAAGAGAGTGAACCTGGCCCAGGTGGACAGACCCCGTGTGGACATTGAGTGTGCCGGGAAGGGCGTCCAGTCTGCCCTGATCCAGAACTACAAGAAAAACCCCAACTTTAGCACTTTGGTCAAGTGGTTCGAGGTGGTGAGTGTGGCCCTTCCCTCTGATCCCTCAGCTCTGGAACCCGTAATTCCTGGAGCCCACCATGGCTACAAGCCCTTTGCCCTAGTTCTCCCAAAACAATGGAGCACATGGACAACATTCCTTCACCTGAGAGCTCCCAAGACACATATTTCTGGAGCAGCTCAGGGCTTCTTCCTTGAGCATGATCCCAGTTCCGGTCCCTACTGCCCTTCCCAGCATGATCCCATTCCTAATCCTTACTGCCCAGCAAGATTCCATTTCTAATCCCTACTCCCCAGTATGATCCCATTCCTAATCCCTACTGTTTTTCCCAGCATGATCCCATTCCTAATCCCTACTGCCCTTCCCAGCAGGATCCCATTCCTGATTCCTATTGCCCTTCCCAGTATGATCCCATTCCCAATCCCCACTTTCCTTCTGAGCATGACCCCATTCCTAATCTCTACTGTTTTTCCCAGTCTGATCCCATTCCTAATCCCTACTCCCTAGTATGATCCCATTCCTAATCTCTACTGTTTTTCCCAGTATGATCCCATTCCTGATCCCAACCATCCTTCCCACTCTGATCTCATTCCTAATCCCTACTGCCTTTTCCAGCAGGATTCCATTCCTAAGCCCTTCTCCCCAGCATGATCCCATTCCTAATCCATACTCCCCAGTATGATCCCATTCCTAACCCCTACTGCCCTTCCCAGCACGATCCCATTTCTAATCCCTACTCCCCAGTATGGTCCCATTCCTTATCCCTTCCATCTTTCTCAGTCTGATCCCATTCCTAATCCCTATTGCTTTTCCCATCATGATCCCATTCCTAATCCCTACTCCCCAGCATGATCCCACTCCTAACCCCTACCACCCTTCCCAGCACAATCCCATTTCCAATCCCCCCTGCCCTTCCCAACCCCCAAACCATCCACTCCCATTCCCTGATGACCACCCCTGCCCTGCTCCCCAGGACCTCCCTGAGAACGAGCTGCTGCACCCGCCCCTGAACATCCGCGTGGTGGACTGCCGCGCCTTCGGGCGCTACACCCTGGTGGGCTCCCACACCGTCAGCTCCCTCCGCAAGTTCATCTACCGCCCGCCCGACAAGAAAGCCCAGCACTGGAACATGGCAGGTACCAGGATTGGGACACAGGGAGCTGGTCTGGGATGTCCACGGGGAGAAGTGGGAGGTGGGATGGGCTGTGAGACCGTGAGATGGTTGGCTAACCTGCAGAAATTCTGGTTTGGGGTCCAAAACTCCAAGAAAAACCACAACTTCAGCACTTCGGTGGTTCCAAGTGGTGTGCGGACATCCCTCAAAATTTTTGTGGTATCAGTGAAAAGCAAATTGGATTTTTAGTCTTTTGATCTTCAAATTATTGTTTATTTTTCTCTAATTTAAAATTCTATACACTATTTACATATACATCATCTATCTATAAATCTTCTTATATGTATATATCTATTTAGCTATACACTATATATTTATATACACTATTTACATCTTAGTATATTAAAAAAGACACTAAAAGTTACAAAACACACAAATTTAGTGTCTTTTAAAATTATTATATTTAACTAATTCTTAAAATGTACTTTATTTCTACTTTTCAACTGATAACTAATTATTCGTTTACCTACACAACCTCTACATTGTGATTCCTTCTAATCAATCACTTTGTACTCCTAACATTATAAAAAATAGAATAAATTAAAAACAAAAAAGAGATCATACAACACCCAAAATCCTTAATCTTGTCTCCTACCCACCTCCATACTAAAAACCCAAAACTAAGTTTTTCGCCATATAATAATAAATTTTACATGCCTTAAAATTCTGACTATCCATTTTACACACTCATAAATTCCAATTCATCCCAAAGTCTTCAAAGCTTTCTCCATAAACAAAGATTAAAACCAGTATTCTCCTAAAAATCAAAACTTCTCAAAACAAACAAAAAATATTCCCTATACCCTAAACTCAAACAAGGTTCAACTCCTACATCTCTGCAGCTTCAGGGCTCAAGTCCTCAGATGTTCCTCAGGACTGGGACAGGATTTGGCCACACTCAGTCCTCGTGGTAGCTGTAAAGATCAGAGGTCCAGGCCCCTCCTGACCCCTACCACCCCAATCCATCAGCACCTGCAGGAAAACCCATCCCAGACCCACTTCCCACCCATCTCAGCAGCCGAGGGCTTGGGAGCCTTGGGAATTAGTCCTCTCCTCCCAGTTTTGGGGCTGGAGGCTGTGCAAGATTCCCAAAGACAAGTCTGGTCCCTCTGCCCTTCCCAGTATGATCCCATTGCTAATCCCTACTCTCCAGCATGATCCCATTCCTAATCCCTACTTTCCTTCCCAGTATGATCCCATTCCTAATTCCTACTCTCCAGCACGATCCCATTCCTAATCCTTACTCCTCTTCCCAATATGATCCCATTCCTAATCCTGACTGTTTTTCCCAGCATGATCTCATTCCTAATCCCTACCAGTCTTCCCAGCATGATCCATTTGTAATCCCCACTGGTCTTCCCAGCATGATCCCATTCCTAATCCCTAATTTCCCTCTCAGCCTTCTCAGTCTGATGCTATTCCTAATCCCTACTGTCCTTCCCAGCATGATCCCATTCCTAATCCTTGCTGCCCGGTATGATCCCATCCCTAATCCCTACAGCCCTTCCCAGCATGATCCCATTCCCAGTCCCTAAACCTGGACTAGGGGTTGTGTCCCAGCCACCGGAGGCTTTCAGGACAATCTTCTCTGCCTCTTCTTCTTTGGATATTTCCTGCTTTTCTTCCACCTTCCTTTGCTCTTTGGTGGGATTTTGGTCCTGCTGAAGGCTCTGTGCTCATTTCCACTGCTCCAAACAAGGTGGTCCCACTGTGCTCTGGCCTAAATCCTGTAGGATCTCACCTGAGCTCATCTTCTGGCCTGAATCTGTAGGATCTCACTTGTAATCTCAGTTTCTGACCTTAATCCTGTAGGATTTCAACTTAACTCTCAGTTTCTGGCCTGAATCCTATAGGATTTCACTTGAAATCTCACTTTTTGGCCTGAATCCTATAGGATCTCAACTAAACTCTTGGTTCCCAGCCTGAATCCTGTAGGACCTCATTCAAAATCTCAGTTCCCAGACTGAATCCTGTAGGATCTCACCTGAACTCAATTTCTGGCCTGAATCCTGTAAGATCTTGCCTAAATTCTCACTTTCTGGCCTGAACTCTGAAGGATATCACCTGAACTGTCAGTATCTCTTCTCTACTGTCCCTCTCCCTTGCTCTTTCTCCTTTTCTGTCCTCTGTCCAGCCAAACACCTCAACGGCTACCTGGCCATGACCAGCAGGGCCCATCGCTCTCGCCCCACAGGGGAGATCGTGGTCAACATGGAACCTGAGGTCCCCATCAAGAAGATGGACACGATGGTGAAGCTGGAAGCTGTGAGTATCCATGTGGCAGCCCCTCCTTCCTCGTTGAATTGCTGATTTCTGAGTGATTTCAGCCAGAATTCGGAAGGCAGTGTGTCCCAGGGGTGTCACACTCAATGCGCCCATTTTTGTGTCCAGAATGGGAATTTCAGCTTCTTCTCCCACCCTTCTGCTCCAGAGCTTCCTCCACAAAAACAGATTCCTTCCAAGGTGCTCCATGGGCTGGAGCCCCTCTGCTCTGGAGCCAGGCTGGGAGAGCTGGGGGTGCTCACCTGGAGAGGAGAAGGATCCAAGGAGAGCTCAGAGGCCCTGGCAGGGAATGGAGGGGCTCCAGGAGAGCTGCAGAGGGACTGGGGACAAGGCATGGAGGGATAGGATCCAGGGAATGGCTCCCAGTGCCAGAGGGCAGGGCTGGATGGGATCTTGGGAACTGGGAATTGTTCCACGGCAGGGTGGAGAGGGGCTGGGATGGAATTCCCAGAGCAGCTGTGGCTGCCCCTGTATCCCTGGAAATGTCCAAAGCCAGGTTGGATGGGGCTGGGAGCAGCCTGGGACAGTGGGAGGTGTCCCTGCCCATGGCAGGGGGTGGGATAAGATGAGCTTTAAGGTCCCTACCCACCCAAACCACTCTGGGAATGATGATTTGCACTCAGCTGAGGGTGCGTCCTTAACCTGCTCTCCCTCTCTCTGTTCCTTTCCATCCTGGAATGGCAGAATTCCGATGCAGTGGTGAAGGTGGATGTGGTAAGTGATGGATCTTCTCTGCATCCCTGCTCCCAACTCCCTGCTCCCTCTCTAGCCCTTCCATGCCACTTCTGATGGACCAGGCACCCTCCCCAGCCCGAGCCAGGCAGGGACATCACCCCTCTGTCCCACGACAGACACAGCTCACTGTCCCCTCAAGGGATGTGGCAGGGGCCTCATCCCTGCAGTTTGGGGAGCTCTTTCGGGCCAGGATTTCTCATCCCAGCTGTCCCAGTATAGGGGGAGGGTGCTGGATATTCCCACCACAACTGGGTACCAGCTGGGAAAGGTTTCCTTTCCTCACCAAGGAGACCCAAGGTGCTTTGCTGGGCACAGTTTGACTCTTGCCATGGAAGATTCCAGAGATGTAGCCTGGGAAATTCTCAGTTAAATAGGATGATGGAAATGTGGAGGTGATGTGGGACTGCCCCATCTCTGGAAGCGTCCAAGGCCAGGTTAGATGGGGCTTGGAATGACCTGGAATGGTGGAAGATGTCAGGATTGGCATTGGATGAGCTTTAAGGGCCCTTCCCATCCAAACTCTTCCATGCTTCTGGCACTTTCTCCAAAACCTTGGTCACCCTTAGGTGTTCTGTGTCTGTAAAAGAGAGAAAGTTCATGAGGCTCCCAAGCCTGGGAGGGTTCTCCCTCCTCAGGTTCTTAAATTTTGTACTTCCAGAAACGATTCCCTCTCACCTGATCCCTCCCCTTCCCTGTCTGTGCTTCCCTTGTCCCTTCAGACCGAGGAAGAGAAGGAGAAAAAGAAGAAGAAGAAGAAAGGAGGAGGAGGAGGAGGAGGTGGGGAGGAAGTGGAAGAAGAGGAGCCGGACGAGAGCATGTTGGACTGGTGGTCCAAATACTTTGCTTCCATTGAGACGATGAAGGAGGTTGGTGAGGAGCGGCAGGGAGGGGCATCCAGGGGAGATGGTTCCCTTCCTGAGAGGTCTCCCCTAATTCCAGCTCCTTCCAAAGCCTTGGGGCTGTGCTTCATAAAGTGTGGAAACCCTCTACCCTGCCTTGAGGATCCCCCTGATGGAGAGAGCCCCAAGAAGTTCTGTGCCAAGATTGAGAGACAAACAGGACTTTTTGTTTTTTCAGTCTTCAGACTGTTGTTTATTTTTCTCTTATCAAAAGTTCAGCACGCCCATCTACATCTCAGACTTAGCATACAAAGAGAAAGCATCGAAAGTCACAAGGCACACAGGTTCAAGGTCTTCTAAAGCTATTTTGTCCAATTAACTCTTAGAACGTATTTCATTTCTACCTTTCTACCTATAATTAATTATTTGTCTGTTGATGCAACATCTGCATTGTTGTTCTTTCTAACCAATCACCCTGTGCCACCAACACTGCAGAAAATGGAGTAGATGAAGGACAAGAAGGAGATCAGACAACACTCAAAATCCTCCATCTTGTCTCCTATCCACCTCCATACTAAAAACCCAAAACTCTTACATTTTTCACCCCGTGATAAACTTCACTATTATCTATTTCACACACTCGTAGATTCCAATCCATCCCAAAGTCCTGGAAGCTTTTTCCATGGATGCAGTTTAAAAGCAGTGCTCTCCTTGGGGTCAGGACTTCTCAGGACAGGCAGAAAAACATTCCCTTGCCCTGGGTTCCAGCAATTATGGAATCCCAAAATTGTTCAGGCTGGAAAAGCCCTTGGAGACCATCGAGTCCAACCATTCCCAGGCACTACCAAGGCCACCACTCTGTCCCCAAGTGCCACATCCACATGGCTTCAAATCCCCATAGGGATGGGAACTCCACCACTACCCCGGGCAGCTTTTCCAGGAAAAGATTGTTCCTAATATCCAGTGGTTTCCTTTCTCCCCCAGCAACTCCGGCAGCAGGAAGCGGCAGCGGCAGAAGCAGAGGAGAAGGAGGAGATGGAGATTGGAGAAGGTAAGGCTGGGAGAGAGAGAGGGAACATGGCAGGGAAAGGTGGGACCAGAATTCCTCTCGGTGCTTGGACATCCCTCTGAGAATCTGCCTCAGCTCTCCAGACAAACCAGACACTTCCAGTGTGTTGTGTTTTCCCAAAAAGGGTCGATTTTTGTGGGTGTTTGCAGGGCTTTTCCCTTCATGTTGAACTCTTTGTCTGCTGTCCTAATGCAGGCATTGAAGACAAATACACAATTTAGGGCAAGTTCTCTCACCTAATTTATCAATTTATATAATTTTATACATTATATATTATATTTTACTTATAATCATTTTATACATTATATATTATATTTTACTTATTTACTATATCATATAAAATCACAGGAACATGGCAGGGAAAGGTGGGATCAGGATTCCTCTTGGTGCTTGGACATCCCTCTGGGAATCTGCCTCAGCTCTCCAGACAAACCAGACACTCCCAGTATGTTGTGTTTTCCCAAAAAGGGCCAATTTTTGTGGGTTTTTGCAGGGTTTTCCCCTCCATGTTGAACTCTTTGTCTGCTGTCCTAATGTGGGCAGTGAATACAAATTCAAAATTTAGGGCAAGTACTCTCACCTAACTTATCAATTTATATAATTTTATACATTATATATTATTTTTCACTTATTATCATTTTATAAAATTATGAGATGAATGACACCATAAATGTGTTTTCCTCTGAAGGAATTCAGGTCTATAGGTCAGGTGGGATTCTGACCTTGCCTAAATTTCGGGGATACTCATTTTGTCCCAAAAATTTTGCCAGCCAAGAATCCTGGGAGTGGCTGGTCAAGGATGACTTTGTCCATCTGGCCATGCCACTAGCAGGGCTGGGAAGGGTATCCCTGAGGAATTCCACCCTTGTTCTCCATGTGCTCCATGTCCCCACGACAGGGGGTTGTTGTTGTGCCCAGGTGATGCAAAACCCTTCAGCTGAGTAAAATTCTGAGCCTGGTTTCTTTTGGAAGATCAATCTTTGTATCCCGGAAAAAATGAGGTCTTGTCTGGCTGAGCTTTGAGACAACTCTGAGCAGGTTCTTCTGGGCTTGCACTGGTGTCCTCTGGGGTTTTATTTCTTTTTAGAATGATCCATTTCCCTTGGCTCTCCCACTCCTTCCCCCTTTCCTCATCCATGTTTTTTCATCTGTCTGTCTGTCCCCATCACTGGATAATGTCCAGCCCTCATGAAAGCTGGCAGAGACACCAAGGGACAGGGATTGCAGAGAGGGGAAGGAGTTTCCTTCGAATCCACCTTTTTCAGCAGCCTCTTCTCAGCTTTCTGTGGCTGGTGGTTGCTCCAAACGAGACTCTAGTGAACGGTGTCTGTAGCTGGTCCTGGACAATCCAAGGGCAGCAGCATCAAGCACTGTCCCCTCTGTATTCCCAGGCTGGGGTTCCACACCTCAGGCTCCATAAAGCAGGAGAAGCCTCTGGTAGGAGGAAGAAAATTCCCAAGATTCACAGAATCACTGGGTTGGAAGAGACCTTAAAGATCATTGAGTCCAACCCAGCCCCAACACCTCAATTCAACCCTGGCACCCAGTGCCACATCCAGGCTTCTGCTAAACACATCCAGGGATAGTGACTCCACCACCTCCCTGGTCACCAGGAATTCCCAAAATTCCCAGAATTTGCAGAATCACTGGGTTGGAAGAAACCTTCAAGACCGTCAAGTCCAACCCATCCCCAATGCCTCAACTCAACCCTGGCACTCAGTGCCACATCCAGGCTTTGTTAAACACACCCAGGGATGGTGAATCTACCACCTCCCCGGGCAGAACATTCCAGAATTTTTATCATCCTTTCTGTAAATAACTTTTTCCTGATATTCAACCTAAATTTCCCTTGGTGCGGCTCAAGGCTGTGTCCTCTGGTTCTGTCAGTGCTGCTGGAGAAAGAGCCCAGCCCCACCCGAGCACAGCCACCTTTCAGGGGGATGTAGAGAGTGATGAGGGCACCCCTGAGTCTCCTCTTCTCCAGGCTGAACACCCCCAGCTCCCTCAGTGGTTCCTCACAGGGTTTGTGTTCCCAGTCCCTCTCCAGCCTCGTTGCCTCCTCTGGACACTCCCCAGGTTCTCAACATCCTTCCCAACCTGAGGGGCCAGAACTGGACACAGCACTCAAGGTGTGACTTCACCAGTGCGAGGTACAGGGGCAGAATGACCTCCCTGCTCCTGCTGACCACACCATTCCTGCTGTGGGCAGGACCAGGTTTTGTCACTGTTGTCAGAGGGCTCTGCCTATGTTTTGTAGTCCTCCAAGTGATTCCTGCTCAGGTCAGCCCCGAAATTCCCTGCACAGAGAACTCCAGGCTGCTGGAGATGGTGCAATCCAGAGCCAAGGATAGACAGGGCAGGGTTGGGATGGAATTTGCAGACAGCGGCAGCTGGCAGCTTTCATGCTTCTCTTCTTTGAAGGACCTTATCCAAGCCCTACCACATCTCCCCCGCCTCTCCTCACCCTCATTTCCATTCCTTCCCTCCTCCCTCCCTCCTTTCCATCTCCTCCCTCTGCGCTGTTCCCCCCTGGACTCAGAGTGAAGCCAAACTTGGTGACTCTCCCATGAAAGGCTCCAAGGCCCAGGTGAAGAACAAGGACAAGGATAAGGACAAGGACAAAGACAAGTCCAAGGCACCCAAAGATGACAAGAAAAAGAAGCAGCAGCCTGTCCCGGAGCTCCCCGAGAAGAAGAACAAGCAGAAGATCGATGAACTCAAGGTACTGGGGGTGCTTCTGAGGAAGTACCTAATTGTGGTGATGATGTGCTTTGGGACATCTCTCCTAGGGATTTATCTTGGCACACTTCCAGGGACGGGCACTCCAAATTTCCCTGGGCAGCCCCTGCCAAGGCCTGGCCACCCTTTCCATGAGGAAATTATTCCCAATATCACATCTGAACCTCCCTGGTACAGCTTGAAACCATTTCCTCTTGTCCCGCCCCTCATTCCTTCTGAGCTCATTGAGTACTCCCCACATCTTGTGCTCACCTTTGTTTTTATCCCAAATTCCCTCCTTTAAACTTTTTTTTCATCTCAGGTCTTCAACAAAGAGCTGGAATCAGAGTTTGACAACTTTGAGGATTGGCTGCACACCTTCAACCTGCTCCGGGGGAAGATTGGGGACAACGACGACAACGCCACGGAGGAGGAGCGGATAGTGGGGAGGTTCAAGGTGGGTGGTTAGGAATCCTGGCCAGGGTTTTGGGGAGGTTGTTTTGGGGTTTGTCTCCCTGGAGGCCCTGGACAGCAAGATTCAGTTGGATCATTCCCTCCCTCACACCAGGGCTCCATGTGCGTCTACAAAGTACCGCTCCCTGATGACATCAGCAAGGAGGCAGGATATGACCCCACCTTCGGGATGTTCCAGGGGATCCCCAGCAATGACCCCATCAACGTGCTGGTCCGAGTCTACATCGTGAGGGTGAGTGGGAATTTGGGGTGTGGCAGGCGGGATCTGGCACTCCCTTCCACCTGGGGCTGGTGGGGATTCAGCTCCAGCACTCCAGGACTGATGCCTTGAGAAGGCTGAGCTAGAACAGAGACTGGACAGAGCTAAAGAATAAAGCAGGGATTTATTAAAAGCCTTCAGTGGATCCACCTTGGGCAGCACAAGAGCCCAGCCAGGGCTACACCCAAAATGAACCCAAAATGGTCACAAAATGCACAACCCCTCAGAGGGTCTCTCACTGTGATCAGTTCTGCTCCATTTGCATATTGGAGTTCATTGTCCAATTCCAGCATTAGCCCATGCAGTCCCATCCTTCTTGTTTTTCTCTCTTTAGCCCACTTTGTTTGTGCTCTTGGGCCTGAGATTTTGGATCATTTGTCCTTGGTCCTCAGCTAGAGAAGGAATTGTTTTGTCTCCCTGCTCTGTGCACAGAGCTCACCATCCCCTAACACAAAGCCCAGATCCCACACTAAAGCAGCACAGAATCTGAAAAATACAAAAGCCAAACTTGAGGCATCACCAGCGCTTTAGGACCCAGGATGCTGCTTGAGGACTGAAGCAGCTCCTTGGTTATGGAATGGTTTGGGTGGGAAGGGACCTAAAAGTCCATCCCACTCCACCCCCTGCTATGGGCAGGGACACCTTCCACTATCCCAAGCTGTTCAGGGACATCCCAGGATATCCAGACTCAAGGCTGGCTCCAGGGCTGTGTGCTCCCAGCACTGGGAACAGGACACATCCAAGCTCCTGCCAGATCCAGAGACGTGTCTCCAGCAGGTGGGATGGATCAGCGTGTTCTGGTGTTCAATTCCCATGGATAGTTTGGATCAGCCTGTACTGTGAGGTGTTAGTTCATTCCACAGCCACGCCACCACCCTGGTGATGGTTCAGGATGGGAAAGAATGGGAGAAAAAGGGTGGAATGGGATCTGGTAGGATTGAGGAGATCCCTGTGAAGGACATAGCACCTCCTGGAACATCCATTCCATGATGGTTGACGTGATCCAGCCAATGTACATGTTTTCCTCTATATGTGGAATGTGCTCTGGGAAAAATAATTTTCTGACTCCTGAACTGGTCATCCCTCTGTCCCCAAGTGTGAGATTCTGCAGCCGGGCACTTGGGAGGGATTTCCATCCTGCTGGAAGCACCTTGGCTGCCCTTTGCCACCACCTTGTCCCAGTGTGTTACAAACAGAACCTACTTTTGGCTCCATTTCCCACCAGCCTGGTTCTCTGGGATATGGAGTCTCCCATCCATCACCAGGCTGGAATAGCAGACACAGCTTGGTCAACCCCAAAACCAGCCAGGACTGGGTGGATGTGTTCTCATCTGCTGCTGTACCATGCTTAGAGGTGGGACTGGAGAATTTGGGGGTCCTCACCCCCTCTCTGGGGAGAATCTGGCATGGAGAGGACATGAGAGGAGGGGGATGGATGTCTTGGCATCTTGGCCAGGTTTCTGCTGGGGATATTTCCTTAGAGTCTCTTTCTTGTCTCGGGTGAGTTTCCAAAGGTCACTGTGGTGACATCTCAGGACAAAGCCAGTTCCAACCTCTCCCTAAACCAGGACAGGGATTTACACAAGGCAGGAATATTCCCACTTTAATCCAAGACACTATTTCATCCCCATTTCAATCCAAGACACTCTATTTAGGGACTGAAGCAGCCAGGTGTTCTCAGGGTGTAGGAATGTGACGGAGTGACCAAATTCTATTTTGTCTGATTAAAAAGGAAAAAAGCCCAGAAGTTTCTCTCCTCAATTTGGTACAAAAGACACCTCATAGGACCTTTGAAACTTCACCTCAAACCTGAGGTTGCCAATTGGACAGAGCCCAAGAGGTCTCGCCTAGGTAATTCACCACAAAAAGAAGAGAACAAAGGAAATAATTGCTTTTGTGGGGTGTTTAGAAGAAGCAAGAACCTCTTGCCCCTGGCTTGCGTTTTCTCTGTCAGAGCTTTGTTATTTTACCTTTTATTAAACCTTTTTCTCTTTCCAACACTACCTCAGAAGCCATTCTGATAATTTGATGCTGTTTCTGGTAGTTGAGCTGTCTAAGGAAATAATCGCTTTTGTGAAGTGTTTAGAAGGAGCAAGAACCTCTTGCCCCTGGCTTGCATTTTCTCTGTAAGAGCTTTGTTATTTTACCTTTTATTAAACCTTTTTTCTGTTTCCAACACTACCTCAGAAGCCATCCTGATAATTTTATGCTGTTCTGGGTAGCTGAGCTATCTAAGGAAATAATTGCTTTTGTGGAGCAATTATTGCTCCTTTTAGAAGGAGCAAGAACTCTTGCCACTGGCTCAGGTTTTTCTCTGAAAGAGCTTTATTTTACCTTTTATTAAGACTTTTTCTGTTTCCAGCACTACCGCAGAAGCCATCCTGATAATTTTATGCCTTTTGGGGTAGCTGAACTATCTCAGGAGTGATGGCTTCTCTGAGAGCTCATAAGACCTGGTTCGAAGAGAAACCCATGATCAGGGATGGAGAATGGGCCCATCCCTGAATCCTTGTCTGCTATGGACAGCGCTGACCCATCCCACCTGTTCCCTGCAGGCCACAGACCTCCACCCAGCTGACATCAACGGGAAAGCTGATCCCTACATCGCCATCAAGCTGGGCAAGACGGACATCAAGGACAAGGAGAACTACATCTCCAAGCAGCTGAACCCTGTTTTTGGGAAGTAAGTCTGTGCCTGGAACTGCTGAGCTGAGCCCGAGCTTGCCAGCCCTCAGATCTGCAGCTGAGGTGTCCCATGGCTGCTCCTTGAGCTAGATTTATCTTTATTTATCTTTATTATTTAGCTTTATTTATGGGATTTATCCCACAGTGTGGATGTCCTTCCAGGATGTCCTTTGCCAACATGTGGTCAGCATAGCACCAGGTGTTTAAGTCATGAACCTGAAATTTACCTGATCAAGGTGAAACACCCTCTTAGGAATCATTAGACCTAAATTTGAGTGAGAATAAGACACAAACTCAGTGTCTTGGTTTGGAAAGACAGGAGTCTGCTAAGGAAGGCAGGAGCCTCCCCTGAAATGGAGAATGTAAACCCTCCCCACCTTTCCAAATTGCTATAAATTTTAAATTAAGGGGCTCTCAGGCAAAAAATATGGGAGCAGGAAATAACAGTTCTTTAATAGGGAAGAAAATAAAAGAATAAAATAAACAATGCAGTACACTAGAACAATATTGACAGAGTCAAAACAACCTGACACTCTGTTGGTCAGGGTGTTGGTGGCAGTCCCATTGGAATGGTGTCTGCAGCCCTCCTGGAGTGTCGGGTGTGGTTCTGTTGGAGCAGGGATCCTGTAGAAAAGGGTGTAGTCTTCTTCCAAAGATCCAGTGGAAGAAGAGCAGCTGCTGTTCCTCTGGGAAATCCAGTGGAGAAGCTGTGCTGGTATTTCAGAATCTAAGATTATATCCGGGTAGCAATGCTTGGCTCCTCCCTCTGGGCGGAGCATCTCACAATGGGATGTTATAGTTCTTATCAGTCATGCAGTGACATTCAATAGCTGTTATCAGCAGATGTCCCCTCCTGAGGGAGGAGTGATTGTGGTCACTCAAAGAGAGATAAAGCAAACTGCCTACTTGAGAAAAGACAACTGCCATACAGGTGGTAATAGAATATGTCTTGCCTTGCAATCTGGAACACTCAGCCTCAGGGATGTTGGCACATCCAGGTCAAGGATTTTCCCTCCTGTCAAGGGCTGGTGGTTGAGTTTAACCCCACCTCAGATGTGCTGCAGTGATGGATGCAAGTGATGGATGCAGACTGAATTCATGGACTGGAGCAGAAACACCTCTGTCCTGAGTGGCCGCCAGACCCCGCAGCAGCTTTTCTCTGCTTCCCCCAATCCCAGATCCTTCGACATCGAGGCCACCTTCCCCATGGAGTCCATGCTGACCGTGGCTGTGTACGACTGGGATTTGGTGGGCACTGATGACCTCATTGGGGAGACCAAGATCGACCTGGAGAATCGCTTCTACAGCAAGCATCGGGCGACCTGCGGCGTGTCCCAGACCTACTCCATGTATGAGAAAAGCCTTCTCTGTCCCACCTCACACCTGGACCTTCCTCTGTGTCGCCTCCCACCCAGGGATCCCATAGGAATCTCCCCCCTTGGCTGCCTGCTGATCCCAGAATGATTTGTTTTGGGAAAAACCTCACAATTTTTCAATCCTGCAAGGGGCAGGGATGAATGGAGGAGTCTGTGCTATCCCTGGTTTTGTCACCAGCATTAGGGAGTGGTGGAATGGGTCATCAGATGCCCAGGGCAGGAGGGAGGGACTGGGGAGACTGGTGGAAAAGAGGTGAGATCAGGGCTGAAATGGGATCAGAGCCAATGGGGCAATGCTGAGCATCAGGAATCAAGTGGGATGCACTGGGAATTCCAGGTCTGAGCCAAAGTGGGGTGAATGGTGTTTGAAAAAGGGGCACAGAGGAATCAAATGTCCTCTTCAGTTTCCCCTTTGCTGCCTCAAATTCTTTCCCTGGGGATTCTGGGTGCTTCGTGCTGCAGTGGGTTTTTTTTTCCTGGCAAAAAGGAAAAAAATTTCTTTGTCCTCACAACTTTTTTTGTCTGATCTTGCCCTCCTGTTCCCAGCCACGGGTACAACACCTGGCGTGACCCCATGAAGCCCTCCCAAATCCTGTCCAAGCTGTGCAAAGAGGGAAAAGTGGATGGGCCGCACTTCGGGCCGGGGGGAAGAGTGAAAGTTGCCAACAGGGTCTTCACCGGCCCCACGGAGATCGAGGATGAAAATGGTATGGCCCAGTGGGATCATCCCATGGGATGGAGGTTCTGGAGCAGAGCAGGGGTCTGGAGGGGTCTCCTCATCAGCCAGGGTTGGAATCTCAGAGTAGTTTGAATCATGGAGTGGTTTGAAGTGGACCTTTGAAGGTCGTCCAGTCCAACTCCCCCCAGACAGGTGAGATGGGCGCATCACCCAGCCCTGCAGGCACCATCCCAGTATAGACCAGTTACAGAGTCCTATAGACCCTCCAGACCAGAGGGTTCCTCTTGGAATCACTTGAGGACATCCATGGACACCCAAAGTTGCCTCTGGAAATGCCCTCTGAGAAGTGCATGTCCCAAGAGCCATGGAGACACCTCCAGCATTTAGAGAATTGTTATCCACGGAAATGCATTCCCAAACAATGGGAGAAGAGGGTTGTGTCCCAACGCACTCATGTGTGCCCAAGAAAGAGGGAAATAGGCCAGGAGAGTGAAGGAAAGAAATAAAATGTGGTCAGTGGACATGGGACTGGTTCAGACAGGGAAAAATGAATGGTGATCTGAACCTTCTACAGGGATTGGAGAGAGGCAAGAGGAGTTAGGAAGTGCTGGCTGAGGGACAAAGTTTTCCCAAGGGATGGAGAGGATGAGGCAGTTCTGCATCTTGGGACAGTTCTGCAAACTTTGGGAACACTTTGTCCCAAGGGATGGAGAGGAAGAGGCAGTTCTGTACCTTGGGACAGTTCTGCGACTCTTGGGACAAAGTGTTCCAAAGGGATGGAGAAGATGAGGCAGTTCTGCACGTTGGGACAGTTCTGGAGCCCTTGGGAACATTTTGTCCCAAGGGATGGAGAGGATGAGGCAGTTCTGCACGTTGAGACAAAGTGTTCCTAAGGGATGGAGAGGATGAGGCAGTTCCACACCATGGGACAGTTCTGCACCCTTGGGAACACTTTGTCCTCAGGGATGGTGAGGATGAGGCTGTTCTGCAACTTGGGGTAATTCTGCAATCTTTGGGACAAAGTGTTCCCAAGAGATGGAGAGGACGAGGCAGTTCTACTTCTTGGGGAACAGTTCTGCATCTTGGGACAAAGTGTTCCCAAGGGATGGAGAGGACGAGGCAGCTGTGCACCTCAGGATACTTCTGCAACCCTTGGGACAAAGTGTTCCAAAGGGATGGAAAGGATGAGGCAGTTCTGCACCCTGGGACAGTTCTGCAGCCCTTGGCACAAAGGGTTGCCAAGGGAAGGAGAGGATGGGGCAGTTCTGTATCTTGGAGGACAGTTCTGCACCCTTGGGAACACTTTGTCCCAAGGGATGGAGAGGACGAGGGAGTTCTACTTCTGGCGACAAAGTGTTCCCAAGGAAGGAGAGCATGAGGCAGTTCTTCATCCTGGGACAAAGTGCTCCTAAGAGACGGAGAGGATGAGGCAGTTCTGCCCCTCAGGACAGTTCTGCACCTCAGGACAGTTCTGCAACCCTTGGGACAAAGTGTTCCCAAGGGATGGAGAGGATGAAGCAGTTGGAGATGGAGATGAAGCACCTTGGGACAATTCTGGAACCCTTGGGACAAAATGTTCCCAAGGGATGGAGAGGATGAGGCAGTTCTGCACCTTGGAGCACAGGTGGAGGCCCTGGATGCTTTGCTGTCCCTGTGTCCCTGTCCCAGCTGTCAGAGCTCTCCTTTCTCCTCCAGGCCAGAAGAAGCCGACAGACGAGCACCTGGCGCTGGCGGTTCTGCGGCACTGGGAGGACATCCCGCGGGCTGGCTGCCGCCTCGTCCCTGAGCACGTGGAGACGCGGCCGCTGCTCAACCCCGACAAGCCGGGCATTGAGCAGGTCTGACATTCCAATGGGAATGGGGACAGCCCATGGGGGCCAGCGCAGCCCTAACCCACCTCAGGGTGGGCAAGTCACCCCAGGAGGCCAGCAGAGAAAATATCCAGTGCCTCCCGATCCATCCTCATCCATTTCACATTCCACAATCCCTCCTGATTCCCCACATCCGGGCACATGGGAGCAAAATTCCCAATGGATTCCCAAGCAGAAGGGACTGGAAACCCACAGGCTGCCATGCACAAAAGGCAGTGCTGGGAATTCCCTGGAGACCCTGAACCTCCTGGAGCCCTCAGGAGGACTCATAGCCTGTGTTGGGGGGAGAATCACATCCCTGTTGAGTCAAGGGGGTGAGTGGGAGCAAAGTTAGGTTCTGGTTGTTTTGCAGATCCAATTTTGGTCAGAAATCTCCCAAAATCCAAGCCTGGGCTGCCCCATTGAGCCTTTGGCAAGTTCTTTGCAGAGGCTGGGAACAGAGGAGGGAAAGCTCCCCTTGGAGCTTGGCTCCCCCTGGTGAGGCTGATCCAGGCTCATATGGAGATCATGGAATGGTTTGGGCTGGAAGGCCCTTAAAACCCATCCAGTTTCACTCCCTCCATGAGCTATTTCTGCAGGAGTGGAGAAGGATTTGTGGCATGGGAGAAGCTTGTCCCACTCCACATCTAGCATGGCTGGGGTGATGAAGAGGGGGACACTGGTGGGGAGGGGACAAGGGGAGCTGACTGTGCTTCTCCCACTCCACAGGGCCGCCTGGAGATGTGGGTAGACATGTTCCCCATGGACATGCCAGCGCCCGGCCCCGCCATCGATATTTCTCCCAGGAAACCAAAGAAGTAAGGAACTTAACTCAAGGAAATTACTGGGATTGGTTGGCAGCCCAGCCGAAAAATGGGAAAGGGAAACAGGAGGTTGGGGATGGAGCCTGGCTTCTCCCATCTCCTGCTGCTGCTCCATGGCCAGTCTAGCCCTCTGCTTGGGTTCCTCATCCATGCTGCCATTCCCAAAGATCCCAACACTAGAGGCAGTTCCAGAGCTGCTCCTGAGGGTGGGATGCCAGATCTCCCCATCGCCTGCAGATCCCGATCTTTCTTGCCTGTGTGAACTGGGAAATTCCATCGTTCCCTGGGCAGAGCAGAGTGCCCAGCCCTGAGCCTCTTCTGGGCAGGGGCAGGGTTATCCCAGGACAGTTTGGATTGGGCTTTTTGGACAGTTTGGATTGCGCTTTTTGGATTGGTGATGGACAGAAGGATGGGTGGTGGAGGCCCCTGGGACAGCATTCCAAGCAGGAAAGAGCAGGCACAGACAGCACATGGTGGGGGAAGAAGGACATTTTTTCCCTCAATATCCCTTCTAATCCTTTCTCACCCTGCTGGCCTCGGTCTTTGGGCTCCTTTTCCTGCCCCCAGGGCTGGGATACAGGGATGGCACTGGGAATCTCAATGGGAGCTCTTGTGCATCCCAGTCAGCCAATGCCTTGGGTGGAGAGAACATCCCTGGATCCCAGCTGGGAGAGGCACAGCACAGGACAGGCAGGAGAAAAGGAAAAGGTGAAGGAATCCCATGGATGGGCTCAGCTGGGGCACTGCCAGAGGGAGATCCCAAAGGAGGGGCTTAAGGAAGTTGTAAATCCACTTTTCTCACCTGGACACCTCCTGGTACATCCAGTGAGGTGCTGTGGCCACGTGTACTGAGCCTCCTTCCAGCCTCCTCTTGCTGCAGGAGCTGAGATTCTGCTCTTCCTCCACCCACTCCCACTTCCTCTGTGGAGGTTTTAATTTGAAACTGGGCAGAAACACTAATTTTATGTAGCCCCCTAATTTTGCTAATTTGAGAGTTTCTTCATTTCAAAATTATTTGCTAATTTGAGAGTTTCTTAATTTTAAGATTTCAAGATTTCAAAGTTTCTTCTTTTAAGATTTCAAAGTGCTGAAGAGTGTGGTAGATTTTGTATTGGTTAATTGCTAGTGTACTTATTTCTTGTTGTGAGATAGGATTAGGAGAAAGGTAAAGCAGGCTTAAAACTTTCAAAGGGTATCAAGAACATTTTATTATTAGTGATTAAAAGAAAAAAATAGTAAGAATTAAGACAAGATTTTTTGAAACACTTTTACTCTCCCTGAAACTTTTTTTTCCTACTGATAATGTAAAGGAACAAAACTAAATTTCTAGTCAGTTTACTGCCTCTAAAATAGTCTCTTTTTAAAAGTTTATTTAGGGAGAGAAGTCCTTCTTGTAAATGTTATGGAGACTTCTTTGCAGGAGAAAAACAGTTTTCTTGTGGGAAACCTCATAAATAGCAGCCGCCCAGGGGAAATCTGCTGTCGTGAAGTTCTCCTTATTTTCCACAAGCCTTCCCACAGCTCATTTATGGGTTATATTTATGGTTTATGTTTCACCATCAAGAAATTCCCAGTCAAGCAGAGGTGATGGGAAGCTCCCCAGCCTGCTAGGAATTCCCTGGAGACCCCAAACCTCCTGTGGTCCTCAGGAGGACTCTGAGCCCATTTTGGGGGGAATCACAGCCCTGTTGAGTAAAGGGAGAAGAGCAGGAACAGAGTTGGGCTCTGGTTGCTTTGCAGACCCAATTTTGGTCAGAAATCTCCCAAAATCCAAGCCTGGGCTGCCCTATTGAGCCTTTGGCAAGATCTTTGCAGAGGTTGGGAGCAGAGGAGGGAAAATTCTCCTTGGAGCTTGGCTCACCCTGCTGAGGCTAATCCGAGATCATGTGGAGACCATGGAATCATGGAATGGTTTGGGTTGGAAGAGACTTTAAAGCTCATCCAGTTCCACCCCCTGCCATGGGCAGGGACACCTTCCACTATCGCAGGGTGCTCCCAGCCCCATCCAAGACTTGGACATTGCCAGGGATCCAGGGGAAGCCACAGCTGCTCTGGGAATTCCAGCCCAGCCCCTCCCCACCCTGCCAGGGAACAATTCCTAACTCCCAATATTCCATCCAGCCCTGCCCTCTGGCAGTGGGAGCCATTCCCTGCATCCTGTCCCTCCACCCCTCATTCCTAGTCCCTCTCCAGTTCTCCTGGAGCACCTTCAGGCCCTGCAAGGGGCTCTGAGCTCTCCCTGGAGCCTTCTCCAGGAGAACATTCCCAGCTCAGCCAGCCTATTCCCATAGGAAGAGTCCCATCCCTGTAATCCTCTCCATGGTTGACATCCCCTCCTGTCCCTGATCCTGACCTCCAGATCCCTGGGAGAGATCCCTGTGAGCAATTTCCTGTTCCTGGCAGCCGGCTCTGCTTTCTGGCAGCACCACTCCATCCATCCTATCCCATTCCCTGTTCCCATTCCCTGCCCCCATTTCCTGCTCCCGTGCCTCACCTCCCTTTCCATCCCTTGGGCAGGTACGAGCTCAGGGTGATCGTGTGGAACACGGACGAGGTTATCCTGGAGGACGACGACTACTTCACCGGGGAGAAATCCAGTGACATTTTTGTCAGGGGGTAGGTACAGCCTGGAATTCCATTGGGGTGAAATCCAGTGACATTTTTGTCAGGGGGTAGGTACAGAATTCCACTGGGGAGAAATCCAGTGACATTTTTGTCAGGGGGTAGGTACAGCCTGGAATTCCACCACGGAGAAATCCAGTGACATTTTTGTCAGGTGGTAGATCCAGCCTGGAATTCCATCAGGGAGAAATCCAGTGACATTTTTGTCAAGGAGTAGGTACAGAATTCCATCAGGGAGAAATCCAGTGACATATTTCTCCAGGGGTAGGTACAGCCTGGAATTCCAACAGTGCTTCCTTCACCAGGAAGAAATCCAGTGACATGCTGTCAGGGGGTAGGTACAGCTTGGAATTCCACCACAGAGAAATCCAGTGACATTTTTGTCAGGGAGTAGATACAGCCTGGAATTCCACTGGGACCTCCTTCACTGGGGAGAAATCCAATGACATTTTTGTCAGGGGTAGGTGCAGCCTGGAATTCCACCAAGGAGAAATCCAGTGACATCGTTGTCAGGGGGAAGGTACAGCCTGGAATTCCACCAGGGAGAAATCCAGTGACATTTTTGTCATGGGGTAGGTACAGCCTGGAATTCCACCATGGAGAAATCCAGTGACATTTTTGTCCGGGGGTAGGTACAGCCTGGAATTCCACCAGCACCCCCTCCACCTCCCCTGGGGTGGGCACCAGACCCCACTAGGGTGGGACATGGGCAGTGCTGAGAGACCCAAACCAGTCAGGACTGGGTGGATGTGTTCTCATCTACTTCTGTGCCATGCTTGGAGGTGGGACTAGAGAGTTTGGGGGTCCTCACCTCTTCTCTGGGGAGAATCCAGCATGGAGAGGACACGAGGGGAAGGGGATGGATGTCTCGGCATTTGGGCCAGGTTTTGCTGGGGGTGTTTCCTTAGAGTCTCTTTCTTGCCTCTGATGAGATTCCAAAGATGCTGCTGGTGTCTCCTGTGCTGTTTCCTGCCTCTCCCCCTCTCCTTGGCTGCACTTCCACTGGCATTGCAGAAGCTGAGAGACATGGACCATGCTGTATGCAAGCAAAGCCAGTTAATTACACTAATGACCAATATTTACAGTTCCTTAACTTCACACAAAATTTTCCACTCTGACCCCCTTGCCCCCGTTCCCTTAGCAACACAATCTTTTTGGTGATGAAGTCCCTGTTACATCCTCTTGCACCAGCGATGTCCTTGTAACATCTTCTCTCATCAGAGCAGTCAGAGTGACCTGTGGTTGTGTTCCTCACTTGGGGCTCAACAAATATGGAATTTTTCTTCACTCGGGGTCACCAAATGTGGTGATGTTCACAAGGGTCCCAGGATGAGGGAAGAGACGAGAATCTTGACTCCATGTTTCAGAAGGCTGATTTATTATTTTATGATATATGTTGTGTTAAAAGAAAATTATATATTAAAACTATACTAAAAGAATAGAAGAAAGGATTTCACTAGGAGGTTAGTAGGAAAGGAAAGGAATGATAATAAAATCTTGCGACTGCCCAGAGAGTCCTAGACAGCTGGACTGTGATTGGCCATTAACTAAAAACAACCAAATGAGACCAATCAAAGATGCACCTGTTGCATTCCACAGCAGCAGATAATTATTGTTTACATTTCGTTTCTGAGGCCTCTCAGTTTTTGAGGAGAGAAAAGGATTTTTCATAAAATATGTCCGTGACAGCTCCCAGCTCCTGTACAACTCCTTCACATCTCCTCACCCAGGATAAGCCCTCAGACAACCCCCTTGAATCTCCTTCTCATAAAGTTCTCTGCTCCCTCTGGGATCCTCCTGTCCCTTGGATTTGCTGCTGCAGTATCTGGAGCAGCCCTGTCACTCTTGCGCCAAGGTCAGGGCAGGAAGAGGCGAGAGGCAGGATAGTAGGAAAGGCAAAGAAGGCTTTATTCAAAAGAATAAAGAGTGGTACGACAGATTCTATTCTATTGGCTAACTAACAGAAACATCTTTCTCACACACTGTCCTTGAGAGGAACAGGAAAAAAAAGGTAGAAAAACACCACCTGCAAATTGTTTATAGTCAACAAGTTATCACATCCTTCCAGCTCCCTAAAACTTCTCACAAGCCGCTGTGAGAAACGCCTGCTGTTTCTCTCACTCTGTCCCATGGCATCCACACAGCCCCATCCCCTTGTTCATAACTTTTAGGTTTTTCCAGTCCTGGAGACACCCTGGCTGCCTGGACGGGGTGGTCCTGCCCCCTCTCCTGCCCCATGTAAACCTGTGCCCCCCTCTCACCCTCCCGGGCTCTGCAGGTGGCTAAAGGGGCAGCAGGAGGACAAGCAGGACACGGATGTCCATTACCACTCCCTCACTGGTGAAGGCAACTTCAACTGGCGCTACATCTTCCCCTTCGATTACCTCATGGCCGAGGAGAAGATCGTCATCTCCAAGAAGGAGTCCATGTTCTCCTGGGATGAGACGGAGTACAAGATCCCAGCCCGCCTCACCCTGCAGGTCTGGGATGCCGACCACTTCTCGGCCGATGATTTCCTGGGTACGTGCAGGGTCCAGAGCACCCCACAAACCCCCTGAGATGCTGCTTGATGGAACAGGTGGGGTGAGAGGGCAGGAAGGGTCTGCAGAGGGTTCTGGACAGGCTGGATCCATGGGCCAAGGACAAGGGCCAGGTCTTGAACTGGGGTCACACCAACCCCACCGAGCGCTCCAGGCTGGGAAAGAAAGGTGGGAAAGGCCCTGGGTTTGTTGTGCCAGCATCTGGACATGAGACCAGCTGTGTCCAGGTGTGCCACAAGCCAGTGATCCCTGGGCTGTGCCAGCTCTGGCATAGCAGCAGGGCCAGGGCAGTGCCTGTCCCCTGTGCTGGCACTGCTGGGGCACCTCCAGTGCTGGGGGCAGCTCTGGGCCCCTCCTGACAGGAGAAACCTGGAGGGGCTGGAGCGTGTCCAGGGAAGGGAACGGAGCTGGGAAGGGAATGGAGCCCCAGGAGAGGCTGGGGGAACTGGGAAGGGAATGGAGCCCCAGGAGAGGCTGAGGGAGCTGGGAAGGGAATGGAGCCCCAGGAGAGGCTGAGGGAGCTGGGAAGGGGCTCAGCCTGGAGAAAAGGAGGCTCAGGGGGGACCTTGTGGCTCTGCACAAGTCCCTGACAGGAGGGGACAGCCAGGGGACAGGGACAGGACAAGGGGGAATGGCCTCAGGCTGGGCAGGCTCAGGTTGGACATCAGGAGGAATTTCTGCATGGAAAGGGTCTCAGGCCTTGGCAGGGGCTGCCCAGGGAGGTTTGGAGTGCTCATCCCTGGAGGTGTCCAGGGAAAGTTTGGGCATGGCACTGAGTGCCCTGGGCTGGGGACAAGGTGGGAATCAGTCACAGGTGAGACTCGAGGATCTCAGAGGTCTTTTCCAACATTCATGTCTCCATGATTCTGAGATCCCTTTTCTGCACTGCTCCTGCAGCCAAGACACCCCATTTTTCCTTCCCAGACCTGGTTTAAAGCTGCTCCCTAGGGCAGGAGATGCTTGTCCAGCCCACCTCCAGCCAAGGACTTTGCCTTTTTGGCATGCCAACCTCTGTCCTCCCCTTTGTCCTGCCAGGGGCCATCGAGCTGGACCTGAACCGCTTCCCCCGGGGAGCCAAGACGTCCAAGCAGTGCAGCCTGGAGATGGTGACCAACGAGGCTGAGCTGCCCATGATCTCCATCTTCAAGCAGAAGCGGGTCAAGGGCTGGTGGCCATTCGTGGCCAGAGATGAGAACGATGAGCTGGAGATCACCGTAAGGATGGGGAAAAGGGAGGGTCTGCCTCCTGGGCACTGCACGCTTTGTGGACACCCTGCTTCCCCCTTATGGCTTTGTTCCTTCTGGGATGTGCTCCCAGGCCTCAGCACAGCTCTCTCCTCCCTGCAGGGCAAAGTTGAGGCTGAGCTGCACCTTCTGACAGCAGAGGAGGCTGAGAAATCCCCTGCTGGGCTGGCTCGGAATGAGCCTGATCCCCTGGAGAAACCCAAGTGAGTGGCAGAAGCCTCTCTGCAGCAGAGACCTGGGATTATGGGATTCTGCTCCCACCTGGAGTGCTGCATCCAGCTCCAAGCCCCAAAACAAGAAAGACCTGGACTTGCTTGAAAGGGGATAGAGGAGGCCATGGAAGTGTTCTGATCTGGAGCCCCTCTGCTCTGGAGCCAGGCTGGCAGAGCTGGGGGTGCTCACCTGGAGAGGAGAAGGATCCAGGAAGAGCTCAGAGCCCCCTGCAGGGCCTGAAGGGGCTCCAGGAGAGCTGCAGAGGGACTGGGGACAAGGATGGAGGGACAGGAGCCAGGGAATGGCTCCCACTGCCAGAGGGCAGGGCTGGATGGGAAATTGGGAATGAGGAATTGTTCCCTGTGAGGGTGGGCAGGCCCTGGCACAGGGTGCCTAGAGCAGCTGTGCCTGCCCCTGGATCCCTGGCAGTGCCCAAAGCCAGGTTGGACAGGGCTTGGAGCAACCTGGGATAGTGGAAGGTGTCCCTACCCATGGCAGGGAGTGAAACAAAAAGAAAGATGAACTTTAAAGTCCACGAATCCCTTTCCCATAGTGATGGATTAACGATGGGTGTTTTGTTCCCCTGCAGCCGCCCAGACACGTCGTTCATCTGGTTCCTGAACCCGCTCAAGTCCATCAAATACCTCATCTGCACCCGCTACAAGTGGCTCATCATCAAGATCGTGCTGGCCCTGCTGCTCCTCATCATGGTGGCCCTGTTCCTCTACAGCATGCCCGGATACATGGTCAAGAAGCTACTGGGAGCATGAAGGGCTGGAGCCTCTCCCATGTCCCCAGCCCGCTGCACAACCTTACAGCTCCGTGTCCTTCTCCTCCCTGTGACCTCTGGGCAGCCCTGGGGGCATCTCCTCCCTGCCGCTGCTGGGTCTCCTCTTTGCATTTCTTTTCTGTGGGTCCCACTCAGGCTTTAGGGCCAGGGAAATGGGGCGGGAGCATGGCAAAGATCCCCAGACTCTGCATCCCGCACTGGGGCTGGGAGAGGTGCCCAGCTGGCTCCTGTGGGAGTCCCTGAGGCCTCTGCCCATTGGGGTTGTGGCTGGAGCCTTCCTGGGAATCAGGAGAAGGAGAGGGGAGCTGGGGCTGTGTCACTGGTGCTGTGGGAGCATTCTGGAAAGGCTTCTTGGAGGGATGTTCAGAATCCGGGATGGAGCAGGGAGCTGGGATGGAGCAGCTGGGATGGAGCAGCTGGGGACATGCCAGCCCCAGCAGTGAGGGCACAGAGCATCCCCAGTGCCTGAACCCACTGCCAGCACCATGCCTGCTCCTCTCAGACCTCTGGAGGTCCCATTCCCTGGCACAGGGAGCTGTCCCACCTCTGGAGTGCTGGACATGGTGCCCAGCAGAGTGAGAGGGCACAGAGCATCCCCAGTGCCTGTCCCTGCTGCTCTGGGAACTCTGGAGGTCACATTCCCTGGCACAGGGATCTGTCCCACCTCGGGAAGGCTGGACATGGTGCCCAGCAGTGAGGGCACAGTGCATCCCCACTGCCTGTCTCCACTGCCAGCACAGTCCCTGCTCCTCTTGGAGCTCTGGAGGTCCCATTCCCTGGCACAGGGATCTGTCCCACCTTGGGAATGCTGGACATGGTGTCCAGCAGAGTGAGAGGGCACAGAGCATCCCCAGTGCCTGTCCCTGTTGTTGTAGGCTCCTGGCCAGGTAATAATGAGCATTGACTTCATGATTGTAGAATGTTGATTAATTGCTTTATTCTTCTATACTACATTATACTATACTATGCTAAGAAGCTCATAACCCTTACAGACAGTCTGATACAGTTTTGACCTAATTGGTCAATCAATCTAAACACCATCACCAGTGTTTAATTGATAAACTACTCTTTGGTAAGCAATCTCCATAACACATTCTGCATGTATCCAACAACAGGTGTAGCAAATGGAGGTAAGAATTGTTTCCCATTACTTTTTCTGAGCTGTTTCACAGCTTCCCAGGGAAATCATGGGAGAAAACTATGTCCCTGCTCTTCTCAGAGCTCTGGAGGTCACACTCCCTGGCACAGGGATCTGTCCCACCTCGGGAATGCTGGACATGGTGCCCAGCAGAGTGAGAGGGCACAGAGCATCCCCAATGCCTGTCTGTCACTACTGAGTAAGAAATGACAGACTCACCAGAAGGCTGGTTTGCATAGTAGCTGCTTTAATAGAAAAATTCCCTCTTTTTATAGACTGTTCCAATACATTCAGACCAGATTGGTCAATCAATCAATACATTTCACCTGACTGGCTAATAAACAAAAACACCTTTCTTATAAACAGCCTTGAGAAAAACAGGAAGGCAGAGAGTAGGAAAACACCACCTGCAGGTTGTTTATAATAACAAGCTGTCATCGTTTCTGTACAACTCCCCAAAGTCTCACAAGTCTGCCCTGACAAAACTTATCTGGTTTTCTCACTCTCTGACCAGGCTGTCACATCCATACCCGTCCCCACTGCCAGCACCATCCCTGTTCCACTCAGAGCTCTGGAGGTCACATTCCAGGGCACAGGGATCTGTCCCATCTTGGGAATGCTGGACATGGTGCCCAGCAGTGTGAGAGGCCACAGAGCATCCCCAGTGCTTGTCCCCACTGCCAGCACGATCCCTGCTCTTCTCAGAGCTCTGGAGGTCCCATTCCCTGGCACAGGGATCTGTCCCACCTCGGGAATGCTGGACATGGTGCCCAGCAGAGTGAGAGGGTAGAGAGCATCCCCAGTGCCTGTCCCCACTCCACTCAGAGCTCTGGAGGTCCCATTCCCTGGCACAGGGATCTGTCCCATCTTGGGAATGCTGGACATGGTGCCCAGCAGAGTGAGAAAATGCAGAGCATCCCCAGTGCCTGTCCCCACTCCACTTGGAGATCTGGAGGTCACATTCCCTGGCACAGGGATCTGTCCCACCTCGGGAATGCTGGACATGGTGCCCAGCAGGTCCTGCAGAGAGCCCTGGGGTGGGCCAGGGGGGCAGACCCTACCCTTTATCCCCACAGCTCCAGCAGAGACTGGGACTTGTCCCACAGCTCAAACATCTTCCCAACATCACCCACCCAGAGGTGGCTGTGGCTGGACATCCCCAGGGCTCACAGCTCCTCCGGCACAGTGTGAGCTCCCGGCGTCCTTCTGGATTCTCCGTGTATTTTGTTTGGCTTGGTAATTTTGTGGCTGGAGTCCTTCTGGCCGTGTGTCCTCAGGAAGGGCTCTGTCCTCAGCTCTCCACGATATCCAGCTGCTGCAGAGCTGCCTTTCCCACCTCCCGGTGCACAAGACCCCCACTGAAGAACTGAGGACATCTCAGACATGTTTTAATGAGAATATTACTATTCCAATCAGTAATAAAAACCAGTTTCATGTCTGGGCTCTTGTGGTTTGATTCTGAGCAAACACCAGGCACCTACGAAAGCTGTTCCTTCAGAAAAAAAATTTAAAAAGGGTCATAAACTGAGGTGAGGATGAGGAGAAAAACATTCTAAGGGCAAACAAGGTTAAAATTTAAAGGTATAAAGTGAATTATTTATTAACAGAGTCAGAGAAGGATAATGAGAAATAAAAGAAGTTTTAAAACACTCTTTTTCCCCCTCAGCCCCTCCCTCTTTCCTGTCAACCATTAATGCACAGACTCAGATCAGTGGGGATACTGAGACGTTTATTGCAAGAAAAAAGATGGTTTTACATACCTCTTCAAGATACAGTATTTCCTTATAAGGTATTTCTTCACTATCACACATTGCCAAATCAGCAACATAATTTAATGTCCTTACACATGGCTGATCACAAGCTGTTCACTCATCCAGCAGGCTCCTCTCCATGATGCCTTGAGAGGCCATCCAGAACAGAAGCTGGACAGTGTTAAAGACATAAAGTAGATATTTATTAAAAAGGCTTTCTAAGGATATACCTTTGGCAGTGCAAGAGTCCGGCTGTGGCTATACCCAAGATGGACACCAGGTCATGAGTGTTCTCCCTTTTATAAGTTTTGGCCCATTTCCATATAGGGGTTAATTGTCCAATTACAGCTCCAGGTTATGTAGTCCCATTCTCCCAGATTGCTCTCTGTCACTATAGAGCACGACACAAAACAATAACACACAACTCCATCAGAAGGGTGAAAGAGAGAGATTTTTTTAAACCAACGTAGCTTTTATAGTTCTTCCAGATATTAACACCCATCTAACACATGTACAGTGCCCATTGGCCATAAAAGAGAAACAAAGTTCTCAGCAGACAACCAGAGAGCCACGTCACTCGGCGAGTCCCACCATGTCAGACTGCGCCCTTTTCTGACTCAGAGATGGGGCAACTGAGAGGCGTTTTCAAAACTTTTAGTCCATTTTCAGTCTCATGTGAAGGGTGAGACAATGCAGATGTTATAATTCATGCCATTGCAATCAGAAGCCAATTATTCCCTAATCACAATACACTGTAAGTGTTTCTTGGCCTATCAGCTTTTGCCACACCATGCTCTAGTTGCCTTAAAACCAAAAATCTAAAATTACTCCTTATGGGTCCTACTACAATGCATCTGTCATAGTTCTATTTCTCCAAAGTATCCAGTCTTATTTGCAAGGCCATCTTTTGAAACTTGTTTCTAGTTCCATTTCTCTCTCAACAATGTATTTCTAATTCCAAAACATTTCTAAATCATCATTCTTTATCTCAAGGTTTGCATACAGATGCACACTATGTGAACCTTCTGTCAGGCTTTGAGAATTCTCTACAAATTAATTTCTCACCCCATGTTTCTGTGATGGTGACCACGTCATAGCTTTGCTGCTGCACCATGGCTTCCAGCTCTTCCTGTTATTCATGCTGTGTGCATTTGTTTACATGTACTTGTGCTGAGCTGTGGCTTTCACCCCTAGCTTTGGCTTACCACACTTGGGGCTGCTTCTGTCTTCTTTTCACACATAATCTCCGGCATTTGTGGATTTTTTTTTTTGACCATGCACTGTCTGGGGTTTTGGGGGCTGCAGTGAGAACCAAAACCTGGGTTTGGAAGGGGGGTGGGGGGTGCAGTGAGCCCCAGGGTTTGGTAGGTTTGCAGTGACACCCAGGGGCTTGGGGACAGGGGGTTGGTGCTGCAGTGAGACCTGGGATTTTGGCAGGGGGCTGCAGGGGAACCTGGAGTTTGGGGATGGGATGTTGCAGGGAAATTTGGGTTTTGGGGTGAGACTCCAATGAGACATTGGAATTTCAGGGTATGGAGAGCTCTGCAGTGAGACCCCGGTTTGGGGAGGTTGCAGGGAAATACAGGGTTTAGGGGGATGGTTGCACTGAAACCCGAGGTTTGTGTGTTGGGGGGCTGCAGAGAGACCCAGGGTTGTGTGGCAGAGGAATTGCAGTGAGTGAGAGCTGGGATTTGGGGGGCTGTGGGTGCAGTGAGGACCAGAATGGTTAAGGAGTGACCGTGTGTGACATGGGATCCCCCTTGCTGGAATGATCAGGGTGTGACTGGGAGCTTCTCCTCCTGGGCTAGGGTCCAGGGAGGCAGTGGTGACCAGTCCCTGCACACAGCCAGCTCTGGAGCTGTGCCCCTATGAAGGGAGTGCAGAGGGGTCTGTGGGTTTCCCTGGAGCAGGGTCAGCCCAGGAACTGCCCCCATGGAGCTCAGGACCACCGTGCTCCTGCCCTGTGGGTGCTCCCTGCAGTCACACCCATGGAACCCACGTCATTCCTGTCGTGCCGAGCTGTGTCTTAGTTTTGGCTATTTTAGCCTTGGGAGAATTTCTATTCCAGCACAAATCTCGGTACTGGGTCATGTATTCCAGTCTTGATTTAAGCATTGAGGCTTGGGGTGGCCTGCCCTTTGCAGCTTCCAAAGCTGGGTTACCTTGTCAGACTCACAAATGGGGCTGGCAGGGACCTTAAAGCTCATCCAGTGCCACCCCCTGCCATGGGGAGACCTTAGTCTCTTCCAGTGCCTGAAGGGGTTCCAGGATGGGATATTGGAAATTAGGAATTCCTCCCTGTAAAGGTGGACAGACCTTGGCACAGGATGTCCAGTTCTGGGATTCCATGATCCAGGCTAAGGGGAGCAGAGTGAGTGGTTTCCAGACAGGAGCCCCAGGCTGTGCCCAGCTCCTGCTGCCATCCATGGAATCATAGAATCATTAAGGCTGGAAAAGACCTACAACATCCTCAAGTCAACTTCTTACAAGAAATGTTTTCACCCCAAAACACGCAGCAGCAGTTTCCTCTTTCACACTGCTGCAGGAAAACACATGATTTAGAGGAAAGCAGTTCCTGCTCCCCCACAGCCCCCATAAAAGGGGTTACAGCTCCCCACAAAACAGCCAGAGATGTTTGAGCTCTGCTGGACTACTCCTAGCACAGGACCTGCAGGGCCCGGAGCGGGAAGGTAGGGGATGGGCATGGGCATGGGCAGGGGCATGGGCATGGGGATGGGCACGGGCATGGGGATGAGCTGCGGGACTGGGAGCCGGGAGCAGCCGGGAGCGGGATCTTGTTGCTCTCCTGCCTCCTGTTCCCTGTGCTTTGCCAGGGCTGGGGAGATGGCAGGGCAGGAGCAGAGGGGGCTGAGGGCAGCGGGCGGGCGCTGTGCGCTCCGAGCGTGGGCTGCAGGAAGCCGCCTTTGCTGGCACCGCTTTGGGCAGCTCGGGGGAGCCGTGTGCGCTGCGGGGGCTGAGCTGGGAGGGCCCCGGGCTCAGAGCGGTGGGAGCGGAGCGGCGGGGGAAGGAGGAGGGATGCGGGGATGCAGGGGCACGGGGAAGGCTGCAGAGGCGCACAGGCTGTCCCGAGAGCCGGCAGCGGGGCTGGCCGGGCACAGATGGCGAGCGGAGCCCCTTCCCTGCCGCCAGCCCGTGCCCGGCCGGGAAACGCTCCCCGCAGGCGGGGCCGACCCTGCCCGGCCCGGGCACCCCCAGCCCCGCGGTGGGGCCGGATGGCTGCGCTCCCCTGAGGGCAGGAGCCGGGGGCATCATTCCTTTTCCTGCCCCTGCAGGGAGGGTGGGATTCTCCTCTCTTACAGTCTAAGCATCACCACCCCGAGCGCTCGGGTCCCTGGGACAGCCCCACAAAGGCAGCAGTGTTCCCAGAGCCCCTTTCCCTGGGCCAGGGCTGCGGAAAACACTCTCGGGGGGCTGTTCCTGTGAAACGGGGTGCAGGCATTCCCATGGCAGGTCCTGCTGCCAGCCTTGCTGCTTCCCTCCTTTGCTTCCAAGGAGGAACTCGGTTCCGAGTTATGCCCTGAATGTGCTCAGTGCCTCTCGGCGGGCACTGACACAGTCGCATGGGGCTTTTCCCCTATTCCTGCAGCACTGGGAAGCCGTGCAGGGAGTGCCAAGGGTGCCTGGGGGCAGGTTCGGGGTGTGGCTGGGCTAGAGTTTATGTTGTTCGGGGCACCCTCTGACTCCTGAGACTGAACCAGTCCTCACAGTGCTCCAGTGGGAGAGAATGCGGGATGGAGCAGGGCTGGGACAAATGGCTCAAGTGACGAGCTCCAGCAGTGACCCTGAGCCAGCAGTTCCCATCCTGAGCAGCCGTCCTGCACTGAGGCTCTGCTGCCCAG